TGTGTGCGCGTATATGTGTGTGTGTGTACGTGCGTGTGTGTGTGGTTTGTGTGCGTGTGATAATTGGTTTGAGCAATTGCTTGATGGAATTAATGTTTCAGTGATTTATCGATTGATTTCAATGATCAAAATGAGTGACTGGTTAATTTGATTATTAATGGAAAAAATGATCCACCAAACTTTCGGAAGAAAACTGATAAAAAAGCAAGGAGTAGGTGAGAGGATGGGAAGAAGGTTGTGTGTGTGTGTGTGTGTGTGTGTGTGTGTGTGTGTGTGGGAGGGGGAGGACAGTGGGTTGCGTAATGTCAATTATGATTTGGAATATTTCAATTTAGCCAATTCCCATTCTTCCTTAATCCCGTTCACATCTACCAGATCAATGATACAATGAGATGGGAGTGGGTGGAAGTGTGTGTGTGTGTGTGTGTGTGTGGGGGGGGGGGTGGGCGGTGGTGTTTCGGGATTGATAAATAACACTGAAAAAGGAATGGTATTCGAGGTATTCAAAATATCCTTTTGATTCAAAATATCCTTTTGATCCATCGATCATGAATATCTCATATCGACCTTATTTTGTAAGTTACAAGTAATTTACCTGTCCAAAATTGGAAGGAAAAATCCTGCGCAGGCCCATTTTCATACCTCTAACTTAAGTGAACACTGTCCATCGAAGCATGATTTTTTTTTTAATTTTTTCATATCATATGAAAGGTTGGTCCTTTAGCTTTCCATACATATAGACATTTTTTCATAAAATTATATATGCTCAATTTGGCAACCATTTCAAAAGTGTTACGTTTTTTTTGAGACACACGGTAGAATGTGACATTTTTAGTATATTTCATATTATGTTCTAGTTTTGTCAATTATTTGAATTCTTTTTTGTGAAATATGAAACAAAATAAACTAGAAACTTGAAACTTGAAATCTGCAATATTTTTCACTAATGCTACTTTTTAACACTTTATTATCTCATTGATAGGAATTGGCCGATGTTGTGTCTACTTACCGATTTCTCTCCTGATGAACCAGTATTTCAAAGAGAGCTTTGTTCTAATGAACACCGTAGCATCATATGGTTTAATAGCAGGTATAATGTTCCTACCCGTCATCACCGAGCGAGCTCTAGAAGCGTACGGTTACTCGGGAGCTTTTATGATTCTTGGAGCAATCATGTTTCATAAGGTTGCAGGGGGAGCGGCCATTCGGAAACCAGTCTTCATTGTGAAAGATAACACTACTGAACAAAGTGGTAGTGATCAAGATCCGTTGGAGGTGATCCGTTTTGAACCGTCGGATGATGACGGTGAGGTAGATGGTATAGTAGGAGGTGATCAAATGACAACATTGAAAGATGAATCAATAAATGATATGGTCCAAGGTCAAGCCCTGGCAGAAAGCCGTTTTCACTCCAAGGAAAACCTTGAAAATACGGAGACACTAAATGCTGAAATCGTAATAAATGATATAATAAGATACGAGGAGGATGAAGGGATTTTAAATGACGATGATAACCGTGAGGAACACGTTACTGTGCTAAATAGTGCATGCGATCGTCCTGGTAAAGTGGATGATCTTTCTAATGCTTCGAGATCTGGTCAAAATGATCATAGTGAGAAATATAATTTCTGCTCATCATTTATATCTCGCTGCAAACTGTTTATAACCAAGGAAGCTCTGTTCTTAATGTGCCTCCCAGCGACTTTCTTTCGTGCCTATTCGTTCGAAGCCTGGGTGTTGTACCTAGTGCCTCACGCAGAGCAGTTAGGCATCACCCCATCTCGAGCTGTCTTCTTGTCTTCAATTGGTGGAATCAGTGGGATTATTGGCAGAACTATTACTGTCATTCTCCTCATTAAGAAAGTACACATGTTCAAAATCTACATCACCGTTGGTTTTATTACCAGTTTGTCATTTTTCTTGGATTTCGTCGGTGAATCATTCATGATTCGTTCAGTTTGGGCATTTCTGCAGGGCCTCTGCTTCTTTGTGCTGGATACTGTAGACGCAACTTTTCTCAAATTGACGTTGGTAGATGAAAGCAACTTCAGTTTCGGCCTTGGACTGGTGATGTTAATTAACGGTTCTGGTAATATCTCGGCAGGGTTACTCACAGGTAGGCCATTATCTTGACACTCTGAAATAATATTAAATTCAAGCTTTGTGTATATTAACACAAAGTTTATTAACACTAGAGAATGCCACTTTTTAATACAACTTTTTTTGTCAATTCAATTCTTAATTTATTTATCATCCAACATGTTAAAAATATACATGATAGTCATACATAAACTTGCAAAATGATAGACGAAAGAATATCTTTAATAAAGTACAAGGCTTGTAAGACAGAACGCCATGCAGTTCACTGTAAATTCATAGATGTTTCCTAGTATACAGTAGCGATGGTTCAGTTGTTTAATAGTGTCTCTAAAACGCACATCATCGTTTCCTCCTCCACCTTACTAGTGCGGGTTTTATGAACGTGCCACTCTGTTTCGAGATTTGTGAAAATCCATAATCAGTGGAAAGCAATGCAACGTGTCATTTAATTCTCAATTATCAAAACGAGGTGGTATTTTTACATCAATTATTTTATGTTGATATGCTTTATTTTCATTTTTTAACATAATTTGTTAAACTTTTTTTTATACTAAACTCGAAATGGTAAGCCTGTCCTTTTTTAGAGCAAACTTAGTGATAAATATTTCGCCTAGGATTTTCCACACTATAAGGGGTTGAAAATTAAAACAAATAAGCTATTTCAGTTTTACTCTAAAATATTTCTGATATTTTCAAATAGAACATTTAAGCACTCAATGATCTGGATGACTCATCGCCTATTATTTTGTGTTATCCAAGCTGGGAATTCTTTTCGATTGTTTCTTAATCTATTCTCCCATGCAGGAGCTTTGTTTGACGTCATCCAGTCTTATACCATCGTATTCATGATGACTGGAATCCCTGTTTTGATCTTCACCATCAACATCGTAGTCATATCGGTACTGTTAAACAGAAGAGTCAAGTCCAAACACGTTTAACGTCGCTACAGGCATGATTGATCCCGGAGCTTTGTTTGACGTCATCTAATCAGATATGTCGTCTTCAAAGTCTGTTAAGTCGCCACAAACATAGGTTTTTTTTATTATGTTTTTGTTGCATTATTTTGCCTTGTTTTTCGTTTTGTAATATGTATTTTGTTAGTTTATGGGAGAGAGTCATGGAAACTGACGAATATTTGATGTCATACCTGTATCAGGTAATCTGAACATCTTTCATTGGAAAATGTATTTCCAGTAACCAATTAAAGAACCCCCAGATTAATCAAAAAAGATTAAGAAATTACACTACTTTGCCAAACAGAGTGAAAAACAACCCCATACCTTCACTTATACACATTTACAAAGCAGAAAACAGATGTTTTTTTAATACTACTAATATTATAGTTATGATGTGATCCCATAAGTGCAATACTTTAATTCCAACCATTGTTTTCAATTAATGATACACACAATGTAATGAAATCAAGTTTTTATGTAGATTATTTTATATATATATATATATATATATATACCTCTTTTATATTTATACTGGGGTCTAATCTTATTAATATAAACACTACATCTTCTGTATCGAAGTTAAAAATCTGTGTTAACCATTTATTTGTAATTGTTTAACTGACTGAAATTATCTTCCATTGCCAATGTCACAGTTGTCTCCTCTTCCTCTACCACTTCTACTTTCCCACCTCCTTCTTTATCTCGCCCTTCTTCTTCCTTCTCAATCCCCTTTTCCCTCTTTCTTCTTCTTTTACTTTTACTTCTTCTAATAACTCCCCTTTTTAGAGTCTGGATAAAACATTATAACCTTTTACTTAAAGACCGTCACCATTACTGGGCCAGAAGGGATTAGACCACACAGAGAGCCATCGAGGTCACTGTGACAGGTGGCTATCTCATTAACTCAGCTCTCATTTAACATAAGAAAAAGAGGATCATGGGGGACCAACAGGCACCGATTGGAGAAGTTTTCTATATAGAGGGAGCAAGTAGCTACAAGTATGGCAGTGTGCCTTTAAAATAGCTATACCCTAGAGTAAATATTTAATTCGTACATTTTCTCATATAAGTATTTGTTTTCTACATAACTTCGTCTCTATTATTAGTAGTTTGTATAGTGGATATTGATATTGATACCTTATGATAATAATAATAATAATGGGTTCTTGTATAGCGCTCATGTCAGTCAGATTTGACCCTCCTGGCATCTATAACCTAGAGTAAATTTTTAATTCGTACAATTTCTCATATATTCTTATATTATACCACTATGTAAAAACGATTTATATCCGTGTTTCCATATGAATGTGTCATTGTACATTTGCTACTGTGTATTATATATTGTGTATATTATTGTCTATTGTATATTGTTCATGTGCTTTATGTAATGCCAACAACTTAATTTCCAAATGGACCAATACAATTAATCTGAATGAATGAATCTGAATAAGTATTTGTTTTCTACATAACTTCGTCTCTATTATTTGTAGTTTGTATAGTGTATAATGCTTGGATATTGATATCAATACCTAATATGACAGTGTTCCTAATCGCACTACCCTCTAACTTTTTTGGGTTGAGGTGTGGGAGGTGGTTCAGTCGTCTATTTTCTGCCGGATTTTCTGTTTCTTTCTGTTTGTCTTGTTTTCTTTCTAATGTGTTTTAACCACACGATGGAGGTTTATATCCCCCCCCCTCTTTGAGGCTACGCCACCGTTGATTACTCATCTGATATAATAGTAACTGATTTCTGGCGTAGGAATATCGCTTTTTGGAATCCATATTACATCAATCACAGGTGCAACAAACACACCTACAATCGACTTGTTGATTTGTTTTCCCAAGCAAATGACGCGAAATCGTCAAAAACCACTTGATTTGAGCTAACCTTGCTTTATGGGTTGACCTTTGGACTACAGTGTATTTTCAAATATGAATAGGCAGGAGAGGCCGGAACGTTTACTTTGAAAAAATTGGAGTGGTCAAAGCAGGCCTCGCGCCTGAACTGCAGAGCATGGAATAATAAAATTTCCTTTGAATAATAAATTTCCTTTGTGCTAATATAGCCACTATGTATTCAGCAATCTGATAGCATCGTCTACTATTAATATGTATACTAGTTTTGGCTGTGGGTCGTTGCGCCTAGCTTGCGGGTTCTTTGTCATGAATATGCGGAATTGATTAGCTTGTAGATAGTCCTTAACTTTAAGGTCAATTCTTTACATTATCGGACGTATGTACTGATCGTATCTGAGTATTGAGTACATATTACAGTGCAAGCCATAATAAGCTTGCGTCTGTATATACGGAGTGTTCAGATGTGCTCGGTATATTTGGGATATTAAATATTCTCCACTAATATTTTGCTCACTTCCAACACTTCGGCCTTCTTGAAGACATCAAGAATTGCTACTTAATTGCAGAATTATTATAATATCACTCTTGACTATCAACGTGGTTAAAAGACGGGCAGCAATTATGGCATTATGGAATCTTGCCCCAGTTTCAGTTTTGGTGTTATCCGTGCTTTTCAGCTTTCTCGGGTACAGATGTCTGCTCTGTATGATCGCAGTATGGACAGAAGTAAAGCGGATCGTTCACATTCGGCGCACTCTTCCAGGTGCTCCACCTCACTGGCTGTTCGGCAATGTCCTGCAAGAACCTGGACCCGTGACTCCTGGGTTCGAGTGGCATCGTAACACGCCTAAGACCTATCGAAGACTTCATGTCTTTTGGGCGGGATGGAAACCCATTGTGGTACTGAACCATCCTGAATCTGTACGGAATGTACTCAATGGCAGTGTTGGAACGGTCAAAGTAAGTCATTTAAGATTTTACTCTATTGGAAACCTTATATCGTATTTCATTTTGCGAGCTTAAAACTTGTACAAGGCATATCATGATAATTTGTAATATCCCGAAAAGAACGCCGTTGCCCGTTTCCTCAAGATTTAAGAAGATATGTATCTGAAGAAGAGTGCACCTCTTATTGCTCCTCTTATTTCAGTCACACACACACACACACACACACACACCACAAGCCCACACTGGTATGTATCTCGTATAAGAGCGAGTCCAATATATTTTCTCTCATATAAGTCACGTACCTCATCTTCAGATTTGCATTAGGTTTATAGCCCTCCTAGAGCTTTCATGAGAGCTCATTCTGAAGAGCAGATGAAGAACTGCATCATGTGCTTTTATAATTAGGTCAGAGAAATCAAAACCTTGATATCAATCCTTTTGAGACTGGGCATACGTAAAATCTTTTATTCTGGGCAGTTCCATGGCATGTTGTTACCGACATCATGCTATATTCGTTACCGACATACTTGGTATACTCGATGATTTGATCGAAATGTGGAGCTTGGACCAGAATAAATAACTTGAAAATGGCACTTCAGATGATAACTTTGTTTAGATTCCCCTACTATACTAGGAAGGCCTGGAACACCAAGTCAACAAATACATTTGACCCTAATATTTGTTTTGTTTTGTTCGTCTGACAGAGTGAAGTGTATCGACTATTTGATGAATGGCTAGGCCAACCTATGGCTACAACAGACGGTAATTTATGGAAGAGACATCGGAGGCTCATTACAAACTCTTTCCATTTCAACGTTCTCAAGAGTCATATCCCTAAAATGAATCAGGTATTATGAAATTTTTTGTTTTTTATGAAACATTATTGACAACTTTATTTCTAAGCAATTTGGGTATAATATAAGGAACAAAGATAGGACCAGATACACGTTAAACGTTTAGTATTAAGACTATGTTTCTATTTCGATGATAGGTTACCCGTATGGCCTAATCATATGTCTAACCTTAGCCAGGGTAATAATATCCAAACTTCTTAGGAAGCGCTTGTGAACGTTATATCATAATTTATTATTAAAGGAAGAGGGTTGCGTTATTTTTTCAGTTTAGAACTATTTTGTAATGTATATTCATGTTTTAAACAGATCTATGAATTACTATCGCTACCTTAATTTTTTTGAAACATAACTGATTTCTGTCTTTGTTAATTTTGCTTATGATTAGTATGTTATCCAACTCAGTGGCGTACGCAGGATTTTTTTCATGGGGGTGTTTTAAAATTGGATGGCATCATTAATGTGAACCCCGCGAGGTAGCGAAGCAACCGAACAGCAGAGGGTGTTGGAGGGGGTTATTCCATCGAACGTCGTGAATTTCGATATCCTAGCTTTCAAAAACCTGGGGGTTTTCCTGCATTTTAAGTTTTCACGTTTCTTTTTTATTTCTCCACATTTTACAGTAAATAGAGAAAGACATTATGAAATAGAAATCATATATGTATATGGTATATAAGCATGAAATAATGATATTCAATTCATATGTCAGATTGAGTAAAATGTGAGGAACCTATTGAAAAGCGGTGCTTGCAGATTATAGGTTCCGCATTGCAAAAAGCTCTCGTTGAAAATATACCCCATCACTATAACACAGGAACCAATGTAATTCAATGTAACAAAGTTCTGTTTGTTTAAAGTAGTGCTTGCATTTCCATAATTTTATCAAACGAATTCGTTTTTACTGGCTGCCTGCAGTAGCAACAAGCAGAATTGACAAAAGACTTAACTTCGTTTCGTTGACAATCATGCATGCAAGAAGTCTTTCGTCTACGGCTGATTGACAAGGAAACAGAGTTAAATCTTTTGTTAAATACCGTTTGTTGCTACGATAAGCAGCCAGTGAAAACGAATTCGTGTAATGAAATTATGGAAATACAAGCACTATTTTAAACAAATGGAACTTTGTCATTCCTTGCTCATTTTTCCTAACTGTAGACTTCATATGAAAGGGCAGAAACTCAACTTTCTAGAAATGTGATTTTCTCTTTGAAAAATTCAGATAGCGTCCGCCAAATGACTTTTTGGTTTCCTTTCTTCAAAATCATTTTAATCACTCATGCGTGAAATATGCATTATATGAGTTACATCACATGAAAGAAGAGGATCTAAGCTTTCCAAACATGTGTAATTTATTAATTATAAATGTGAATAAGTTATGATAAAACATCGATAATTCTCGGTTTCGTTTTTTCTGGGACGCACTGTATAGCAAATACTGGCTAAAGACTGAAAAACAGTTTTAGGGTCTGAGGTAATAAAAATGAAAACAAACTTCTCGCTCGGTCGCTACGCTCCCTCACATAATATCCGTCAAAATGTACGAGTTAATATTGAAGAAAATTTGTATTCTGTTGGTATCACGTAGGCGCAGTTTACACTGAATGTTTACACGATTAAGAGTTATATAAATAGATCTGTGCTACAAAAATGATTATGCAGCTTGCTCTTTTAAGAAGTCCCTTCCTGCCTACTTACTAAAATGTACCTAATAAATATTAGTATAAGTGAGAAAACAGTATATTGCTTGTTTTTATATTATAGTTGTTTCTAAAGAATGTAATTTTGTAATACAACAAAACTTCAAAAACCAGTGAGGGGGTATCCCATCTACATTTGTATAGTTCGTAGTCCTCTCCAAAAATTCGTACAATGACCCAAATACAAAAACAGGCTGTACACGACTTATACTAATGATCATGATATTTTATATAGATTGCCGACACCCTGATTTCAGTGATCTCACAAAGAGGTGTGGCGGGAGAGCTCCTCGAACTCCACAAAACCACGAGTGCTTTTTCCAGTGACGTCATCTTACAATGTGCCTTTTCCTACGAGTCAGGCTGCCAGGAGGGTGTCTCAGAATACATGAAATCTGTATCGACCCTGGCTGGCATTGTCATGAAGAGGTACGAAACAGAAGCATATCTCTTTCTAGCATTCTTACTACATAGTACAATCATGCAAGACACAGTGGAATATATTGTTTTCCCAAACGTTACCGACTGCATCTTCTTAGTAGTATTTCTGATTATGATATCAAAATGATAGCTCTGGAACAGCTTCGAATCCTTTGATTACTAGACCGTAGAGTTTCAATTATATTGTTCTTGATGAAGTTTTGGACAACAAATGACCAATTACCCATACGAAAGACAAAATACCAACTAGATATTGAGTATACTTGGTGATTATGTGTTTGCCACATGAAGTTAAACGAGGAAGTAAAAAGGGATGAGCAAGCCTCCTTCTTGCCTTTGAAAGCTTCTTTGTACAGGGATGCATTTAGTTTTTACTATACTAATTGTAATTTATAGTAATAATAATTTTTGTTATAATCTAGAGACAACTTGCTAGGTGCTTATGGTATATCGTCTTTTGAACAAAAATCGTTTGTTTCGTTTTTCTGATAGGTAGTTATAATTGAGGTCCAGTGTTTTCGAGAACCGAATCGTAGGCTAACCTTTAATGAACTACTGCTTTTGAGAAAGAGAAAGGTGAAAAGTTTTGTCCTAGGATAGGATATTACGATAGAACTACATTGGATTATTCAGTACATGGTAGTGGCTTATCATGGTTTTGGGCCAGGTGCGTGGAAAGGACCCAATATTGGTTATGTCACTGCAGAGACAGGATGTGGAGCTAGTCCTTCCAATGACGGAGCTGTGGGATAAATTTCATGATTGATCTCACTAGCGACTGACCTGCAATGGCATAGTTATAGGATGACACTTGGGGCACATTCCCCTACATTGAGTAGTGAAAAAAGAGAAAAAGGGAGAACGGAAAGGAACGAAGAAATCATTTTGACCACCTTCCTCCCCTTCCCCCTCCCCTGTCCTCCCTCCCCTAATAAGTTGTCCATTCACATTTAATTTCCGAGAAAAGACCGAGTCCCCGCTCACCATGGGTGGGCTTTTGTAACGTAACTGCTGACGTATATCATGGACCTACTACAACATGCTTATATGTTCTTGTTGAAGGTCTCTGAGCCCACACCTCACCTACGACTTCATCTTCCGACGATCTTCACTCTACAAGTCTTGGAGAAAAGAGATCGACGTCCTTCATAGACTTCAGGAGAAACTCATCTCTGATCGTAGGGAGCAACACAGACAGACCGGATGTACGGTAAGCAGGAACTAAGGAACAAATGGTACAGGCTTCGTGTTGCCTCATAAAAAGCAATGATCACAAATTTTGAGCAGCAAAAGGAATAATAGTTACACCAACTTTTTTAATGTTGTTGATATGTGACAGCGCAAAGTTTTCAAAATCCGACACAAAGTTAATATCGCTATAAATATAGCAGGGTATGGTGGGGGTGTGGGAGGGCTGTGTGTGTGCGGGTGTCTGAAAAATTCAACGTGTTAGGGGAGCGTGCATGTGTGTGTGTTTTCTGTAAAGGAAGGTATGCGTCAAGGTATGAGGGGCCGTGGTTGTGTTAGTGTTTGTGTGTTAATATATGGGTGTTGGTGCGTGTGCGTGTGTGAGTGTTTGTACGAAATGCCTAAATATACTAATTTTTTTATATAGGAATTTTCCAAGGGCAAGGATATCTTGGATACTCTTATGTTGGCAAAGGACACAGAGGGCGGACTAACGGATAGAGAAATGAGAGACGAGGTATGTATAATTATGAAACTTTGGAGGGCAACATTTGAGACACATCTATTTCCTTTTCGATTTTTTTTTTAGACGTAAAAAACATAATCCATCATATTTATGAAATGATTAAACCAGCAAATCCATAGACAATACTTTTTAGCTAGGTTTAATTGACCATACTCAACACTGTGGTCGTGAAAACTTTAGCAGACATCTTTGAATTTGACAACTCTATCAATACAACTGAAGCCAAGATTTGAAAACTTCCAGTTGGTTACACCAAGAATGAGGAAAAATCAAACATCGTATTTATATCATTTTATATTCGAAAGATAAATAGTTTCGTCTTTGCCGGAATTGATACGACGTCTAGCGCCCTCACGTGGCTGTTGTACTTGCTGGCTACTCACCCAGAATACCAGACCAAGGTCCAGGAAGAAATTGATGAACTCTTCCAAGATCGTGATCCTGAAGTTCGCAGGTAAAAAAGATGTATCTTACTTAGTATTTTTACACGGTATAAATAATTGGTATGATGATATACAGATATCCATATGGAAACCAGTAACTTGACCCCCAAAATCAGGTAGCCTGAGAGCCTGTAGATTTCCTAGAAAGCTGGAAATTAAAAAATGGGAGCTTTTCCATTCTTTTTATTTTAGTGTGGAAGAGAAGACAGAGAAGACAAAATGGCTCTTCAAATGCACTTAATCGAGTGGTAAACAAGAATTCAAAATATGACAAGTAATAGCTAGAGGTTGTGAACCACACTTTCATGCCACCTGTCTGTGTAGTCCCTTGAAGACATTTCTATGTAGAGTGGTGCTTCTAGCAAGAATGGGTAAATTTCTTACCAATTTCATGTTTTCAAAAACATCACAGTTTTAATACACCAATACTTATTACCTAAAATAATCAACCTTTTCCACTCGCTTCCAGTTTCCGTTACGATGCAATGGCATGACTAGAACTCCATTCTATGGAAAGATTAAACATTTGGAAATAATGTATTGAATTTTACGGAAACACCATGTATGTAATCCTTAAAATTAGGACTGTTGTTATTCTTTCGGCAATTTACTACTTGGTGTTTCCGTATACTTATATACCTTTGTAGCTGTTCCACCATGCATTCCTACCAAAGACATTCAAACAATTGCAAAAGATAAAGGAATTGTAGCCGGCTAGACAGTGGCTGTCACATACTTTAATTGTAATTACCAACCTAAAATAAGTGATTCATGAAGTAAAACAATAAAGACCGGACAAAGCTGGCAAATACATTATTAAGTACTCTTTTCCCAGTTGGTTCAGGATGTGCGGAATATAATATAAATAAATAAATATGCGGAAATACAGAATATTATTTTCAAGATCATGTCTCTGCAGTAATCTCCTCATTGACTTCGAACAAAACAAACGAACAGAAAATAATGTATGTTGCTCATGAGGCGTCATTATTAGGGACTATTAGATTAGCACGTCGACAGCTTTTACTGTAACGTGTGACGTCATTTTAAGGCACTGCGCATGCGTCACGTCGTCTCAGTCGGCGATCGAGAATGCGTCAACCTAGCACTATGAATATGACTGACAAAAAAGCGGACAAAATATACAGTTCCTCAGGTAGACAAATGAACATCCCTTCACTGCTATTGTGTAAAATTTGTAGAACAGGTGTCACATGCATATTCACCTGTTCTACACATGTTTACACAAAAGCAGTGAAGGGATGTTCCATTGTCTACCTGAGGAACTGTTTATTTTGTCCGCTTTCTTTGTCAGTCATATTCATAGTGTTGATTTTCCTAAATCTAGTACGGTACTAGTATTTGCCGCATGTGCATTAATATACAGTTCCTCAGGTAGACAAAGGAACATCCCTTTCCTGCTATTATGTAAAAATGTGTAGAACAGGTGTCACATGCATATTCATACACATTTTTACATAATAGCAGTGAAGGGATGTTCTACCACAGCAATAGGCCAGTTTCGTAATGTAACCAAATTTAATGCATACGTCTTTGTGAAGTGCCTCAATACAAATTATTTTATTCACCTGATAAGAATAATAGTATTTCAATAGTCATAATGCAACTGCATATATTAAGTGTTGCTAGGTAGGTCAAGCCATAATGTTTGTCCAACCTGGCAACAACTAATGTATGCAGTTCGGATTCTGTCTAATGAAAAATACTATTATTCTTATCAGGTGAATAAAATAATGTGTATTGAGGCACTTTACAAAGACTTATGCATTAAATTTGGTTACATTACGAAAGTGGCCTATTGTTGAGGATAGAATGAGGAACTGTATATTTTGTCCTCTTTCTTTGTTCGTCATATTCATAGTGTTACTTCCTGCATGCATGTATATCGTCGAGTACAATCTAAAAGATTTCTAATTGTAGTCAACATGGGCAGTTGAGTACGTTGACACGCATGATCAGTCGGCGTTCGTCGTGTTCTCGTCCACTCAATCTAAAAGTCACTAGTGACCTGACATAGTGATACGTCTGTGACTAGCGCAACCTTTGACGCATATCATGCAGTACAAAAAGTTGTTGTTGTTGCTGTTTATATTGTTGGCGCGCGTTCAGTCAAAATTGACTATTTACGCCTGTCTGTTAGGAGTAATATTGTCTATGTCAGTCAAATCATTTGTCGTTGAGAAAACTGTGCGCCTGTGCTTTCGCTTGTCCAAAAAGTACAAAAAGTCAAACAGTGCAAACATTTATACTACATCGTTAGCACCTGCACTTATATTCTAAAGTTAGACTGGATTAGCGCTGGTGAGAGAACAGTCTAAATGACGCTTCGCGTGCAACATACGGGCGTTAAACGGGCGTTGATATTTCAAATTATATTTTTGATCAATAAAATCCTGTTCAGTGATTGGTCAACATGGCATCACGTGACCAAACATAACATTGCTATGATGTAACCGTGACGTCATCCATGGTATATTGCACTATTGAAAGTTGGTTTGAAAAATATAAAACAAATATATCATGCACTATTTCAAGCCACTGGTGAAATTATGGATCCTCGGCGACACAAATATTCCTGCCACCTCGATCCATAATTTCAACTAGAGCCTCCTAGTGCATGGTATATTTGTTTACTATTGATACTATTTTCCCCTATGCAGTGAAGATCTCCATCGTACCCCATTTCTAATGAAATGTGTCAAGGAGAGTCAGCGCATGTACTCGTTCGTATCCCCAGGCCGCCTACTGACCGAACCCCTGGTCGTCGACGGTCTAACAGTCCCAGCAGGCACCGAGCTTACCCTCTTCACCTATCAGCTCCATCACAACCCTGACGTCTGGGGCGATGACCATATGACATTCAGACCAAGTCGTTTCGACCGCCAGAACGTCGAAGGCCGAGATCCGTTCGCTTTCATTCCCTTCTCCGCAGGTGCTCGCAACTGCATCGCACAGCAGTTCGCGCTACAGGAGATACAGGTAGCAATGATTCGGATTTTCGACAAGTTCTGCTTTACTTTGGTCCGTGACTCCAAGCCAGTCTTACGGGTTGTTAGTGTACCAGAAGATGAAATACTGCTAGGTATTCATCCTCGGAGTAAAAAATAATTTGGTACATCCTTCGATTAATTATTGCTATCACCATTATATGTTAAAGTAACGGTTTCCCCCACGATTTCCCCTACGATGGTAAAACTATCCCCGCCTGTTCATATTGCATTATATATTGATGATTTGATTTATATTCCACCATAAAAGCATGCCATCCATAGAGTAGTAATATGTGTGTATGAAATCTCACTTCTGTATTACTGTGCAGATTGTATTGCAGCTGCTCTTGCGACAATTGCTCTGCGTCGATTTCTTCCAATAACCGAATTCGTACCGTCAACCCCGGACCCAACGCTTTATCTAACCTAACCATACACCTAAAATAAAACTGAATTGCAACCCTTACTGTGACCCTATATACATTTGACGAAATAAAGCCCGGAACAGCTGTCTCAGTAGCAAATATATGATTTGTATATATAATATCCGTGTGCAGTTCCTAATTTCATCTTTATATACCGGGAGCTTATCGTGAAGATTTGTCGTTTTTTATGATTGATAATTTCTTCAGCAACAATCAGAAGCTGATGAACAGGTGATGGACATTTGGCTTCAACGTATATCTCTTGCATTAAAGAATGGAACAGTCTGCCTGATGATATATTAAACAAAAAATAATACAATTCTTTCTAGCTTTAGAAGGTTATCTAAAACGTATCTATTTGAAAGACTGACATAGTTTTTCTTTGCATCTTAGTAATTTCTTATGCTTTTTGACCATTAAGGAACTACTCATTAGTTTGTTTGCTGTGTATGTGCGTGTGTGTGTGAGAGAGAGAGAGAGAGAGTATTTGTATGTTCTATATTCTGTAGCTTAGTATTTTCATCCATTGTATAATCATACGTAACCTTCTTTTTACGGTAAATGTATGTATTTTGTTGACTTTAGGGCCCCGCTCACAAGCTTAGCTTCTATAAAAGGGGTCCTATAACCGTTCAGTTTATTATGTAATCAAGTTAGAATATGTTGATTGATGTACTATTACCAGTCTCTTTTTTATGTAACAGATTATATCATGCTTTGCGTGGTTTTGAATAAAATGAACTGAACTGAACTGAACTATTGCATTTATATATTCTCTGTGGAAAATAGGTATATTTTGAAAATTCCGGTATCTGTACTTCGTTTAAAAATAAATTGTTAAAGGGAGTCTGTATCACAAATTTTTGATGAACGATAGTTCTGCTTTCATAGCTACATGTACTCTAGTGATAGGTATGTTTACTAATTACATTGCAAAATATCATAGTGTTACAGTGTAATGTTTAATAAAGCTTTTATAGTTTCTGATAAATGTATGTAATTGTATTTTGTAAATAGGTACTCCCTGTGCAGAAACAGACATTCAGAGTACTAATCTATAGTTTGTCCTCTTGGATTATATTTTTCGGATGGAATTTGTATGATTTTTATACGTATAAACAAATAAAAAGGACTTTGGAATATATATCTTTCTTTTACCTTTCCTTTTTTCGCTTTCCGGTTCTCATATCTCTCCGCGATGTCTTATGTTCATGGTTATAGGTTGCGTCTTCCCCTGAACCATAATTAGCCTTATTAATAGCCCTGCATGGTAATTCGTATCCCACCCCACACACACACACACCTACCAGCTACCCCCCCCCTCATTTTGCCAGTGCTCCCTTAACCCAATATCGGTACCGTGTCTCCTCTCAGTGGTGTTTTTGCATTTCTTTTGATTCATTTGATTTAGATTACATGATTATTTCAAAACATGACTTAAAAGTTTTGGCCGATCCAATATTGTTAATACGCTGTTTTCGGTTCTTAAACGGTGAGACGACATTTCGGCAAGACTCGGCATCCTCGACGAGCCAATTACGACTATGATCATTTTGCTAGTTTAAAAAACAGGTGACACCGTTAAAAATTTAAATGAAAAAACAAGTAATTATCGCACAGTTATCTTCAGTTATAACAATTGACCTCATCAATGACCTCTGGTTTGGTTCTGTTCCGGACGTCCGCGAGTTGACGAGGAGAGAGCAACCCGTCACCGTGGTGGTTGAAATAGAAACTGGACACCAAGCGACCATCAACGGATCTCGGACTATGGTACTTTTAATACACCCTCTCACTGTAGCCAGATACAGATACTTAATGCAAAATGAAAATTCCAGTTCCTAATGAAACTGATGAAACTGCATATGGACAAATTTCAGGTATCTGCTCACACGGTCTCGCTCCGCGGTCTACAACACGTGTGTGAAGAAATGCTCCTACAAGGAAAACAAACTCATATTGCTCCGGTTGTCTCATTTTCGCTCGCTGGACCATTGCCAGCACAAACGTAGTTAGTTCGACGTCACTACCAAACTAGAATGTTCCACTATGTTGCAGGGTGTATATGCCATTGGGTTTGATGTGTGAACCGGGTGTGCGGAAATGGTGTGTTGGGGAGGGGGAGTGAGAGTGTTCATGTGTGTGGTAATTATGTCGACAAAAAAGTTAAAGACTAATAAATGACAGATGGCGTATCATAAATCTACAATGACGAGTAAACTGTGTACATGACAGTCCCCAGATCAATGTGCCTTGAACGTATATAGCAGATCAGACGACACTTGATAGCGATTTTGTATGTCAGATTGCTTTGCAATATACAAAATACAAGAACCTTTTCAATATCTTTTGACTATCATTGATATCTGATAATTAAACAGTTAGTAAAATAAACATACCAAACTACATAATGCAATGAAATACTTGACTGAAAGTAGGGGAGTTTGATGTGGTGCACAATTGCACCCCTCTGTAAATAATCGAGTAGTCCATGGCGGTCATGAATATTCATGTGTTTGCTTACCTCGGCAAAATGTTTTCCTATAGTAAATGGAAACATTACGGTGGGGGTTGGCTGAAATGGACATAATGAACCAATCAGAACTGATCTATGACAATTCATGCTTGTTATCCTTCGTGTGCTTGACCTATAACCTTACAATCGCGTGGCAAATTGCGTCCAAAGTTTGACTTGTTGCACATGTGTTATATAGGTAGTGGCGAGCTGGAGACCTATCAAATTACGGTGGATGAACTTTCAAAAGTCATTGGGACATGAGGGTTCCAATGAAAGAGCTAGTGTCAACGTACATCGGGATGGATGTGCTTTTCGTTTAAACAAAAAATGAATTTTTAACGATTTTTTTTTTTTTTTTTTTTTTTTTTGGGGGGGGGGGGGTAAAAGTCCATACGCTAACATGCTAGGCCGCTGGACTCTGACGATAGGGGGCGTTGTCCAATGAGACTAAACGGAGATATATGCATCTTGGGTGAAAATCACATATTCAAATATTGTTCTTTCCACTGATACAAATTTCGAACTGATTTGTAGACTGGAAAATAGGACCTTTTCGTCTTCAAATATGGACAACAATCATTAAATTTGTGATTTCACTATGGAGGACACAGGAAAATTCGCCTTTTTCACTGGGGGTTGTGTACTTCAAGGAGATAATGCTCGTAAGTATACTACTTGTTATTGGGGTCTCGGCCGCGAAAACAGAGAGTATATAATCCCCTGCCGTCTGATGTAACACATCATTTGATTGGTTGTCGAGAAAGAAGGGCCAATTTCAATCCAATGAAAAATAGCTTTTATAAAATTACGAATGACCTCTATAATTTATGCAAGTGCGTAATCGAAGTTTTTACACAGCGGACAATGATGCTTACACACAGGGCTCGCAGCCATGCGTATATCGACCGCGAAATTAGACTCAGCTCCAGCGATGGAAAAGACGCATTTTAGTTCATATTGTAGTTCATTTTATTTCTTCTTTCACAAACATTTGTACATAGAATTTCAAATAAAGAAACTGGAACAGCAGTTTATCAGTATAACGAACATAATTGGAAGCGCAATAGTAACGTTCAGCATACAACTCTTGTTATTAACTAAAGAAATTATATACAAAAGTTATTTATGTAAGATCATGTGCTGTACATGAAAGAAAGAGGAGACCTTATAAAAGCTGGGCTTGTTAGAGAAAGGTCCCCAAACAGAATATAGTTGACTGTTCGGCAATTTACAGAAGGGAATTTAGACATTATGGCCGATATTTTACGAAAAAAAGGTGTGTAGGGTTTAGATTTTATCTCTCCCGATACACAGGTTCTTTAGTTTTCCTGAAATTTAGCAAATTAATGGCACTCTAAACTCGCTGCATGAGCAGATCTAAATCCTCACGGATATATCTGTTTGTGAAGGAATCGCATATTCATATTGCAGGGTGATCCCGGCCATCTTAGACGGAGGGATGACAATGGACTTATGCATTGTGATGTGCATCCGCATCTACTAGAATTAGATATATAATTTCCTTATTTTTTTTGGGGGGGGGGGAGAGGGGAGAGAGAGAGTTGACAAGTCACGCACGCACAGCGGTGTTGACATTCACACTCTCACCAATTTTCTACGATAAACCTATTTCATAAATATCCGGTACCTTGGTGTTACGCTCTAGTGCACTCAAACGTTCGCCGTTTGTGTGGGAGGTACACTGATCTTTAGGCCGAATGTGGGTGAAATTTGTTCATATTACTTATATAGAAGATTATATAAGGCGGTGTCACACAGAAAAATCCCGACCTATCTTGAATAAACCAGATTTTAGAAATCTATTTTTTTTCATTTACGTCGGTGACAGACTGGTGACAGACAGGCTACGAATAATTTCCGGATAACTAAAATCCGGATGTTTGGCGTCTGTGTGACACCGCCTATAGACTTGTTTTTCCTGTGCGTGGATCGTTGCGCTTTAATGGTTTCTTTGTCTTGAATATGCGAATTGAAAATAAGCTCGTTTATTGTAGTCCGTACAAGTCTATTCCATTATATTATGAATATGAGTAATCTATAAATATGAGTATTAAGTTACAGTGCAAGTCAATGAGCTGGCGTCTGTATACGGCAGCTCAGATGTGCTCGCGGTATAGAAGAGATTAGATATTCTCCACTTATCCATGCAATCGGCCTTCTTGAAGAATCATTGTGATATTACTCTTGACTATCAACGCGGTGAAAAGTGGGGCAGCAATTATGGCATTATGGAATCTTGCCCCAGTTTCAGTTTTGGTGTTATCCGTGCTTTTCAGCTTTCTCGGGTACAGATGTCTGCTCTGTATGATCGCAGTATGGACAGAAGTAAAGCGAATCGTTCACATTCGGCGCACTCTTCCAGGTGCTCCACCTCATTGGCTGTTCGGCAATATCCTGCAAGAACCTGGACCCGTGACTCCTGGGTTTGAGTGGCATCGTAACATGCCTAAGACCTATCGAAGACTTTGTGTCTTTTGGATAGGATGGAAACCCATTGTCATACTGAACCATCCTGAATCTGTACGGAATGTACTCAATGACCGTGTTGGTACGGTCAAAGTAAGTTATATTTAGACTTTCTTGTATTAGATACCTTATAACGTATTTCATTTTGCGACCTTAAAGGTATACTATGTCCCATTTGCAGGTCCAAAAAAATGAAAAGGCTCAATTCCAACGGCATTTGAAAGACAATACTAATTTAGAACTTCCCTACAAAAAGGGGGCTTGAAAATGTCTTTAAGTGGGAAAATAACGACTATTAGTAATTGTTGTCGAATCGACTTAGGAGCTAGAGAGCCAGTAAGTAAGACTGATTTTTCAGACCATTGTACCGAATGGTCGAATGTTTTATGCTGCGCAAAGATCTAATCAGTTTAATTTTGGCCATTACAAGAAGTGGGTTATTGATGTAGACAAATGCTCATGTACCATTTACAGCTCATTTTATGTATTACTAAAGATGAAAAAAGCCAGTCAGTCACTCAATAGTGTCTGACGGTTAAGTCTAGCAAGTAAACTGGTTTTCTTGCATAATTTGAATATTAGGACACTGCTCAAGTTTAAATTTCACAGATAGGACATACATAACATATTCATAATTCCTGCAAAGTTCTATAGAATTTGATGTTGGCTGCAAAAGGGACATCTTTAAAACTTGTACATTTCATGATAATATGTACCGAAAAGAACGCCGTTGCCTGTTTCCACAAAATTTAAGAAGACATTATGTCTGAAGAAGATTGCACAACCACAATTAACAATCAAAATCCGACGAGTTTTCAGGCAAACATTCCAGGGGGCTAACCTTCCAGGGTTAATGACGTAATGAGCAAAACGTTTGGAAGGGGGGGGGGGACAGAAGAAAAATCTGCATCACCACCACTCTTACACGTTACATGCAGGCCACGCGGATTAACGATCAGGTGGAGCGTAAATTTGGCGTGGGGTCCAGTGCCTGAGCCTCGGCCGGGGGTCAAGGGGCTGAGCCCTCGGAGCTCAGGGTTTTTAGGCATTAATAAATCAGATAAGCATATTTAGATACCTTATTTGTGACACTGGCAGGCCACTAATTGGCGGAGAGTCCAGGGAGCAGAGCCCCCGGAAGATCAGTGGTTTTAGATATTTAATTACGGTTAGTTGAGCATCCAGGGCCCTCTTTAAGGCTATTGACGTGGTCCAGGGGGCAGAGCCCTCGGAAGCTTAGAGGTTTTAATATTTAATTACGGTCAGAATCCAGGGGCCGCCTTACGGCCCTTGGTGGGGTCCAGGGGGCAGAGCCCCCGCAAGCTTAGGGGATTTAGGTATTTAATTACGGTCAAATGAGCATCCAGGGGACCGCCTTTGGGCCCTCGGTGAGGTCCGGGGGCAGAGACCCAGTAAGTATTGGGGTTTTAGGCATTTAATTACGGTCAGATGAGCATATTTTGATACCTCATTTGTGACATTGGCAGGCCACTTACTTTTTTTCTCTCTCTCTCTTTCTTTCTTTTTCTCTGTAATATACTTTTTCAAAAAGTGAGAGGGGCTCGAGCCCCCGAGCCCAGCCGCTTTGCAGACCGTGACATAAAGGCTTCTAAATAAGCATATTTTTCGCCCGACTGTAAATTTGGGAATTTCTAATTTTCCAACAAACGCATAAAAAGTATGACTTACAAAAAAAATTGAGAAAAATACCGGAAAATCATGTCATTTCAGCAACATTTGTCAATCACTGGTATCGAATAAGAAATACCCCCCCCCCCCCCATCAGTGTTCAGGGGCTCATGTCTTCTTACCCCTATAACAAAAAAACTGACACGCTTTCCCATTCTCTCACAATATGCCCACGATATGCGCGTATCGCTATTATAAAAACGTCCATTGATAAATATAGGTGGCATGAGCAATGTTTAGGAAATTAAATTCCTGTTAACTTTCCTTTTCTTTGAATGGAATTTCATATGTGATTTACTTCAGGTTTTTATTATTGTTATTTTTTGGGGGGTAAAAATACAAACCATCTTTACTCCTTTACTCCTTTTTTTTTTTTTTGGAGGGGGTTTGGGGGCAAAAATGCGTTTCCCCCACTACTTTTTTGGTTGGGGGGGGGGGGTGGGCAACTGCCTCGGTTTCTCTGGCGAGCGAAGTGAGCCAGAATTTACGGACTCCGACTCCAACAGCGTTAGGGCCATCGACAAGAGGCTAGTGTTATACAGGTATAGGCAAAGATGGCGACCTGGCGACCTGTCTTGATCAAACTACGGTGGGTGAACTTTCGAAAGTCAATGGGGCATGAGGGTTCCAGTGAGAGAGCTAGTGTCAACATACGTTGGGTGGGTGTGATTTTTGTAGTAAACCAGGGAGGTGAAAGAAAGGTGTGGTAACTCTTGTAATCTATTCAAACGCATTCGTGATTTCTAAAGCTTAACAATGGGATGTGTAATATTCGACTTGGCTTTGAAGTTCCATGCTCCGAACCGCTCTTCCACTGCGGGGAATTTCGGAGACCATGCACCAGTTTCACATTTATTACAAAATGTCAAATTACCGGCAAAATTTCAGTGTAGTTATAAACTTTAGTACGGGGAATGTAATGGGAATAGTGCATCAAACTATTTTTCCAATTAGTACTCCGCCCTTTCTATAATGTGTGTGCCAGAGTTAGTAAAAGAAAAATTAGATCCTGACGAAAAGTCAATATTTTAGGATAATGCGCTAATTTGTGCGTGTTTTAATGCCCGTTATTTAATCCATATTATACAATCTTCGATAACTATAAGTTGGCTAATGCGAGTTTTCGCGTGTTTTCTGTATTTTTGCAGTTGGAAAAAGGATGAAATTACACAATTTTGTGTTCGCTTGCTCTACTCATTACACATTTAATAATTGATGAGAAATCAATGAAGGGCCAGCGAACAGTTTATGTGATACCATTTCTCATGTAGGAAATCTAAATCCTGAAATGTCATGCGCTCTTTTATTTCACCACCTGGTCAACAGTTGCAGATTAGCGCATATAACTTTTCGGCGGCTTGGAGCATGGGGTCAAAGGAGAGCGGCTTAATTCCAGTCCTTCTCCATCACATCCCTGTTTAAACAGACAAAAATAATTTTTTTTTAAGGAGTTTTTTTTGGGTAAAAGTCCATAGGCTAACGTGTTAGGCTGCTGGACTCTGATGATAGGGGGCGTTGTCCAATGAGACTAATCGGAGCTATACGACTTTCCTGTCCGGAAGACAAACATTGGGAGCTGTGCATTGCCACAACCTACTACTTCTTTAACTTAGGATAGATACAACAAAGGCCTCAAGATTATTTAACTGTTTCCAGTGCAAGATTAATCTTTACCCGCGTTAAAAGGGTTGCTATGGCGCTATAATCAAGACAGAAAATGAGTAATTTTGGAAATCCATTTATTGCGCAAAGCGGTCCTTCCTTCAATTGGTGACTATTGTTTTGGGCAAAAATGCACATGTGGTAAACGAGCGACCGCGCAGAAAGATGAAGAAAGCAACAATCGGAGTGTGAACGTGAAATAAACGTAAAGCAATAAAAGGTCATTATGGTATAGATGAGGAAAAATACCTCGGAACATATCTTGGCCTTGTATAATTCAGATTCAGATTACTTTTATTGGTCCATTTTGAATTTTAGTTTGTCGGCATTACATAAAGCATATGGAAACATGGATATAGTTTTATCGTTTTTACATAGTGGAATAATATTAGAAAATAAATGGACTTATAACAATTGAAAATGTACGCTTGCGTAGAATTCGGAATATATTAATATTATTTTTATTATTATCATTTTTAATATTATTATAGTTATTATCATCTTCATCATCATCATTATTATTATTATTGATTATTGTCATCATCATCATCAATTTTTTTCCCGTAAATTAAACGGTATATAAATAAAACTTGGATGAACATAATGATATCATAGGGTATTGTTTATTTTCTTTGCTCGTGATACTGGTGCATTTGGTTTAAAGGAAGCGGTACAATGCAATTGATAAATAGCGAAGTGGCAAAATACAGGCCTATTCAATTGACCTATGCTAGCATGATTGGCTGTTCTCTGCAATATCTTAACATGATTGAAGTGATGGTGCTCATTCTGAAGAGCAGATGAAGAACTGCATCTTGTGCTTTTAGAATGAGGTCAGAGAAATCACAAACTTGATATCAATCCTATTGAGACTGCATGGGCATACGTAAAATCTTTTATTTTGGGCAGTTCCATGGTATTTTGTCACTTTCGTTAACGGTATACTAGATGATTTGATCAAAATGTCATTCCTACTGGAACATGGGTGTCACAATATATAACGTGAAAAATGGCACTTAATAATAACTTTGTTTAGATTCTCCCTACTAGGAATTTTATAGGAAGGCATTAAACACCAAGTCACCAAATACATTTGACGTAATATTTCTTTTGTTTTGTTCGTCTAACAGAGTGACGTGTATAGACTATTTGATGAATGGCTTGGCGACGGTTTGGTTACAACAGACGGCAAAGTATGGAAGAGACATCGGAAACTCATTACAAACTCTTTCCATTTCAACGTTCTCAAGAGTTATATCCCTAAAATGAATCAGGTATTAAGATAATTTTATTCAACATTATTGAATTCTTTATATTTTTGTAGCAAGTTTGTGTAGGAACAATAATTATTGTCATATCAGATATCACCAGATACACGTTAAAGATTTATTATTAAGACTATGTTTGTATTCAGATGATAGGTGACATAACTGGGTTCAGTCTTTGTTCATTTTGCTATATTCTGCATATTATTAGTATGTTATTCATCTGCACATGATTTGTATAGATTGTAGTCCTCTCGAATCAGTGGCCCCAATACACCAACAGGCTGTACACAACTTATACTAATGCTCACGACTATATATATATATATATATAATATAGATTGCCGACACCCTGATTTCAGTGATCTCACAAAGAGGTGCGGCGGGAGAGCTCCTCGAACTCCACAAAACCACGAGTGCTTTTTCCAGTGACGTCATCTTACAATGTGCCTTTTCTTACGAGTCAGGCTGCCAGGAGGGTGTCTCAGAATACATGAAATCTGTATCGACCTTGGGTACCATTTTCATGAAGAGGTACGACACAGAACATAACTCGTGCTAGCAGGGGCGGCGATCCGGGGGGGGCGAGGGTCGACACGCCCCCCTTCAATTTTTTACGAAAAAGTGAGGAAAAAAATGTATTACAAATACTGACTAAAGACTGCAACACACTTTTAGGTTCTGGAGGGCCAAAGAGTGCGCGTTTAGACTAATACCAATGCAAAATTCTTCTCGCTTCGGCAATCCCGGGGGGGGGGGGGCGAGGGTCGACAGTCCCCCCTTCAATTTTTTACGAAAAAGTGAGAAAAAAATTTATTGCAAATACTGACTAAAGACTGCAACACACTTTTAGGTTCTGGAGGGCCAAAGAGTGCGCGTTTAGACTAATACCAATTCAAAATTCTTCGCGCTTCTAGTTACGCTTCCTCGCATAATATACTTTAAAATGTACGAGTAAACATTGTAGAAAAGTGAAGCGTGAAAAAAAAAATTGTTTTTATACAAAAGTTTTGGTATTAAAGGAATGTAATTTTTGAATACAACAAAACCTGTGAATTGGTCACTTCCGTCACCTTTACCCCTCTCGTTCTTGATTTACAAAAGTTGCTAAAATAGCATGATTTTTTTTCCCTGAGCTTCCGAGGGCTCTGCCCCCCTGAACCCCACCAAGGATCCTTAGGCGGGCCCCTGTATGCTCATTTGACCGTTATTAGATGCCTAAACCACCTGCGCTTATGGGGGCTCCACCCCTGGACCCAACTCCAATTAGTGACCTGTATTCCAGCGTCACAAATAAGGTATCAAAATGTCCTGATCTGACTGTAATTAAATATCTAAAACCCCTGGGCTTCCGGGGGCTCTGCCCCGTGGAACCTTCCCCCAAATGTTTTTGCTCATTACGCCACTGCTCCCTCGTCCCTCGCACCCCCCCCCCCCGGTCATGAAAAGAAATCGCCGCCCCTGCCTGCTAGCATTCTGACTACATGCAAGACACAGTGGAAGATATTATTTTCCCAAACGTTAACGACTAGATCTTCTAATGTAGTATTTCTGCTTATAATATCAAATTGATAGCTCTGCAACAGCTTCGAATCATTTGCTTACTAAACCTTAGAGTAAGGGAAATTGCATTTTCGCGGTCAACTGACGTTTGTTCCGTTTCCATTATATTGTTCCTGGTAAAGTACGGGACAGCAAATTACCAATTATCTTAGAATTGTCCATACGAAAGATAAAATTTCAAATGGATATTTATCATTTGGTGATATTGTGTTGGCCACATAATGTGAAAGGAGGAAGTACACGAGGATGAACAAGCCTCATTCTTTCTCACGAAAGCTTGTTTTTACAGGGGTGTACTTAGTTTTTACTTGTTAGTATAATTGTTTTTTAAAGTAATAACGATGGTTACTTTAATCTATAGACCGCTTGCTCGGTGCTTGTAGTCTTTTATCTTTTTAAAGAAAATCACTTGTTTCGTTTTTCTGATAGGTAATAATTGAGGTCCAGTGCTTTCGAGAACCGAATCGTTACTTTGAAGGAACTATTGCTTAGGGTAGGATACCTAAATAGAATTACGTTGGATTATATGGTACATGGTAGTGGGCCAGGTGCGTAGAAGGACCCAATGTCAGTACCACCCAATGTTGGTTATGCCACTGCAGATACAGAGACTGTTCGATGACACTGGGGCGTGTGCCCCTCAATCGAGTGTTGAAACAAAAGGGAGAAAAGAGAAAAAGGGGAAAGGGACGGGGGGAATTGGATCGCTTCCTTCCCCCTCCCCCTCCCTCCTCCCCTCCCCTCCCACTCCCGTCCCCTCCCCCTCCCCCTAATAAGTTGTACGTTCACAATTGATTTCCGAGAAAAGACCGAGTCCTCGCTCGATCACCAAAGGGTGGGCTCACGCAACGTAACTGCTGACTTATATGTTCTTGTTGAAGGTCTCTGAGCCCACCCCTTCTCTACGACTTCATCTTCCGACGATCTTCACTCTACAAGTCTTGGAGAAAAGAGATTGACGTCCTTCATAGACTTCAGGAGAAACTCATCTCTGATCGTAGGGAGCAACACAGACAGACCGGATGTACGGTAAGCAGGAACTAAGGTACAAATGGAACAGGGGAGCGATTTTTGTATAGTTTCACATTGCCAAATAATTAAAATGCGATGCTCACAAATGTGGTGCAGCGAAATGAACAGAAGTTACACCAACCTTCTCCATGTTGTTAACAAGTCATGTGACAGCGCAAAGTTTCCAACATCCGACACAAAGTTAATCTCGTTATAAACATAGCAGGGTATGGTGTGGGTATGGGAGGGATGTGTGTACGAGTGTATGTGTAAAATATTCAATAATAACATTCGTTTGCATTGTATAGCTTTATTGGGGGAGCGTGCGTGTGTGTGTGTGTGTGTGTGTATGAAATGCCTAAATAAATTCATTTTTTTATATAGGAATTTTCCAAAGGCATGGATTTCTTGGATACTCTCATGTTGGCAAAGGACGCAGAGGGCGGACTAACGGATAGAGAAATGAGAGACGAGGTAAGTATATGAATCTTTGGAGGCCAATAATTGAGACACATCTATTTCCCTTTCGTTTTGTTTAAAGTAGAAAACATAGTAGAACATATACAATGGTTACACCAGCAAATACAAACATTAACTAAGTTTAATCCGCCATACTCAAGTCGTCATGAAAATTTAAGCAGACGTCTTTGATTTGTACTACTCAACAGGACATGATCAATACTACTGAACCCATAATTTAAAAACGTCCAGTTGGTTTTTACCAAGAATAAGGAAATAATCAAACACAGTATTTGTATCATTTTATCGTGGAAAGGTAAATACTTTCCTTCTCGGCGGGATTGATACAACGTCCAGCGCCCTCACGTGGTTGTTATACTTGTTGGCTACTCACCCAGAATACCAGACCAAGATCCAGGAGGAAGTTGATGAACTCTTCCAAGATCGTGAGATTCGTGAAGTTCGCCGGTAAACAAATATGCCTTATTTAGAACTAGGTCCTGTTCATTGGTTTGAATGATATACAGACAGTAACTTGACACCTGCACAATGAGGAAGGTTAAGGAGAACAAAATTTGTGATCTTATCTATTCTTATGTTAGTGTAGAAGAGCATCATATAAAAAGCGTCCCCTGAAAAGGATGGCTCTTTAAATGCCCTAATATTCTAAATATGACATGTTAAAGCTAGAGATTGTGAGCCATATTTTCATGCCACATGTCTGTGTAATCCCATGAATACATTTCTATGTATAGTGCATGGGGCTTTTAGCAAGACTGGACCAATTTATATTATTAGCATTTTTATGTTTCCTTAAAACCTCACGGTATACACTAATTTTTTTCTCTCTTTGCCTCTTAGAGATGTTTATTCAATATTCAAACAGTAACATAATTTTGCTTACAATAATAGCAAATCAATGGAACATCAATAATACACGGTATACACTAATGACTGTGTGCTAAATCATCAAACCGTTTTCCACTTGCTTCCACAGAGTTTCTGTCACAATACAATGGCATGACTAGAACTCAATTCTATGTAAAGATTCAATATTTCGAAGTATATGGAAGTTTATACGGAAACACCATGTATGTCCTTAAAGATGAAGTTGAGTTCTGGTCATGCGATTTCATTGTGAAAGAAACGGTGTGGAACCGATCAGAAAAGGTTGATCATCTAGCATATAAGAATTTGTGTGTATTGCAAGGTTTTGGAATCAACAAAATGATAAGAAATTTGGTCAAGTCTTGGTAAAGTTACAAACACTGTACACAGAAAGATGTATATGGGAATACACGAACAAGTGGCGTAAAAAGCCGGGCCCCCCCCCCCCCCGATTTTTACGATGTTACATGCATATTTAGAATATGAAGGCATTTGAAGAGCCATGCTTTTCAGGGAACATGTCTTATTTGATGTTCTTCCACACTTGCATAATAAGAATGAGTAACGCTCACAAATTATTTTTCACCTCTTCCCAGAACTCAACCTTCTCTTTAAAAGGACTGTTCTTCTTCTTCCGGCAAGAGTTCTAAAAAGAACTGTTAATATACAGTAGAACTTTAACGTTTTGAAGAGTCTGCTCATCGTCGTCTCTATTGACGAAGAAAAATCTCAATTTGGCGCAACCTTTGACGCATCATACAGTACAAGTAAAACAGTGCAAACGTTTAAACTAATCATGGTTGGCACATGCACTTATATTCTAAAGTCAAGCTAATTGATAAGCGCTGGTGAGAGAACAGTCTAAATGACGCCTCGTGTGAAACAGGTATTAAAACTATACATAAAAAACTATAATATTTTTCCCTATGCAGTGAAGATCTCCATCGTACTCCATTTCTGATGAAATGTGTCAAGGAGAGTCAGCGCATGTACTCGTTCGTATCCTCAAGCCGCTTGCTGACCGAACCCCTGGTCGTCGACGGTCTAACAGTCCCAGCAGGCACCGATCTTGCCATCTACCCCTATCAGCTCCATCACAACCCTGACGTCTGGAGCGATGACCATATGACATTCAGACCAAGTCGTTTCGACCGCCAGAACGTCGAAGGCCGAGATCCGTTCGCTTTCATTCCCTTCTCCGCAGGTGCTCGAAACTGCATCGCGCAACAGTTCGCACTACAGGAGATACAGGTAGCAGCGATTCGGATTTACGACAAGTTCGGCTTTACTTTGGTCCGTGACTCCACACCAGTCTTTCGGATTGTTAGCGTACCAGAAGATGAAATACTGCTAGGTATCAATCCTCGGAGAGAAACATAATTTGGTATACTTCCTTCGATTAATTATTACTGTCACCAGGCGCGTACGCAGGATTTTTTCAAGGGGGGGGGGGGGGGGGGGGTTTTAACATTTATAAATTCGGTCCGAAAATTTCGCAACGACTCAGCCAGCCGCTGAATAAGCGGGGGGGGGGGGGGGTAAGAGGACACATTTTTTTTTTTTTTTGGTCCCAAAAAAATCGCAACGACTCAGCCGACCGCTGAATAAGCGGGGGGGGGGGGGGGGGGGGGGGGGGGGGGGGGTAAGAGGACACTTTTTTTTTTTTTTTTGGTCTCGAAATTTGGAAATTTGACATTTTGCTCCGTTGGGGGGGGGGGGGTAAGGTTTAATAATTAAAAAAAAAAAAAAAAAAAAAAAAAAAAAAACCAAAAGGGGGGGGGGGGGTTTTAGGTTTTTTTAGGGGGGTTTACACACAAAAAATTTCCAAAGGGGGGGGGGGTTAACCCCCAAACCCCCCCCCCCCCCCCCCCCCCCCCCTGCGTACGCGCCTGACTGTCACCATTATACGTTTAAGTAACTGTTTTTCCACGAAATAAATTTTTAGTTTACTGCTAGTTCTTTTGCAATGGTGAGGTAGAGTATGACTTAATTAGCTCCAAGATGAAATGACTGCACACAGTTTCACTGGATGTAGAAGTTTATTACTGATTAAATTCGGATGGGATCATTCTGTGAACGTTATACATTTTTATGAATAATTTGTTGGTGATTTACTGATTTAGTCTTTCTCAATTTTCCTCTCGATGTTTACAGAGCAAATTAAGTGCTTTAGATATTTTTATATTGACCATTTAGTATAGTTACTACGATGGTAAAACTATCCCCGCCTGTTGATATTGCATTATATATTGATGATTTGATTTATATTCCACCGTAAAAGCATGCCATAGATAGAGTAGAAATATATATGTAGGAAATCTCACTTCTTTATTACTGCATGTGCAGATTGTATTGCTATTGCTCTTGCGACAATTGCTCTGCGTCGATTTCTTTCACTAACCGAATTCGCACCTTCAACCCAGGAGCCAACGCTATACCTAACCCAACCATAATCCTAAAATAAGAATGAATTACAACCCTAAATGTGATCACATACATTTGATGAAATCAAGCCCGGAGCAGATGTCTCACGAGCAAATATAATTATGATTTGTACATAATATCCGGGTGCTGTTCCTAATTTCATCTTTTTATTTGTAGCTTCTTTCGAAGATTTTTCGTTTTTTATGATTGAAATTTCCTACAGCAACAATCTTAATTTTTTAGTGTTTAAGGATCTTTGTTTTAAAATAGAAGCTGATGGAACAGGTGATGGAAAATTGGCTTCAACGTACTGTATTATTGCATTTATATAATTCCCTGTGGGAAATAGGAATATTTTGAAATTTCAGGTATTTGTACTTCGTTTAAAAATAAATTGTTAAAGGGAGTCTGTATCACAAACTTTTGATAAACGATAGTTCTGCTTTCATAGCGACATGTACTCTAGTGATAGATATGTTTACTATTTACATTGCAAAATATCATAGTGTTACAGTGTAATGTTTAATAAAGCTTTTATAGTTTCTCATAAATGTATGTAATTCTATTTTGTAAATAGGCACTCTCTGTGCAGAAACAGACGTAAAGATTCTCATCTATAATTTTTCTTCTTGAATTATATTTATCGGATGGAATTTTTATGATTTGTATACGTATATACTTTTTAAAAGGACACAATATGCGGAAATAAGATGGACTTTAAAATATATATCTTTCTCTTACCTTTCCTTTTTTCGCTTTCCGCGATGTCTTATGTTCATGGTTATAGGTTGCGTCTTTCCCCTGAACCATAATTAGCCTTATTAGTAGCCATGCATGGTAATTCGTATTCCACACACTGAGTGAGACCGGTGTCCCCCCCCCCCCTTCATGATGCCAGCGCTCCCTCAAAGGTACTATGTCCCTTTTGCTGGCAAAAAAAAAATGAAAAGGTTAAATTCCAATGGCATTTGAAAGATAATACTAATTTAGAACTCCTCTTTAAAAAAAAAGGGGGGGGGGGGCTTGAAAATGTCTTTAAGTGGGAAAATAACGACTATTAGTTGTCAAATTGACTTAGGAGCTATAGAGCCAATAAGTAATAGTCTTGATTTTCAGACCATTGTACCACATGGTCGTACGTTTTATGCTGCGCAAAGATCAATCAGTTTAATTATGGCCATTATAAGAAGTGGGTTATTGATGTAGAAAAATCCTTTACAGCTCATTTTATGTATGTTATTACCAAAGAAGAAGAAAAAGCCAGTCAGTCACTCAATACTGGCAATAGTGTCTGACAGTGAAGTCTAGCAAGTAAACGGGTTTCCTTGCGTAATTCAAATATAAGGATACTGCTAACGTTTAAATTTCTCAGATAGGACATACACGACATATTCATAATTCCTGCAAAGTTCTACAGAATTTGAGGTTGGCTGCACAAGGGACATAGTATCTTTAACCCAATATCAGTGTAGTGTCTCCTCTCAGTGGTGTTTTAGCATTACCTTTTGATTCAGAATATTATAAATTCCAGTGCCAGTACGTCACTGTTTGAAAGCTACAGTTTCAGGGGGAGAGTTCTTGACTTCTAACAAAAAAATAATTTAACAATTGATATTTTGTAACAGGATTTTATTCCAACCTCATACTTAAAAATAAAATGTACCATTACGATTTGATGTTTTTTTTTAATAGTAAACATAATACGTTAAAAATTTGGTTTTCAATTAATGCATAACCTATTAACTAACAATATGAATTGATTCATTTCAATAAATGGTCATTTCAGTGAAAATACAACTGGGCTGGTACAGAAATCTAAAATCACAACGTATTTGCAAAGTTTTCTCTTTCTTCTTTCAGCTCTCCTGCATCATAAGTACCGTTTTACAACTTAGAAGCCGGCATGACTTTGTGTAGATGATTTTAAAATGTTGTCTCCTGGTACCAAAAAGATTGATTTTACGACATCAATGATCTCGGCTTTGATCTCTCGACATCCCGTCCCCATGGAAGTCCAAATAATGAGATCCACTATCCTGTCTTTTGTACTCGTCTTCTGATGCTAAGGGCAAGTCGACATTACGACATCTCGCAATCTCGTCGGTCTAGATGGTGAGCTTTGCTCTTCATCTAACCATCACAGATAAGTCAAATTGACTTGCCTCAGATCACCGGTGACGTTTACTCGTCTTCTTGTCCCCAACAGGTTGGGTTGAAGAGATGGTGCATAGGAAGATCCTTTCAGTCTTCTTTCTCTCTTATATCTGTCTCCTGAATACTTCTCCGATAGACTGTCATCTCCTTAGAGATCTCCATGGTGGTCCTATGAGTCATGACCGATGATGGTTCTCCACTATGTTCTGTCTTGAGCCATACGGTTGGCTAAGGCGAGTGATAAACCTTTTACCTGTCTTATTCCATCTGCCAACCAAGCTTCTGCCTGCCTCGTCTCCTTTGGCCTTCACTGCGTCCTTGCATAATTATCTTTTCAATCATATCATCCTTCCGTCTACAAATGTGGCCAAAGAGGCTTACTTCGTATCATCGGGTCATCGCGTCGAGTCAGTTGGTCGCGTTACCCGACCTTTGGCGAAAACATGCCCCTTTGTTCACCAAATATCGGGGGTAATGTTTGTGACATAAACCTCACTCATCTACAAATGGTCTGATCTAATTTACCTGACAATTGACGTAAAAATCCTTCGTTTAAAAAAAGGTGTAACGCGACCACCCGACCGAACGCGACGACCCACTGATTCGAAGTAAGCCGGCCAACGTGATTCCATTTGCTACAATCAATCTTTTGACATAATAGCACATAGTATTTTCCGATCCAATCTCCATCATAATTCTATTCATATTTTTGACAAGTCCTTACATTGCTCATTGTCCCTAGCCCACCTTCTTCATCGTCATCTCACATCACTGTCTCTCAGATGCAACTCGTCCAGTAGCATGTCGAATCTTGATTTTGCATACTCGTAGAATTCATATTCTAGTTTCAGCTTCTTTGTCATATATGCCTTGACTTTAGGAGAGGGTGGGACATACCGGTGAGCGTGGGCTTTAACCTGGAAATCTAGAAATCGAACGAGGGAGATAGAGGGGGAGAGGGAGAGAGAGAAAAAAAAAAGAGAGAAAGAGAGAGAGAGAATGCGAGAGAATGAGAGAGAGAGAGAGAGAGAAAGGAAAGAGAGAGAAAAGGAAAGAGAGAGAAAAGGAAGAGAAGAACTATTAGTCATTGTCAAGTGTGGTCTTTTTCAGAATAGGATGCTGAAATAGCTTTATATTATGAACGTTAATGTAGGTTTCTATTCGAAAACACATCAAGACGATATTGGAGGGACTTTTAACTTTCTCTGGATTTTGATTTTACTTTGAAACAAATAACCAACAAGGAAAAAATAAATAAATCATAATTTGAAGACAAATGCTGCATAATACATGTATAACTGGGTCTTGGGACGGATGAAATTAATAGGTCCAAAGGGTAAGGTAAGTGTTGTTTTGTATCCTTTTCAACTTCCTTTCCCTATTACATGTACCTTCTTATTCTTCTTTTTTTTTCTTGCTATAAGGTATGCGTCCCCATGCCCTCTGTACCTAGTTCGCCCACACTCTTTCTCTCCCCATAAAGCCTTTTAAAAAAGCTGTTGTATTGCCCTTTAGGTGCCAAAACATGGGTCGGTCGGTCGGGATTTTCTATTTTAAACTTTTTTTCTTCTTTTTTCTTCCTCTTTGGGCTGATATTATTTTTCTCAAAAAAACGGTAATTTAAAAAAAAAAATTTAAAGCCGACCGTACATTTCATGATTTTGGGGTCGGTCGCAAAGGGCAATACATTTTTTTTAAAGGCCTAATCCATTCTTCTTCTATATGCCATCTACATGCATTCAGCTATATTGGGCCTATACATGTATGTCAACACTTTTTCACTTACCTGTGTCTCTACTCAGACGAGTGTATCTCTTCACTAAACCTGTAAACATCGATGGAAAAAGAAACTCCAGTACCCTCATAGATGAGTTATACTCCTCTACGATACCGACTGCAGTGTAGTAATCGAGGTTCCGCTTTGCCTCGTCTAAAGTCCACTGTGTTGCTTTCCTTTAATATTGATATTGATAATATATTTATGAAGAAATACCAATAACAACAACAACAACAACAATAAAATGATTTTTGTTATGTTAATAATGATGATGGTGACGACGCTGATGATGTTGATAATGATGATAATAATCATAATAACAGTAATAATAACGACAAAATACAAGAAAACAAATAATAGCACTTCAGAGGCAAGCTTTAAAGTAAGATTTGTAAAGCTCTAAAAAGCTTTACACCTTGCATTACTAATATGGCCTAAACGCGTTTTGGGGGATACAATGATACAAGAGTTTTCCAGTAGTATCGTTCTTCATTTAAAACAATTAATTGAGACTTCAACAATTTTCAAATTTTCCCTCAAAATGTTCAATCTGTTTTGTTTTTTTGTGAGTGCGCTTCTTAATTGAAATCAGCGGGCTGTCAATCAAAATATTCAACACCACATCACGAGTACTATAACACAATAATAATCTTTCTTATTGAGGTTAACTAAATATGGAAAAAGAAAAGACAATTCTTTACCTGCACCTAGGATGGAACCCACAGAAGAATCCGATCACGTAGCTTAAGACTTGAGGTCCTGTGCATGATAACCTTTCATGACTGACGCATTCATCAAAGGTCTACATAAAACATAAGAGTTAAGGCTTGGTCAGATATAAACGAGGTAACGGTACATGATAACCTTTCATGACTGACGCATTCTTCAAAGGTCTACATAAAACATAAGAGTTAAGGCTTGGTCAGATAAAACGAGGTAACGGTGCGTGATAACCTTTCATGACTGACGCATTCATCAAAGGTCTACATAAAACATAAGAGTTAAGGCTTGGTCAGATATAAACGAGGTAACGGTACATGATAACCTTTCATGACTGACGCATTCATCAAAGGTCTACATAAAACATTAGAGTTAAGGCTTGGTCAGATAAAACGAGGTAACGGTGCGTGATAACCTTTCATGACTGACGCATTCATCAAAGGTCTACATAAAACAAAAGAGTTAAGGCTTGGTCAGATAACTATAGCGAGGTAAACCGCCGTTTTTGTTACTTGTAAATAAATGGCAAATGTGTGTATTTACTGAGCTTTCTGGTATATCTGAAATAGAAATGTGAAGCGTATTAGACTTTATGTCTTTATGATATTAAAAAACGCCGCTGTTTTAAGCTATGGTCACAACTCAGAGCGGCGACCGACCGATTAGTAGCCTGCTCGGTCGCCGCTGGAATTTAGGCATCGCCCAACGATTTTTGGAGAAGTCGTCCAGGCTGTAGAGCCTCAGCGATCCCGGCAATGACCGACTGATGACCCACCGATTCCCGAGCGGTCTCCCACCAGCTGATTTTAAAGAAATTGCCCGGCGGCTGGCCGGTGATCGGCGGGGCTCTAAAATGCGCTCGGTGCCCGGGCGTTTTCCGCACGGGCACCGACCTAAGTGAGCGTTCGCTGATATCGCAAAAATTGATGACTTTCATTATTTAGAGTTAGATTACACTATTAATGATATTTTTGCATATTTTAAAACATGGTTTAAAGTTTTGGCTGATCCAATATCGTGTACACGCTGTTTTCAGTTCTTAAAAAGTGAGACGACATTTCGGCAAAGAATCGGCATCCCCCTTTCCTACATGGCAATTACGACTAGGATCAGTTCGCTAGTTTTAAAAAGGGTGACACCGTTAAAAATGTACATGGAAATACCAAAGAGATACTACAAATCTTTGGAAATATTAGTAATTATCGCACAGTTCTCTTCTTCTACGTAACCGCAGGTGATTGACCTCAACTGACCTCATCAATGACCTCTGGCTTGGTTCTGTTCCGGACGTCAGCGAGTTGTCGAGGAGAGAGCAACCCGTCACCGTGGCGGTTGAAATAGAAACTGGACACCAAGCGATTCAGCGGATCTCGGATCATGTTGATGTAATGCACCCTCTCACTGCAGCGAAATACAATACATAAAGAAAAATGAAAAATTCAGTTCATAAAAGCGATGTTTGTAGCATATAGGTTGTCACTCTGCGCATTTAGCGTGTTCCGAATATGACAGAAGCGTGTACGCCGACGATTCGGTACTTTCGCAGGATAAATCGGCCTACCATTACACCACTGAATTGTGTTAGTGTGAATTTGTGTCAAATGGTATTTCATCATATTGTGTACATTGAATAAGGCCTAACCTAATTTATCAGAGTTAATGAAAACACTTCTCACATGACATCGGAGGAAATATTTTGAGTCCCCAGGCTAATAACCCTTCAAAAATATCACTTGACTATTAATATTTATTTATTTATTTCGTTTTATTTCAACAGTGTAGCCCCATCAGGAGTTAAAATACTCATGTTTTCTTCAAGAATCGATGATTTGTTTTGACTAAAATTAAATCTCTGACTGATAAGATTTAAGTAAATAGCTATGAGAGAAGATAAATACACTGTATGACTAAACCTCTTTTACATTGCAATACCATAATATTGCCTTAGTAAACAATGATACAAAATTGATGTGTTTTAACCCTTCAATACAATGTATTTTCAAGACTACCCGAGACATTTTACAAGTCAATGTTCAAAACTTCTTTAACATAAAACTCTGAAAAATAAATGGAATCGACGGACTTACTCTTGAAAGTGATTGAATCGGACATGGCCTTCGAGGAACGCCCTCCTTTGTGACCTAACCCCTTCAACTGTGCGTGTCAAGAGAGCCAGTTCAGCCTAATGGTAGTGATAAAGGAAAAGATATTGAAGTGGTCAGTTGTTGCTGTTTGGGCGTTGGACGTTCATTCATTAAGAATATTTATGCCTTAATAATTTTATTAATTTTAACATACAAAATATAATAAATTGTGTACGATAAACATTTGTGGTTCATGCATTTCGAATGGTCGGTAGGTACCTTTGGGTGGGTGATTGGTTAATAGTTAACAGTTGATAGTTAAGTGGTTACAGGTTGATAAGACTTTTTGTTGGATGGGCGGCTGGTCGTTCGATTTTAGGGTTGGTTCATTGGATTATGATTGGTATGTAGGTTGGGGTTGATTGCTCAGTTAATTGGATAATGAGTGAATTATTTCTTGGATATCTTATCGATCGTGAGTCAGCTGGTTGGTTGGTTAAATGGCTACTTGGTTAGTATATGCTCGCAATATGGTTTAATGATTGATTTTTCGATGATCGTGGTAATTGGATGGTTCAGGGTACATGTGATGGTTTGTTAGTTGATGGAATTGCTATTGGGTTTGTTGGTTGATGTATTGATTAATAGATGGAATTCGCTGATTTGTCCAGATTCCGTAACTATATCATTCGCCATGAACACTTTTCTAATCTCGTGTCATGTTCTTTTGGGTTCAACTACAGGAATAAAATCACATCACTAAAAGTTGTCACATCCCGCTGATCGCAAACCTATCTGTCAACCTTTCTCACCATGTTCCAATATCATTCTCAACATCAATCGTAATTCAATTTAGATTTAACCGCTGATATACATGTGTGTGAAGTTAGTGGCGTATTTACAAGAAGGCACAGGGGACACGCCCCATAAGAATGGTCAAAAATTAAAACATGAGAAAAGAGGAAAGAAACAGTAGACAAAGGCGAGAAAAGAAGACGGGACCATTCCAACAACCACCTCAACCATCAGTAGCCTTGTGAATTCCCATTTCATTTCATAGAATAACCAGTCCCCCTTCATGTCAGTGCCCCCCTCAATTGTTGGACTGACTCTACGCCCTCTGTGCTGTTTTTGGTTTGTTGATCTGAACCATGCAACTCGATATGGAAAATATCCTAGCATCAGATCTTGAGTTCATGACTCGGTTCCTTTTTTGTTATCTTCTCAGACGACTGCAGTGGCGTACGCAGGATTTTTTCAAGGGGGGGGGGGGGGGGTTTAAAATCGGGTCCAAAATTTCGCAACGACTCAGGAAAATTTGAAAATCGCGCCGGCCAAAAAGTCGCTGAGTGGGGGGGGGGGGGGGGGGGGGTTAAGAGGGCACTTTTTTTTGGGGGGGGGGGTCTCGAAATTTGAAAATTTGACATTTTGCTCCGTTGGGGGGGGATAAGGTCACCTTTCTTAGGTCAGCCATGGGGGTAATTTTTTTTTTTTTTTTTTTTTTTTTAATAATTAAAAAAAAACAAAGGGGGGGGGGGTTTTAGGTTTTTTTTTAGGGGGGTTTACACACATAATAATACCAAAGGGGGGGTTTAACCCCCCAAACATCCCCCCCCCCCCCCCCTGCGTACGCGCCTGGACGACTGACTAAAACTGCTTGTCAGTCAAAAAGCACCTATCGCAGTTAACGGCCGGGATCCGACGTTTATATACAACCATTTTCTTCACCCAAATCAACTCAATAATGAAAGAAAAAATATTCATTAAAAGGTACTATCCTTTTCAATGTTTGATGGGGGTGACAAAATAATAATAATAATGGAACAGAAGCGACCTGTTAGGCCTTGGCAATGTATTCACACATTACTTAGCAAAACCGAAGCATGGAGTTCACACACCAAGGTTCAACATCATAAACTAGGCATGTTACGATTCGAAACCATTACCCGACTTTTGTTGGTATGTACATGTATGTGGGCGAATTCAAGTTGGCTCAAAAGTCGAAACTGTTCTATCTATAGAAAATAAATGAAGGCGAATGAAACCAGTGCAGAGGCGGATACAGATGGTGATAAATTGGAGGGGGGGGGGCAATGCACTTAAATAACCCCTCTCGATGTGGACCCATTGCAAGATTTTTTTTAAAGGGCTCTTTTCTTTTTCTTCTTCTATTTCTTTTTCTTTTTCTTCTTCTATTTCTTTTTCTTCTTCTTCTTCTTAGTTTACCTCTACTACTTCTTCTGCTACCTCTTCGTTTACTTCTACTTCTTTTTATTCTACATGTTCTTGTTCTTCTTGTTCATCTTGTTCTTCTTCTTCCTCATCTTCACCGAGAGGGGTTGAGGCTTGCTTCACCCTAAGCTGGATACACCACCACAATGAAAAATTAATTGATAACACCGACCTTGAACCCTCACCTTGAATGTCGGGGGTACCATGGGTATAGGACCACGAATTTGGTTTTTCTTCACCAAGCTCTTGACACACTGAAGGAGCGCTCTACTGCCACACTTCGGGACTCGGTTGTAGACTACAGTGATGTCCTTCGGGTTCGAAGACGGTACATGGTCAGAAAAGAGTCATAGTGAAAAAGGATATATTTCCGAGAAGTCATCAACATTTTCAAATCAAGTTCAACGCGATTAGAAAGACTTACAAGAAATCAACTCAATAGCAATTTCAATTCCATGTTGTATTACCTATTATAGAAATCACGTTCGTATTACTTGATACAATTATTATAGGTGCAGGGGCGGATCAACCCCCTCCACCCTTGGGCTGGCCAAAAAAAAACAAATGTCGGGGGTAAAATGTTTGTTTTTTTAGTCCCTCCCCCCCCCGAAATATTGGTCTGCACTTTTTTTCAAATGGGGGGGGGGGGGGGAATTAAGTGCTCACTACCCCCCCCCCCCCCTCCAATAATTATGACGCCCCTGGATACGTTGAAATCTTTTACGCATTTCTTTGGTGGGGATATATGTGTGTGTGTGCAAACTTTTGAAAACAATAATTGAATTAAATTCAATCATCTCCCCAAATTTGAAGCTAAAATTATTATTACTCTTATAAATGGCGTCCTTCATTCTGAATACTATTTCAAAAATACTTTACAAAACTTACGTCTTTTAGAACCGCTTTCCCATAGCGTGATCCGCATTGCTTTACTACAGTCAGTGTCTGCGATTCGTTGGGCTTGTTATAAGCCAAATTGGGTTCATCGTCAGTGCTCATCCTGGCTCCAGAAGCACATGGGCATTTTTCACGTGACACGGAGTTGTGGATTTCAGGAAATACATCTGGAGTTGAGAAGATGCACATGTTATATGATACCTCGGAGATATTTGTCTATTCATTTGTACTTATAGGCCTACAGCTTTCGAACGTACTATTTAATGAAAATGGTCCATTGTGAAATAGGAGGCGTGGCATATATCGGTTCTACTGATAAATTTGCATTTATTTGTCTCAACAATGTTATATAAATTTAATATTGCATGAAGCTTACTATTGATGATTAGTTAACCCACGATATTAACTACAATGGAAACATTACATTTCCTGGTTTAAAAATACCCTGTTTTCGGCTCTGACAATATGTATAGCCAATATTGGTTGCCCTTCAACATCGAGAACAGAAATAATCTCACCAAATAACAGGGAACATTGTCCACTATCGGATTTTACTTGTCAGGGATATTTTTTTCATCTCTTTGCTTTTTAGCTGTTGGCGGAGTTGCTATTTTATTTTGATTTGTTTGTTCGTGTGTTTTTTTATTTTTTTATTGTTTGATTCAAAATGATTTTATTTCTCATGCAAAACATAATACAAGAATAATTATATCACAAAAAATATGCAATGAAACGACAAAGATGTTGGATATAGCACGAGAAAAGAGGAACTAACTGGAAGCAGAGCTTGTTGAAATGTTAGTTCCTCAGATGCTGTTTTACAATATAACATGAACAAAGTATGCTTGGAAATCAATAAATAGAAAAATATGTAACTAAGGTGTAGAGGTGTCGTGGATGAGTGGATACGTCGCCGGACTGTCGATCACAAGGTCCGCGGTTCGAGTCACGCCGCGGCACTAATGTCCTATGGCAATACATTGATCTACATTTGCCACTCTACACCCAGGTGTTAAATGGGTACCGGTAGGATGGAATTCCTTTAATGCTGTGAGCGTTGAAATCGGCAGCCTAGCATAGCCGGGTAATGTTGGAGCGCCTTGAGGACCTTGCAAGGTCGATACGTGCGCTATATAAGAATCCAATATTATTATTATAAGAAATTCTTTAAAAAATTGGGGAAAAAATAATAATAAAAATGGAGGAAAATAGGAAAAGGCAAAAAGAACGAAAGATACAAAAAGGGAAAATGAATGATTGCAAAAGCTCTAGAAAAGGGAAATTAGATCAGTAAAAAGAGGGTGAAAGAGATTGGGTCGAGAGTCAAACAAACCGAGAATCGATCATGTATGTGTTTAAAAGTTTAATCTTTATCTTCTTTTTAAATGTGTATAGACTGGTACTTTGTTTAAGAGATGGATCTATGTTATTCCAAAATACTGGACCGGTGTAAATAATTGTTTTTGTGCGAAAGCTGTTCTCATACGAGGAGTGTGGAAGTGGTTCGACTGTTTTGTGGGGTATGAATGTATCTCGTTATTTTTTTTGGAAAATGGAGGAAATCGGGAGAGGTAACTCGTTATTGTTCAGTTAGAACATAAAGATACCGAGGTACCAAGAATACGATTTATCAAGTTTAAGAATTTTGTCTTGTAAAAATAAGCGGTTAGTGTGGGAACGAAAGTAGACTTTCTTAATGCACGCTTCTGCAAAATTAATATTCGGTGAATTAAAGTCTTAGAAGGAGAGACTCCTGGGTCCTGACTCCTGACGACGGATAGTCAACCTGTTGGAAACGTCGAGCCACTCCTGCCACTCATCCTCTCCAAGCGCTATAATTCTCCTTAGAACTATAAGCTAAGAAAGATAACCAACAGTCTTTTTTAAGACTTCACCAACAGTCTTTTTTAAGACTTCACCAACAGTCCTTTTCAGGACTACACACCCTCAAGAAAGATTACCGAGAGTCCTTTTCAGGACTCCTCAATCATCCTTGTCTCTCACATGGTGCACACGCAAGACTACTGTATAATACAATCTCTGTCATAAACAAAAAGTTTATTTCTTTGGGAGCTAAGTAACCTGGCAAATGTATGGAAGAGAAATGGCAACAAAATGATAATTATACAAATACAGTAGTATAACATAACCTTACATGACCTCGTCTCTTGTTAGTCGATTAGATCTTAAAACATAGGGAACACCTGATCCATCACGCCACTTTCCGGCGATCAGCACTTTTAGAGACATTTTAGAGACCCTTTTAGCTAATAAGCACTTTTAGAGACATGTATCCCCCTTTTACATACAAAGTTGAGATGTTCGCACTGTACGATCCTCCTGCGATCCGATTTTCAAAGAAATTGCGATATTATTAGCCATGGAAGTTTAATAATAAGAATGCTAACAGCCGAAACTTTAGTGCATTTAACTCTTCTAGTCAGAGTAAACTGGATAAAAAGCCGAATCGGTTTCTAATCCTAGACGATCGCAGTATACTACTGGTCCGACGTTACTACGGTTTTTAGCCGATTTATAGCCTTTTCTGTTCTAAGGAAGCATGAAATCCCCTGGAGTTTTCATTTTATTAATTATATGACTATTCAGACCTTTGATTTGTTCATGTTTGAACGTTCGTATCAAATGCTTTTGCAAATGCTTTTAAAATCAGAGCGTATATAATACGATCAATTCCAAATCATTCAACTAATACATGTTTACATAGAGTCATTGATGATTGGTACGAATCTTTTAAAGAAAAGGAAAAAGTTGGTGCATGTTTTCTTGATATTTCAAAATGTTTTGATTGTATTGACCATGAACTTTTGTTGTCCAAATTGAATAAGTATGGTATTTTAAATACTGAACTTAAATGGTTTTCTAGTTTTTTATCTGGTCGGAAACAAGCAGTTTATTGTCATGGTAAACTGTCCGAAACAAAGGACATTACTATAGGAATTCCTCAGGGGAGTATTTTAGGCCCCTCCCTCTTTCTTGTTTTTATAAATGATATAACTGATTGCTTACGGTTGAGTACATGTAATATATACGCTGAGGATGTTGTCTTATATGTTTCTGATATGGATATTAATGTCATTACATCTAAGCTCCAAGCAGATTTATATCCTATAAATGAATGGTATTGTAAAAATAGATTACGTAATTAATACTAATAAGAGTAATGGTATGCTGTTGAGTAGTAACACACGAGGTAACGATGAATTAAGTCTGAAGGTGCATATTGATACTGAAACAATAGAACAAGTAAGAAGTATCAGATATTTAGGGATTGAAATTGATGATAGATTATCTTGGGATATCCACATTAAATCTCTTACCAAATCATTAAGTTATAAGATTTTTACTTTGAGAAAGCTCAGTTTTTTAAAGCTCTTCCATTTTGAATAAAATATACAAATGTACCATACAGCCAATCTTAGATTATTCTTGTTCCGTATGGGGAAACTGTTCTTTACAAAACAGAAATATTCTTTTAAGACTACAAAAAAGAGCTGCACGTATTGTCGTAGGGAATTTCGATTATGATGTAAATAGCTTGAATATAATGAATTCGTTAAAATGGCAATCCATTGATACTAGACGGAACTATTTTATCATGTATGTACAACTGTATTCATGGAAAAGCCCCAGTACGATTATGCAATGAAGTGGAAATGGTTTTTGACAGACATGGTTTTAACACTAGACTTGCCAATACGCTGAATGTTGTTTTACCCAAGCCTAATCTTGAATGTTTTAAGAATTGTTTTAGATACGCTGGAGGTAAAATCTGGAATAGTTTACCTTCTGCTTTTCAAAATGCTAAATCTATCGATGTTTTTAAACAATTTTTTTAAACCTGTGTGATACAATGCCGATTCATTTTTACTGCTTTGACATGGCTTATTTCTCTCTCTCTCTCTCTCTCTCTCTCTTTCTCTCTCTCCATTTCCTTCTCCCCTCTTTCTTTCTTTCCCTCTTTCCTCCTTTACCCTTTACCAGTTTCCTTAAATCTTTTCTCCTCTTCTATTTTATGGTGATATTTTAATGCCTTTTATTAAAGTGATTTGATGTTTTGTTCGCTGTTAATTTCAATTATTACATTGTCGTTTTTGTTTTTTGTTATGTGCTTTTTACTACTTTTAATGCGTATTATGTTTATATGTTAGTTTTATACTGTTCTTACCTTTGCTTGTGAGCTTTGGTGATATTCATTATTTATATTTCCGTGTACTACATTTTTATCCTGTTCAGGACCATGATATAAAACAGATTTTGTATCTACAATGTTTATCTGATTCTTGTTATCCTGAATAAATATATTTCAATAAAATACAAAACTAAATCAATTAACAACTGGAACGGGCTACCCAAATCGACAGTCCAAGCGCCATCTATTAACCGCTTCAAATCTGAACTAGAAAAGCATTGGCATCACCATCCTCTCAAATATAACCCTTATCAACGTAATAATGCTGCGATTGTCATGATGGGCTCATAAGCTGATGCTTCAAGCCTCAACAAACAAGTATAAAAAGTAAGTAAGTAAGTATATATAGTTAGATTGTATAGTGTGCGGTGGGCTTAAAAATAAAGTTGAGTTCTGGTCATGCCATCGTATTGTGAAAGAAACGGTGTTGAATCGATCACAAAAGGTCATCTATAGCATAAAAGTATTGGTATGTACTGTAAGGTTCTGGAATCATCAAAATGATAAGAAATTTGGCCAAGTCTTGGTAAATTTACAAGTACTATACACAGAAAGGTGTATACGGGGCTACACGGACACGTGGCATACAAATTCGTCTCGATTTTTATGTTGTTACATGCCATATTTAGAATATGAAAGCATTTGAAGAGCCATGTTTTTTCAGGAAACATTGTTTATCTGATGTTCTTCCACATTTGCATAATAACAATGAAAACGCTCATAAAATTATTGTTCATCTCTTCCCAGAACTCAACCTTTTCTTTAAACGGACAGTTGAGACTGTATCTCAGTTGTTATCAAAGTCCCCTCAATATATTCCACTTAATATATTCTTTCTCTTCATCTGCATCTGTCATCCCGTTCCCGTCGTCTGTTTCTCGTATCACATAAAGTCTTAACGGATACGTGTACTTGTAATTGTATTATGTTAACTACAATTTCATCAGCATGTGTGGTTCAACTTGGCTACGTGACAAGGTCTGTAGCAGACGGTTAAAGGTGTCAAAGAAGTCGGGTAAACCCTAACATAATTCGTGAAATGTTTTTCCGATTTGTAGTGGATATAAGAAATAATGAAGCTGATGCAAAGTTTGCAGTTTTTTTTAAATAGCGAGGTGAGGAAGGAATGAGATATAATCCCAAGTAGGGGTCTAATTTAACTTTGCTTGATATCGCTTTTCTTCGCTTTTGTACTCCCTATCAAAATGGGAATGCCATTTAAAATAAAGTAGGTCACTGTACTCGGACAGGAAACCAAACGGATGAATTTGATGTGATTGAAATACATCCTGTCAGAAGGTCATGTAAGGTCAACAGGTTAAGTTCATATGATCAAAAGTTATCTTAAGGACATGTAATCTTATTATCAAGGGATCCCCCGTTATATGGTCATGTGCATGAGACACGGGTATAGAATTACAATCAAGTGCCTCTGTCGATGGGTTACTATAAATAAATACACGAGGTTAACCGAGCAGCGGAAATTCAGCCTGTTTTTAAGGGGGAGCAATAAATAATGCGAGAACGTGCTTAAAGGGGGGGGGGCAGAATGGTAGTACCCCACCCTCCCCCTTTCTGTCCTAAAATGGGCATCTTATTATTAAGGCTTGACTTTCAAAAGACTATGATTACTCAGTAATTGTGATATTTGCAGTTCCGACAAACTTTTGCAGCACAATAACCAATTGACGTCTTACCTTGTTTAGAATGCGTGAGATATAACCAAGAAAGTGCCACAGACGATATGATAATAACGATCAGCCATGAGCAACGTGTCCTACTCATGCACCTCATCGTTCAGACGGATGGAAACCTCAAATCTTCTTTTTTCTTCGCTGTAAGTTCAAAAATCCTTGGGTCAAAGATTGTGGTCAAGCTTTCTGGAACTGAAGTAACGTTGCACAACATCAAGTCGGTTCAATGTTGGACTGTGCGGTTTGGATGTTTTGAGATCATCCTACATGCATGTATGTTTTATTGTGCGATGTACTGAAGTGAATAGATGTTGGCTAAATGGCTATCCTTCTCTGTATATATCTCCCAGTAATCCCTCAGAATTATGATCCTGTATATCTTTTGTAGAACGGCAATCGTCCGGAAGTGTTAGCTCCATTGTGTCACCACGATCGCTACACCAGGCATTAATAAACATGCATAAATATATGATTATGTATCTCAACGTAGAGCACGGACACGCACAACTCGCCAGCTCGCTGTTCCAGTCGTTTGGTAAAGATGGGGTTTTATGGGTTCCTCATTGCACACGTCCGCATTTAGGCGGTCTAGTGCAGACGATGTCGAGACGATGACCTCGTTCATTCTTCGAACTTGACCCTTGCTGACCGACAGTGTATTAAGCCGAAATAATTTCATAGTTACGTTTCCCGCGCACACACTACCATGCAATACAAGGCTATGCGGAGCTTCTTTCACTACCGCCTGATGAACCAGACGGAGAAAAATAGTATGTCTGCACAGGGGCAAAAACAAGTACATCCCTGATAAACAGTGAATCATAAATCCTGCTGACGTCATGTTTCCAGAAATATAACACCAAATGAATAAGGAAGAAAGTGGAAGTGCTGGTAGAATATAGCCTGTTTGCTGTTGACGCCCATCTCCTTTAAATAACATGTGATGGCTATTTTAAAGAGAATATCGGCATTGCTTACTAAAATGGTATCAATAAAGCCGAAATTCCCTACAATGCTCTACGTATATTATCAATCATTGTCAATCTTTGTAAACAAGTCGAATTGGCCTACAGGTATATACTGGATGTCATGAATAGGCCTAGGTCAATAAAAGATCAAGCACTGTACAATAAAAAATCTTTCTATAGGATTTTGCCTCTCTGCTGACATAAACGTATATTTATATTTATGGTACTCATGGAACTAATATAGCTCTTTGATGGTACTATAATAGCGCCATCACCGATAAAAATCTGAATTTTCTTCCCCCTTCAAAAGGAAAGAAATAAAATAAAATTGGCAAGAGTGTTTATTCCTCGATAATAGGTTTTCCCGGTCAAATCAATCATTTTTTCACTCAAATTTATTTTTCTTGCACTCGTCTTAGAGCACGTGTCAGCCAGGAGAATTCATCTCTACGTATATGCAGTCAACTTGCCATTCGGGCAGGTCCTTTTCCCGTTATTTTCCAGTAAAATACAATATCCATTAAATTAACAGCTCGAATTGGCAACTTTGTCGCCTACAAATGAAAGTGAATACCAGAAAGAAGTTCACTAAATCACTGTGTTAACTTGAATGCGCGGGTCTTGACCTTGAGCTGATTTCTCAAAAGTATGTGCGATCGTTTTGACAATGAAATTAAGATGTAAAATAAGAGGAAGCGGCAGGAAGTCATGAGCGTGTAAAGAAGAACCCCCCTCCCCACACACACACACACACACACACACACACCCTCCCTTCGATAACAAACTACATCTTGAAGGCTATTTGCCGTCTACTGAGCTATTAAATCAGTCATTGAACAACATCAAGCTGCATGACCATCGAACACGTGGCTAAGTCATTGATTGTATCGCGCCCATATGCTCTCCTGGTTCTAACCGAATCCGGACACCTACACCCTGGACATCCACCCCCGGATAACCACCCCCAGTCAATAACCCTCTATAGGACATCTACCCCCTAGGACACTTACCTCCTAGGGCAACCACCCTCTAGGACGACTACCCCCTGGACAACTACACCCGGACAACTACCCCCAAGGACAACTACCCCTTTAGGACAACTATCACCGGACAACCAAACCGGACAACTAGCCCCTAGGATAGTCGTCCGGGGGAGGTAGGTGTCCTAGAGGACTGGTTGTCGTAGGGGGTAGTTGTCTGGGGTGGTTGTCCGGGGAGTAGTTGTTTTAGGGGGGGAGTTGTCCCAGGGGTAGTCGTCCTAGAGGGTGGTTGCCCTAGGGGGTAGGAGTCCTAGGGGGTAGTTGTCCTAGGGGGTAGTTGACTGGGGTGGTTATCCGGGGGATGGATGTCCAGGGGGTAGGTGTCCTAGACCCGTTTACGACAGAGTTATCCAATATCAGTACGGTGTATAAAAACATCAGTTTGGAAATAAATTCTCTGATTGCATCGTTCTTCTTTATGTATATTTCGTCACCTCTCGTGTATTAAGTACGGATTTGGAAGTGCCTAATGTGCTTCACTACTTCACGATTATTATCCTAGTGAAATTGTGAATCGTATTAGGTTTAATCATAACTTTCACCCCCCCCCCCCTCCCTCCCCCTCCCCCCCTTTTCTCTCTCCCCCTCCCCTTCTTTACCCCTTTGATCTTTTCCCGGAGGATGCGTCTCCCAAAGGAGGTTCAGCACATATTCCCAATTTGCAATTTGAATTGATCATGCTAGTTACAAGATTAATTTTTCTCATGTAATAAGACATTCTTCATTGAAATGATTTGTGTACATTAGATTCTGAATCTACTCATACTATGTGTCAAAGTGCATACATTATCTCCCCCTTCCATTGACTCAAGAGCCATTGTACCGCAGATTGTGTATATAGTGTGGTGATGTTTGTTTAAATGTCAAATCAAGACAAAAGAATTATCACGTTTTTAATGCCAAGTAAATCCATTAATTTACATGACGTCAGTGTCATTAACCGATTCTAGCTTCGAAATCCAGTGAGGGCACTGATTAGAAATGTACTTTTAGCGCCACAATCCTCGGTTCGTGTCTGACTAATAACACTCCATTACTCATATTAGCAAATGTTCTTTATTTATGGTGTGTGTGTGTGTGTGTGTGTATGTGTTGCAATTCTTTAAAAAAAAAAAAGAACTATCGACATCACTAACTCATGTATCATTTCGAGATACATGATGGCAAAGATGATGAAATCAAAGTAAAATACATTAAATGCAAAAAATACTACAATGATAGAATGGGGCGAAGAGTAAAAAGCTTTTAGCGGTGTGGTGGTGTCTGCCGTGTCTGTGGTGATATTGGTAGTTATTACGACTATATGAGAGGGCGATGGGAACGGTAGTGATGTTGATTATGACGACGACGTCGATGAGGATTATGATGATGATGATGATGATGATGATGATAATAATGTGGTTGATGATGATGAGAAGGATGATGAAGATGACAATGATAATGCCAATGATGATGATGGTGATGATGACGATGGTGATACCATTTATTAAAAAGTACATGTTTGTTGTCGAATATATGATGTCTCCATCTACGCTGAATTGTTTCTCAGATACCTGATTATGATAAGGCGAGTTCATGATCTCATCTATCAATCATGTTGATTAACACAAGACAATAACTTTTGTTATTAGGAACGGGTGGCAAAATTTTAAAGGCTATCGTTGCCCGATTCTAATATTCAACGATCAAACTTTGCATCTAGTAGGCTGTAGATAAGGTGCCATTATTCTGACTTCACAAACCATTAATCCAGACCCGGCCCCCCCCCCCCCCCCCCCCACTCAGGTTTCGAAATGACCGCATGCGTGTTGCCAAAATGTCCGGTAAAGGGGTACTTTTCGTGCGACAAAGTCCGGCCCGAGAATTGTAAAAAAAAGGGGTGTATTTGACTTTTCACCCGGAGATTTCTTTAAAAAGGGGGTGTTTTTTCTTTTTTTTCTCTCATCTCTTTGGACTCCTGAGAAATTATTCCGAATTTAGGGGGGTACATTGAGCATTTTTCCTGATTTAGGGGGGTCTCCAAGGCAGGAAAAGCCCGCGAAAAGCCCGCGAAAGGGGGGTTCGGAAATGTTGGCAGTCCTCAGATAGGGGGTGCTTTCAAAAAGAGGGAACGAGCATATGCGTACCCTAAATAACACTGAGTGGGGGGGGGGGGGCCGGGAATCCAGATAAACAAGATGTTAATGGAATAAAGTGGAAAGGAAACAGGGTTCGTGGCGTGAAATATATTGAGTATGGCAGTGCTATATGAAGTGATATAAAGCGCTCTCAATCTTGGCGACAGAAACTCTACCAGACGACCAGCTTCAAAGAACAACAGGTGGTCGCTAGGCAACGGCGCGATGTGTTAGCCAATCAGAATCAATTAGTCATGACGAGAAGGATTCTTTTACAGTCTTGTAAAATAATGTGTGCGTCATCATCTACTTATATGATATGTTTATATATCATTTACTGACAGATCTTTTTAGTGGGCTCCTTTTACACTTGAAAACTAATTTGTAGATTTTCCCCCGCTTATCCAATTAAATCACTTTGTTTGCACTTTGTCAGAACTTGTGCAAGAAACTGGAATACAAATAATCCATTTCAGATTTATCAAACTATGTATTAGTCTTTGTCATGCTCTGATATTACTCACACAATTTGTCGAACAAAAGCGTCCATTCTAAGGAGGGGGACGCCCCCATGACTGCAGGGTGGCAACAAGTGCACTAACATCATCATGAAGGCGGGTCGATTTAAAGATTGATTTTATTCTTTTTTCTAACAAAAGAAATGAAAACAAAAGTATTAGACGAATTAGCAATAATCAACTTTCTATAATTACCTTGTGTTTTTAGACTTTTTTCTGACTTTTACGTTATTATGAAATTTAGAACGAGTATTTATTCAAAATTGTAGGAAAATAATGTTACAGTTCTACACAAATAATTTACTGATACATTGAATACATATAACTTTTACGCTTTTTTCAACACAATTGCTCTTAAGGCGTCGCGATGGCATGAAATTTGCCTGAGGTTTGCTTGCCATATTGATTGATTTAATTTTGCAACGTGTCGTTGCTGCTGTGTGAACTAGGATACACATACTTGAATGGTTGTGGTACCACCATGACCATGCTTGTACAAGAGATTAGTAGGTAGTGCCCATCAATGAATTAGCGACATTAATGTGTTTGTGAACAGTATCGTGTCCCAAGCTGCAGATACATTAATCCTACCAGCAAGGATATAAATCCCTCTCCAAACATTAAAACACTGAGAAAATCAGGTGAACCAACCTTTCAAAGAAAAGCAGTTTCTTTGTAGTAGGGACTCCAGGTTCAATTAGTTGACAAGAAATTGAGTAAGATATGAAATTCGATGTAAGAAGTAGGGTTTTGAAGTATTCCTACAATCTCACACTATAGCGTTCACTTCAATATCAAGCAAATTTGCTTCATAATACGTTCAAATTTTATGTATAACTATTTGGAAACTTGGATGAAGTATCAGCGCTACTTTTGGGGGACATTGTTATTTTAATTGTATGTCTGTATAGATAGATTTGTCGGTTTATGTAAAGTTATGATGATATCGTCAACGTCGATATACGGGAGTGAGGTAGTCCTGTAGGTCTCCCGGTCGTCTTCCAAGATATATGTTCAATTGTCAGTTTGCGATTTAAGACGTGGATGTCAGGTGATATGAAATTGTTTAAACAGCCAGTGTTTATCTAGGCCAGTTTTAAAGATGCCTATGTTACGTGCAGTGATTAGAGATTATGGCAGTTTATTCCATAGCTCGATGACACGTTTACTGAAGAAACAGCCTCTTACATTAAGCTTGCGATGAGTATTAAACAGGATGTCCACGAGTGAATTGGTAATCTGGTCTCTTGAAGAAATGTTCTGGACTGAGTCTGTCGATACCATGAAGAATCTTGTAAACCTGGATCATATCGGTCCTCTCACGCCGTTAGCGAAGTGAGAATATCAACCTAAAGTTTCTTGCTCAACTTTGCCGAAACATTTGAATTGGTTCCTTACCTCCCGATTTGAAAAAGTGATCGCGTCACGATTTAATGCAATATGAAATTTGGGTATATAAATTAAGAACGCTTACCTTTAGAAGGGGGTATATCACTACGTGATGTGTGTTTATTTCATTTCAAGTGGGAGTACTTTCCGAGATGAAAATAGAATGAAAGAAACAGAAGGAAAATGGAAAATGTCAAGATCAATGTGGAATCAACGAAGTTTTCCTCAAAATTGCATTTTAAATTTTTGCGATATATATATATATTTTGTTAAGCAGATGTTTCTGCATTTATTGAAAAATCAAATATAAAACATTCAAATAATATAATTGATTTACATAAAGAGTGACAACTTAAATACACACACATACAAATGCATATAATTAAAAGCATGAAAGTATTGGGGTAAGTAAAATAATCAAGATAAATGCAGAGGCCAACTATATGAAAATGAACATATAGTTCTTACGTCAGGTTTTGACAAAATGAATGAAATGCTAATTCCTTCGTATTCTGTTTAGGAATACAAGCAAAATGTGTAATTGATGATATTGTTGTTATATATCATTTTTAAGAGATGAAAGTATTATGGAATAAGTTGATTGGTTATCGTTATAAAGGCTAGAAGTCTGTTCTGAACATCAGATTAGGGTGCATAAAGTTTGCAGCATTTGAGAATATAGATCCTTTTCATATTGTGTCATTGTAGCATATAATATGGGTCTTACACATAAATATTTGCAACCCTTAGCTTCATGAGATTTTCACTTTTATACCTGTAAACATCGTGATTTTCAAAAGAATAAAAGAACAAAAAGACGTTTAATGAGTTAACAAAGAAACTTTATCATGATGAACAACATTAGTTGAATGCGTAGAATCGTGGGAGCATTGTCCTGATTGTGCTTCGCTAAGAAGGGTGATATAAAACGAGGAAAATACTATTATACAAACAGCTTTAGAGCTTAGTAAAATCGTTAGCTTTTTTCTTTACATGTTACAAAGATAACCTACTTCTGCTGGTAGCACATTTCCGCATAAGCACCTGACCAGCAAAGTGATTGGAGTATACTCTGTATCATTTTTCTTTTATGACCGTATACTTCAAGCAAAAGGTCCTTGTATCAACCTATTTTGAAATTTGCCACGACCATTATTCGTTGCCTGGCCGTTTCACTGGGAGTTACTATGTTCACGCCTTGTTCCTAGGTTACAAGTCGTAGCGAGCAGACGACAGCGTGTGCCGGTATAAAAACCCCGATAGCGCCGATCGCACTATCATTTGGTCTCACCATAACTCCTTGATTGTTTGGTTGTGAGAGCTCTCTCAACAATTTTCAAAATCTTCTCTTTTTTAACCGTGTTTGAAAATTCGATAAATCGAAGAAAACAAGAATTACTTTAAAAAAGAAAAGGTGTATACGTTCGTCTTAGAGTGACTTAATTTTCGGAGGAATACAAGAAGTTTTGTTACACTGCCTTGTCGTCGATTCGACCATTGCTTCTTAGATTAGAAACTTTCTTCCAAAGGACAGAATGGTAAGTTTTGATTATCTCATGATGAATTTACTGGTTGAATAAACAAAAATATCAGAAGCCAAGTTTTTTCTTGCATTAAAGTACTGTGGATTTCATTACTGAGTTTACTCTCCCTGCCAAGGTCAAAATTAATAATAAATTTATAATTATTTGATTAAACCAGTATCTATTCTGCCGAAAGGTCTTTTAGAATCGATCTTTTTTCTTCTGAAATTTACTCACTGGTGAATTGTGCAAAATTCGCTTTATCGAAAACATTGTTGATACTTAAAAAAAACATTATGAAACTTGCGAACATATATTGTATCCGTTTGTTGCAACTATGAAGAGTTTGCAATTTTGAGATTGGTGCAAATGCAAATATGAATAAAACAAACGGAGCTGGGGATCGATGAAAATGCGAAGTTCACTCAAAAGAATGTTTAAGATCGGGCTTTTGTGAATTTGACGAAAATCATTGTCATGAGCTTCTCTGATATGTGAAAGTATTCACCTTGGTCGTGGGAAAACGTGAATCAATGGAATTTGCCAGCCCAACAATCTGTCCGTTATCATTGCAAGATTGATTTTTTGTAAAGCACCTATTCACTATCGATTTTCATCACATTCATCGATTTTCATCACATCATTTGATTCCACACTTCACACGCTAATCCTCCAGGTAGCATTCACGTGGTAGCGAAGTATACCGAAGTATGGTAATTGTAAGCTGGGTTGTATAGTATCACCATGACAACGACGTGCAGACAATAATCATTTGATTTTTTGGAAGTGAACTTCGATTTTTTAAATCGCGTCTCCTGCCCCCGTCATGTTTGCATTTTTGTGATTTTTCGCGATAACATGACGGTTGATATCTTTTGATAGACCTTGAGCTGTGATTATGGATTCAGTCTAATTGTGAATGAGATTTAAAGGCGCTAGTTATTCACAAACACCAAACACTATGGTATAAGCCCAAATTATAGAAAATGAAATAGGCAGTATGAATTTGATTTAATAAATCAACACAAAATGAATAATTTCAACTATAGAAATGAACAAATATTCACAATTATCGCTTCGCTTTTACAGAATAAGAATGTGTGTGTCAAACGGAAAGATCCAAATGAATGTAATGAAACTCTTTTTTAGACAAGATGAATGACAATCACTATGTTTAAGATTTTGCTAGCAAAACACATATTATATTTTTGTCATTGCTCTTCTATTTTTTTTCTCTGGATAGTGATTCATTCGAGAATAGAAATGAAGTTTATAGATATTTGCAAGCATCACACCGCCTTTATAACTAAGCATTTGATGAATAAAACAGATTACGAAGAATGAAATGAACTATCTTTTGCAACACACTATCATTTTGTCTCAAACTTAAAAGAAGAAAACTTTTGAAAATATGAAATTATCACATCTGTGCACTTATTCTCTCTCTCTCTCTCTCTCTCTCTCTCTCTCTCTCTCTCTCTCTCTCTCTTTCGCTCTCTATTTTTTAAAAATATTTTAGCGTGAATGCCTCTCACTTCATCTCGGCCAGGCCGGTGTCCAAATGGGCAATGCTTGTTGGGAGTTGTTCTGTTTGGAGCACGGCATCCAACCCGATGGACAGATGCCCTCAGACAAGACCATCGGAGGTGGTGACGATTCCTTTAACACCTTCTTCAGTGAGACTGGAGCTGGAAAGCACATACCAAGAGCTGTTTATGTTGATCTAGAACCCACCGTGATTGGTAAGGAATAGTCTCTTTGGCATGACGATTATCCTTTTTTTTATGGGTTTCCCCCTTTTTTTTCTTTATGCCTGTGTTTTCACCATCTCACTGATCAGCTGATTATACCATTATACTCCTATCATTTTGCTCATCTTTCTGTTTCTATTAACCGCATTCTTCTACCTCCTCTATTGCTCTCTCTCTCTCTCTCTCTCTCTCTCTTCCCCTTCTCTATCTCTCTTCATCTTCTTTTACTTTTATACATGTTCTATATATTATTACACATTCATTTGATTTGACATTACAATTATTCTGAGCTTCAAAAACGAAAAAAATACATAAAAATATTCATTTGACCCTGAAGGCCTGAACCAATGCTCACTTTTTTAAATGACTAAACAACTATTCCCTTCTGCATCATAATATTGGCCGTGTAAAGAATGCTCAATCTCATAGCCAAAACGGCGGTCGATATAGCATGTGTTTTCGAAATAAAGCCTCCTGCCATGTTCGAAAAGAGGAGTTTTAAAAAAAGGCGATATGCGATGACCAGTGACAAAAATGCGAGTGGAAGCGTAAATCTAGTCCAGTTTATAGAGCAGCTTAGTGCAAAAGGCAGCTGTAAAGAACGGAAATGCCCCGCTGGTAATAGCTGAACTTGGCTTATGATGACCAGGGTGTACATGAGTAATTGCATAGGTTGGTGGTATTATGATTTTGATATGAAATGGGGGGGGGGGGGGGGAGGGGCGGTGTCCTTTAAAGATAATTTTTAATTTTGCATATTCATTCCATTCATCCATTCATCTTTGAGAGACATTGACAATCTCATGTAGTCCTTTAGCATAATTTTCACCCTACTCTTCCAAAAGGAAATATTGTTAATAGCTTCTGTAAATGACTACAAACAGAAAAGGGGCATCCTATTTATAGACGGCAATTTTAAAAAAAACTTGTTTTAGCAAGACGTAATGCTACAGGTAGTATAAGTTGTGTGAAGCAAATTCACATTACGCTGAATTTTGTCAAAATCTATTCTTTCTTCGATCCGGTTTTAAAAATGTGGACCCAGATTTTGAGAGATGTAGACTCGCCTTGACTTAACAATTCTTATCTCAACATTAATATTACTAAATTATTATTATCTACAAGATTCTGTGTGTACCTGTACGAATGATTTCCTCCCTTTTCATTTCCCTTCTCTATAATTTAATTGTAGTTTTTGTAGTTGTAGTTTTTAAATATCAATTCCGAAGTGCCCCCCCCCTCCCTCCACCCCTGCCATATTGTGACAAGTTAAAACATCCGTTTACCTCCGTGTCTTTCTGACTTGAAGTGGCTAACGACCAATTTTCACAAGGGCTTGTTGACAACACAAAGCAGATCTATGAACAACCTTGTAAATTGTCCATAAAACACGGGAGCTTCATCCGTTACAACTGCCTCTTTTATCTCATTTATTGATATCAAGTCGGCGCTAAAAGTCAACTCTTTCATTCATTTCGAGGTTGTTTGCGGAAAGAAGTTGCCAGCGGTCCCCAGAGTCCATTCGAGGACAATGGCTTAGCTAATCCCTTAATCCACCGGTACATACAGCGATCCCTCCCCTGTTTATCTAGTTAATCCACCCGTAAATAAGAGGGCACTTTGCGACACCGAGATCGATTCGTACTGATCCCCCTTGTGTACTCTCGTTATTCTTACATGTAACAAATGTTTGTCGAGATAATGATGATGAGCAGGATTGTACCTTAAATAAGTACAATAACATCGTATTCATGCTGTCATGGTGATTCCTCTTTCCAAATGCGTTCTGAAAAAAAGAAATGATCCAGAATTTCTACTTTGCATTCATTTTCATTTCTTCTTCTTTCTTTTTCTGTATTCTTCTTTCCTCCTTCTTCTTCCTCTTTCTATTCTTCTTCGTCTGTCTTCTCCCTCTCCATCTCCTTCACCTATACCCGTCTCCTCCTTCTTCTCCTTCCCTTCCTTTTCCTTCTCCTTCTTCTTCTTCTTCTTTTTCTTCTTTCTTCTTCTCCTTCTTCTTCTTCTTTTTTTTTTCTTCTTCTCCTTCTCCTTCTTCTTCTTCTTCTTCTTCTTCTTCTTCTTCTTCTTCTTCTTCTTCTTCTTCCTTTTCTTCTTCTTCTCCTTCTTCCCATCCTTCTTCCTCTCCACCTTCCTCTTCTCCTCTTTTTTAAAATTTAATGTATGTATTTTGAAAGACAAAAGGCATTCAAAGTCTTCCCATCCTCCTTTTACCTTCTCCTTCTCCTTCTTCTTCTTCTTCTTCTTCTTCTTCTTCTTCTTTTTCTTCTTCTTCTTCTTCTTCTTCTTTTTCTTCTTCTTCTTCTTCCTTCTTCCCCTCCTTCTTCTTCTCCTTCTCCTCCTCCTTCTTCTTCTTCCTTTCCCCCTTTTCTTCTTCTTCTCCTTCTTCCCATCCTACTTCCTCTCCACCTTCCTTTTCTCCTCTTTTTTTATTTAATGTATGTATTTTGAAAGACAAAAGGCATTCAAAGTCAACTTGGATCGTGGTTTCTTTTCCTGCTATATTAAAACGACTCCATATTTCATGAAAATTACTCGAAATTTGAAAAAAAAAAAGCCCTAGGAGATTATGGTATGAAATGGTGTAAGAAGAGTTGACAGGAAAGTATAGGTATAGATCATGGAGTTACTCGCCTAGTAACGCATGCTGGTACATACATATTTTAGAACGTTTGATGAGTCATTCTCTTTGTTCTCTCTCTCTTTCACCTACTAACTAAGGTGTTATCATCATTTCTCTCTCTTTTTGTCCATGGCTTTCCTATCTTTTCCGATTCTTTTCATGACGTTTCTTTTTTCTTTTCTTCTTGTTTAAAAATCACGCCATCGTTAATGTTTTATTTGATTGTTTGTGCCTCTAAAGGGGTGATACCTCTTCTTAAGTTTAATTGTTGTCTTTCTTATGTTCCTTTCGTTATTGCTTTTATAAAAAGCCACCCTCTGTACCCTTTTCTCTCTCCCTCCTTTTCTCCCTTTCGTTCTGTTCAAAGTATAGTACGTAGGCACTTAATTTTTGTCAACGTTCTAAATTATTTAGAATTACGTGAGAAATTATGCCGTTATCGTCTGATATCTCCAAGTCGTGTCGTCTTCTAGATTAAAATCCTTTTATTTGCGACTATCACCTTTCATTAGGGTATTAAAATCGTGCAGTACACGCAATTTTCCAGCACATCTGTTACCGGTTCCCATGGAAACGAGAAATCGTCAACTTTGGTAGCATGCACAAAAGCATGACAACAACAATGGAACGAAAATACGATTGTATGTTATACTTCCTTCCAAACTATAATACAATGTAACATTAAATAATGTGTTTACTTGTTCTTTTCTTCCCACAAAGATGCCATAAATGCGCGTATGATCCCAATTATCATATTCATAGACTAATTAAAAAACGAATAAAATATATTACATGTATGTACAATCCGGCTGCTTCGCTGTTTATTATATAGCTGGGTACCAATGAAATACAAAGAGTTGATACATGTTGCTTTATGCACTCTGTAATATTAGTCCTATAATGTATTTTCAGATGAGTTTTGCTCAGCTCTCAAGATTACTCCTGACGACGAACAGGGCCCGCTGTTCAAAATGTTAACAGTTTTCAGAACTCCTGGGAAAAACAACAACAACAACAGTCTCTTTAACTCGTTTAACGTCTAATGTATTGTCCTTAGTATAATCCTTTTGTTCCATCTCCGTGGATTTTCACGTTCTTTTGAATTATAAAATATATGTAAACCTAGGGAGATCTCTCCCATCTCCCTATTGAAAAAAAACTTATGTTACTAAGGAGCAAATACTTCATGATATTAGTTTTGAAATAGCATTGACATAATGATACCAAACTATAAAGGTTATCATGTAGTAACAGAAATACAAACAGATTAAAAGATGAAGGTAAACTTGCTGTCCAAAGTGTCATGACGTGTGGTTTATTAAAAACAATATGAAGAAGAAGAAAAACACAGGGAGATGTATAACACACAATATACACTATTTCCCATTATATAATTTTTTTTCTTACCTCTTTTCATGACATGATCGTGACAATATGATTGATTCTTGATATAGACATAATCTATAGATATCTTATCAGAACTTTATTGATAAATGTCTATGACGCATCAGATTGATCAATGAAGCTCTGATATGATTTAAACGTTATCTGTCAAGGATAAACCATATTTTCAGAATTATGCCATGAAAAGAAGTAATAAAGATTGCAACAATTTGCTGATGAACACAATGATTATCCCATTCAATTAGGTTGTTGTCGCTGCGGGTTGTCCATTTTTAATACTTCAGGTTTATTTCGAATTAATCATCACTGTCAATTGATTTATTTTACAGAGGTGTACCCCTCCCCCCCCCCCTACTCCGTGAACGGAGGGATACCATGCGTGTTACCAAAATGTCCGGTAAAGGGGTACTTTTCACGCACCAAAGCACGGCTCGTAGTACACAAAAATCCGGCCCGTATTGACTTTACACACCGGACTTGGGGGGGGGGGGGGTGTTTTCAAAAGGAGGGAACATCATGCGTACCATAAATAACACTGTGTGGGGGCGGGGGACGGGGGTGTACCCAACTTTGATACTATTCGTCGTACCCCTCCCCCTCTGCCTCGTCCACCCTTCCTCCATCCTCATTCCCCCTCCTTCATTGCTCTCCCTTCTCCTCCTCTTCCTTCTCTTTCTCCTCTTCCTCCTTTTCCTCTCCTATCTTCCTCCTTTCTTTATCTCCTCCGTTTTCCCTCCTGATTCCCTCGTTGATCTTTTTTTTTTTATACCTCTCTCCTATACACCTCTTCTCCTCTATTTCTTCCTCCTCATCTATACCCACTCCCTTTCTCTCCTTCTCTCTTTTCCTCTCCTTTCCCTTTCCTACAATATATTAAGTCTCATCTTTTTTTTAACTACTAAAGAATAGGCTTTAAAAAAAAATACAATTTGAGCTTTTCATATAGTTATCGTCCGTTAATTTAGCAGTACACAGGTCATAACAAATCTATATACACAGCTACCGTTTGTACCTATAGTGTTTACTTTGGAGTAATTTAACTTTTAGCCGTTCGTTATTATGTTTGATTCAAAGAATAATGTCGGCTAAATGAAATCGATTTAAAGTTTCCCGTCCCCTCCTCGTTACCTTTCTCGACCCCCTCAATTTTCTGTTACTTTATATCTTTATTTTGAAATGAAATTGATAACAATCTGAAGACATCTAGACAAAGGAATAACAGAATTTCACATTTGTTTGAGCCTCTGAAGTGTATATACAAATGAAATATGGTTACGGAAATTTGTGTTGAAATATATCCAGAAATATATACATAAAATATCATGGAACGCCCCCCCCCCCCTACTCGTCATATTCAAAACTGGGGAGCCGTAACATATACATTTTTAATCTGAGGCTGCGCCCCTACTTGGCGAAAGTCGCTTGACCAAGACAGCTTGTGAGCTGCTGTAATGCACTCACTGACCCCCCCCCCCCTTTTTTGTTTTGTTTTGTTTAGTGGGGGCGCAGGGCTCGAATCCCACTCCTGACACCAATTGTCGTGGTCTAGCCAATGGGGGGGGGGGGGGGGGGGGGGGCGGGCGGGCGCTTTGTCAGGACATCAATCAGACCATACACATAGGAGTAGGGTGCGAAGAGTTTATTATATACAGGAAGACAACTTTTTTTGGGGGGGGGGTAGGGGAGGGGGTTATTATTTTGTTTAGTTTTGCGCCACATGAGATTTGTGAAGAATATCACATTTGATTTCCTCGAACAGTGACTTATTACAAACATGAAAAATAGAACAAAGCACCCTAGACAGTATAAAAAACAATTTATAGACTCCGTGGCAATATTGATGTAAGTAAATATTAATGCAATGTAAACCTACATGCATACTCTATGGAGCTCATTTGATATCTTCCTGTATTAAACAAGGTTATACGGGAAGAAATATGACGAGAGAGTTGTGAAATTTTATGTATTTCGCAATATTAATGCCAAAACCCTCGGACTTTTGTTTTCCCGCCATTTATGATCGATAGCAGGATAATGGTAGCGATCAAAATATCACCTGCTTGTGTATCATAAAGGACTACATACATTCCATAACATGACATTGCTTAATTTAGTATTGCGCGAGAAAAATTATAGGACCGAAGGCGATGGATGTCTATGCGTGTGTTTTCATTGTAAAATTCCTGTTTATGCATCAGTGAAAGTAATCAAATACTATACACCTCGTCAAATACACCTGTGAATAGCTTTACTCTCGCTTTAATGTGCTGTTATGATATCTAATATCAATATGGTTGTGACAATAATACTTTCGCCTTCAGTATTGTAATGTGGGTTTATCTTATTAACTTAATGCTGAATTAGAGTTTACATTAAGATACAGTATTTTGTTTTTCTTTCCACATTTCTGTTACTTTCTAATTCATCCGTCGTCAATTAACCCTCCTTCCCCTTAACATTATTTCATCTCCATTAGATTTGATTCTATCTCTCTATCTCTCTCTCTCTCTCTTACACATTTCCATATCCACACATCCCTCCTTCGTCACCTAGTAAATGAAAAATAATCAGAACCCTCTTTCATCCTTTTTCTCTCATTCCAGATGAGGTTCGAACCGGTACTTACCGTCAGCTTTTCGGTCCCGAGCAGTTGATTACCGGCAAGGAGGATGCTGCCAACAACTACGCCCGTGGTCACTACACCGTCGGCAAGGAGATCATCGATATCGTCCTCGATAGAGTCAGAAAGCTGGTAAGAATCCATTAGAGTTGGTGTTGTATCACTGTTATGGATGAAAATGATCGGGACCTGGTTTGTGCATTATCTTGGTTTATGGGACCGATCGAGGTCCCCCCCTCCCCCCCACCCCCACATGACCCAGTTACCGATCAAAAGCAGCCACAAACTTGTCACTTCCTCCACTTCCTAGTCTCCTCCTCCTTCTCTTCCTTCACCATCACCATCACAACCGCTTCTTCCTCCTCCTCCTTTAGCTCCCATTCTGCACCCCTTTCTCCTACGTACGCTTTATCTTCTCCTTCATCTCCTCCTCAACCGTCCTCCTATTTGTCATCCCTTTCCACATCCTCCTACGCTTCCACCTCCTCTTTTGCAATATCCACCACCCCTTACTCTTCCACCATTTCCCTTACTCTTCATCATCCTCCATCTTCTCCTCCTCGCCTTTTCTTGTTTCCTATTCCCTCCTCTTCTTATTCTCCTCTTCCTATCAATGTAGCCCATCTGCTCATGTTTTCTTCGTAATAAATTCCTTCGTCTACTTGTATTTTGATTCAAACTGACGTCACCGTTGTCATGAACATAAAGTTCTTTAGACCCACCCAAAACAAGGTTGACTGATTAAAATCACTTAATATTTTTCAGGCTGATCTGTGTTCAGGACTTCAAGGTTTCTTGGTGTTTCACAGTTTCGGCGGTGGCACCGGCTCAGGTTTCACCTCCCTGCTCATGGAGCGTCTGTCCATTGACTACGGCAAGAAATGCAAGCTCGAGTTCGCAATCTACCCCGCTCCTCAGATCTCAACTGCCGTGGTCGAGCCTTACAACTCCATCCTGACAACCCACACCACCCTCGAGCACTCCGACTGCGCCTTCATGGTCGACAACGAAGCCATCTACGATATCTGTCGTCGAAACCTCGACATCGAGCGTCCGACGTACACCAACCTCAACCGTCTGATCGGACAGATTGTTTCGTCAATCACTGCATCATTACGCTTCGATGGTTCTCTGAACGTCGATCTGACAGAGTTCCAGACTAATCTGGTGCCCTACCCTCGTATCCACTTCCCCCAAGTCATCTACGCCCCAGTCATCTCGGCTGAGAAGGCCTACCATGAGCAACTGAGCGTTTCTGAGATCACCAACTCCTGCTTCGAGCCCGCCAACCAGATGGTGAAGTGCGATCCCCGTCACGGCAAGTACATGGCTTGCTGTCTCCTGTACCGTGGTGATGTCGTCCCCAAGGATGTCAACGCCGCCATCGCTACCATCAAGACCAAGCGTACCATCCAGTTTGTTGACTGGTGTCCAACTGGCTTCAAGGTCGGTATCAACTACCAGCCACCCACCGTCGTCCCTGGTGGTGATCTTGCTAAAGTCCAACGTGCCGTCTGTATGCTGAGCAACAACACCGCCATCGCCGAGGCCTGGGCTCGTCTTGACCACAAGTTCGATCTGATGTACGCCAAGCGTGCTTTCGTCCATTGGTATGTCGGAGAGGGTATGGAGGAAGGAGAGTTCTCCGAGGCTCGTGAAGATTTGGCTGCTCTTGAGAAGGACTACGAAGAAGTCGGCATGGACTCGGTTGATGGCGAGGAGGAGGCCGAAGATGATGATGAATATTAGACAAAAAAAGAATTCTTTCTCTCTGTAGATGTATGCATGCAATATTAATTTATTAACGTTTGAATCAGTGAGGAGGCACAATGATGCTACGTTTCTTTCTTCTGATTTCCTAGTGCCTTAAATCGTTTACTCTTTAATCTTAATATTCAAATATTCAAAATCAAATCACTTCATATCAAAGACAATAAGCATATTCTCGATTTCCTTTGCGTCTGTAGGTGCAATTCACGAAAGATTATATTTTGTATCACTCATTGAATGTTGCGCATGTAAATGTCGAACATTCAGGAAAGTGTAATTTTTAAGTAACCATATTCGCGCAATCGTCACCTTGTAATCGAGCTGCCGTCACCTCAAATTCAGGCTGGAAGGTGTGTTTCTTTTTTTATTTTTGGTTTCTTAAGTTTTATATCTGTATTTCAAAGACAAAATGACCTTGTCACTGTCATTATACATTGTCTTCTTTTTGTTATACTCGCTTAGCTTAGCTCGCTCGGAAAAGTGTAACTGGAAATAATATCCGGGCAAGAGACGTTGCCCCCTTCCCCCACTGCCGAAGGTATGTCCTAATTAAGTCATTTTTGTTGACGAAATAAGGTTTTTCCTATCTAGACCATGTTGGGTTTATTTTAATGATTTTAGCCAAGTTCTCGACGATCTCTATGCTCCTGTTTTTGATAAACTGTGTCTCAGAACGCATTTTCTTAGTTTTATATGATTATTAGATCATGCACGATGAGAAAATCTGCTGTTTTATAACTTTTTTCTCTCACTATTTTGTACATGTACATTCAAACAATGCGTTTGTAAGCAATAACATTTCCCTGGACCAATCTAAACTTCTCTTATAAGAGAACATAGACAGTGGATAAGAAATTAAGAATATTATGTTTTTTAATGATTTCCTTTAGTGCAATGTTTCAGAACATTCCATGAACACAATACATATTATTTTAGCGCATCTAATGCATGAGTTATATTGGGGAACGCACCCTCTGATTGTACATTTATTAAACTAAACATGGAGGACTTTGAGATGGTTCTGTATATATAATGTTAAACATAATAGTTTGTAGTCTTGTGTCACGTATGGTATGTACTCATTTCAAGGCGTGTCAATATTACTTTAAAAACGAATATCATACGAGATAGAGAAAGGACTACTAAGAAACTGACTGCATAAAAACATAATAACATGAAGTTTAAGCTTCTACCAACCTTAACATTTAGTAGGCAAGCTTTCGTCCATTCACTCCTGTGGACTTTCTCAAGCAAATAGATTATCCAAGCACTATCTTGCTGCCTGCTGCCTGCTGCCTCGAGTTCACAGACAGCAAAAAGTGTGAATAATCAATTGGCTTGAGAAAGTCCACAGGAGTGAACGAAACCTTGCCTACATAATTTAAAGGTTGGTAGAAGCTTGAACTATATCTTATGATTACCCTAACCAATGAAAGTTTTCTGTGTTATACGGTCTTTGATTATTCAGAATTAGGTTCGTTTGTGAGTTCATGTATCCTATTCTTTACTGCATAATAAAACAACGGCTATATTATTTTCCACTTCATGCTCTCATTTTCTCACGTTTTTAATATATTTATTGTCAAAATTATGCATATAATTTATATTTGAAACATCTCTCGGCTATTTTAGATTTTTTTGTTTTAATCAATGTGTAGGTATGGTTTTTGCGGATGAAAGTTTAAAAAACTTAACGTTTCTTTTTAAATTTTGCATGAATAATATCTTTTCATTAGTTCTTTACAACTCACGAGAACCTCTTTTCATTCATTGTATATGTTTTTGATAATAAACTGTCCAGATTTCATCATGAATACACTTACACATATGTTCATATTGTCTCAATTTCTTTAGCTTACATGTTGTTGTGCGTGAGGAGATGCACCGTACATGATGCAGTTTATTGAATATTATGAAATCACAAACACAAAATTAATACAAAAGGAGGAGAGATGAGTAAAAGAAAATATATATATGAGAGTAATTTTCTTGACGTCTCTCCTCCCTTTGTTTTGTATAGTAAGTCATCTTGCTTTCTATCTGATCAAGACTAAGCGGTCTGTCTCTCTCTCTCTCTCTCTCTCCCTCTCTCTTTCCATCAGATCTTTCTTATTGTTTGATAACTCTTCTTTGCCACGCACTGTAGTCTTAAAGGAAGTACATAATGTTCATTCTATTTGTAAACGTGAGTATAATGATAATCAACTTTATTCTCAATAATTACAATGTAACCGACAGTGCAAAAATATACAATACAACATTTTTAATAGATTGACTCGATCACAATCCACGATATGAACTATATTTTTTCATACATTAACAGATTTGAGTTGAAAAGTGTAGCAATTTTGATTCAGGACAAAACTTCATATCTTTGGACTGTTTAACACTACAACCAATGAATACAAAATATTCTGAAAAGACACTCAGAATATTTTGCCAGTCAAGTAAAAGACACATTAAAGAGTAAATAATAAGAGATTAAAAAATGCTGATATACAGAAAATATATCCACAGACCGATGGGGGATTTAACCTTTTTATCATCAAGAACCTTTGGCAAGATCAATTTAATTTTTTGGTAAAATAACAATTTTGGTAAAATAACAATTACAGATCTTATATAGTGACTGTCATAAATTGCATTATATAATCTTATATCGACAACACAAATCCTGAAAAATAGTAAGTGATAAATATGTTTACCTGATCATAATATATTACTTGTTTAAATCACTTGCTGATATTCTCAAAGTTAATCTTGGCTTAATCCACTCATTTACTTCCTCAAATACCTTTAAATTTCAACATTTACTTTAAAATAAAATTATTTTTTTTACAGGTTTTCAATCAAAAGAAAAATTATAAATAATTTACCAATACCAATTAATTTGGTAATGCCAGATGCTTAACCAGGCAAAAAGTGTTGGTCTGTTAAATGTGCAGAAAGTTTTCTAGCCAATTAACCACTCCGAGTACCACTAATTTAAAAGCAATCTTTCAGCGAAATTCCCCAAAAATGCATAGCATTAGCAGGCATATCCAATATACCTACATAGATGGCAAAAGGACATTCAATTCATTTCTTGTTATTCATATCATAGTCAAACAACATCATAAACATTTGCATAAAAGTTTTTAAATCGAGACCAAGTGAAAACTTGTGAAGGCCTCTAATGTCTTGATCTCAAGTAAATTCTCTACCCTGTACAATGCACATTTTATTTTTTCTAAATGCTCTGCAGAGAGTGAAGATAGTGCACACATTGTTAATGCTCTTTAGGAATGTAATGGCTGGCTTTATAATACTATACAGTGCATCCATCTCTCATACATTGGGCAGTACCGTGCGTGCATGTCACATATATATAATATATGAAAAAGGCACAAGAATTTACAATATCAATAAGATACAAGATATTTTATTTGGTCTTTGCAAACAAGTTACATAGATATTTGGTTTCCACTGGTGTTGCAGTAATATTCAAGAAAATACTTATATCACATTTATAGAAATAGATAAGACATTCAAAAGATATTCACACTCTCCTCTTAAGGTATCATTGCACAACAAGTCATTGTCCTTTATGACTGAGGAATGAAAACCTACCCTACAAGGAATAAAATGACATGTACCCCTTTAAAATATGGAGGTGGGAGGGGGTTAAGGGGGGGGGGGGGACCAAACCAAATAACTCCCCCCCCCCCACAAAGATAAACAACAACATATAAAAACAAGAAGATGATATGGTAAACCTCTCTCTACAAGAACAGAACACTAGATTTTATCTTTGTCAATTCCACTTGGCTCATCTCCAATTTGTCTAAACCATACTCATAAACCCTATAATCATTATATTTACATGGCTTCACATACATATATACTCGGTCATTGTTTTAGATTCAGATATAAAGTGAAGTAATAATCTTAAGGCGCAATAAACTTCTGGCAGCTACTGAGTTGTTTAATACCATAACAAAGGCCAGAGATCTATCAGAAATTACAAATTATTCATCGTAGGCCATCCCAGCATTAAAGACTAACATAGCAGAGGTGTTGTGGTCGAGTGGATATGTCACCGGACTGTGGATCACAAGGTCCGCGGTTCAAGTCCCACCGCGGCACTAATGTCCTGTGGCAAGACATTGATCTACGTTTGCCACTCTCCACCCAGGTATTAGTTGTGTACCCAGTACGATGCGAAAGCTAATATGGTTCGAGAGCAAGTGTGCTCTTGTAAAAATGACACCTGGCTGGAATGCTCCCCAGGGAGTGGAGAATGTGCATACGTTGTCTTGCGGGTAAGCCTAAATCCAATGACTGGGGTAATTATATACATCTGTAGAGTGCTCTGAGAGGGACTTTGGTCCTGAAAAGCGCTATATAAAAAACAAACTATTATTATTATTAGTAACTTAAAAAGTACTGAGTTGCATAGCAGCAGACACTACCTTCAAAAGCAGCAATGACTACAAATTGGCACATGCTACAACACCTGAATCGGTTATACTTCTTCATAATTTAACAAACAGCAACTTAAAATATGTTTAAACTATATCAAAGGTATCTATCAGTATGTTATCCAGGCCAAATACAAAATAACAGGTAAACAATACAACTCAGAAACAAGTTCTGGACAGGGGGCAATTGCTAGTAAAATCCTTCCCGTGATTTGTCATTATATGCATAATGATCAGCTGCTCTTTAATAACAAAATTGCACATCAGGGCTAGCTTTAACAGATATCAGAAAAGAACTTGCATTTTCTCATATATTGTCTCAAGCGGCATACATGCTATGTGACCCAACTAACTTGTATACCGGTAATAAACATGTACAATATAATAATAATATTTTAAAGTCCACTCCAAATTTTATTGAGTTAAACCGAAAAATGGAAATTCTTTTTGCCCAATTGATCGTGAGCTCAGCCACTGAGCAGCGACAGATCGACGTTGCTCTATCCTTTATTGCTAACGCCAAACAAGGTAGCAGCAACTCCCGTCTTTTGACATCTTTTGGTATGACCAGGCTGGGGTACGAACCCACGACCTCCTGGTTGTGAGGCGGACGCTCTACTGACTGAGCCAACACACCGATATATAGCATTAAATTTGATGCACTTAAAAAAAACTTGGGCTTTTTTTCCTTCACTCAGTTCAGGTATTAATATATATCTGTAAAGAGCTTTGAGAGGGCCTGCGGTCCTGAAAAGTGCTATATAAGAACGAGCTATCATTATTAGTATGTATTACAGGGGTGATAGTGAGCACTAAAAAAAAAATAGGTTTTTTGTTTTCCCCTCAACCACGCCCCCCTTTGAGTAAAAAAAAAAGAAGAGGATTCGCGGGGAAAAAATGGCATCTTACAACATTCCCCCCTTTCGAGTGAGAAAATTGGGAAAAAATAGGGAAATTTGGGAAAAAAATAGGGTAGAACAGAGAAAATAAGTTGGAAATCAGGAAAATCAGGATAAAATTAATAGCGAAGAAGAAAAAAAATCTGGTAAAAAAAAAAAACCAGATTTTTTTTTTTTTTTTTAAATCGGGAAGAAAAAAAAAATCGGGAAAAAATCGGGAAAAATACAAAAAAATCAGAAAACCCATTTAAATCGGGTTTTTATCAGGCCTGGTATTATAGAAATCCAATTATTATTAGTAGTACTAGTGTATGTATTAGTACCTGTTAGAACAAATTGAGGCTTTATATTAAATTCATTGATGAGCCATCTCATGGAAGATGATGCTATATGAATATGAAGAAGAACTTTTTATACACTGACAAACCTACTACAGCTGTCCAAACTCCAGATAGACATGATGAAGCAATCTGACACCTATCAAATTCAAAATCTCAATATGGTAATCACGTTGTCTTTAGGAATCATGTTCTGATTACTTCATGTTATTCTAATACAGTCAAACCTGCTTTAGTGACCACCTGTCTACAAAGACCACCTGTCTACAAGGACCACATTTTTTGTTTCCCTTGAAAATGGTTTCTCATTGAAACATGTACTTAAAGGTTCTATGTCCCATTTGCAGGCCAAAAAAATTAAAAAGTTAAATTCCAACTGCATTTGAAAGATAATACTAATTTAGAACTTCCCTAAAAAAAGGTGGGGCTTTAAAATGTCTTCAAGTGGGAAAATAATGACTATTAGTAGTCAAATCGACTTTAGGGCTATAGAGCCCAAAAGTAATAGTCTTGATTTTCAGACAATTGTACCGAATGGTCATACGTTTTATGCTGCGCAAAGATTCAATCAGTTTAATCTTGGCCATCACAAGAAGTGGGTTATTGATGTAGACAAATGCTCATGTACCCTTTACAACTCTTTTCATGTATGTTATTACCAAAGAAGAAAAAAAGCCAGTCAGTCACTCAATAGTGTCTAACAGTGAAGTCTAGCAAGTAAACAGGTTTCTTTGCATAATTTGAATATGAGGACACTGCTAACGTTTAAATTTCACAGATAGGACATACATGACATATTCATAATTCCTGCAACAAGAATTCTACAAAATTTGAGGTTGGCTGCAAAAGGGACATAGTACCTTTAAAGAACTTGTCTACAAAGACCACTTTTTGTGTTTCCCTTGGGCGGTCGCTATAGACAGGTTTGACTGTATTTGCAATGCAAACTTTGCATATATCATAAAAGATGTTGGGCAAGGCCATTGAAAACGCCTGCAGTTGATTTCTCAAGTTTCTTGCGATCATGATTGCTCTTAACATAGAAATAATAATCACATCACGGCCGCGTTTTATAAAGAGTCATGATTGATCTCAAGTTTGAAGTTTGATGATGAGCCATAGATTTACGCTCAATATTAACTTTATGATCAATCAAAAGGCTTTGTAAAAAAGGTTTGTATAATACTTGTATGATTGAGTTGCACTGTAGGTCAAGTCAGATTTCTAAGGTGAAGCACTAGCGCCCTCTGTTGTTTGTGTTTGTTGAGTCTTGGGATTGACATATTCTTTCTTCCTGACGATGAAGCCTTTATCTATGCAGGTGTAAGCCATGTCTATCAGCGATTCCTTGGGCTCGTATGGTTTGATGCCAAGTACTTCAGTTAACTAATTAAAAGAAGAAGAAATTTCACGGAATGAATTTCCTTTTTGTTGATTGAAGATGACATAATAATGCAAAGCTTGTCTTGTCTTTTTGTTTAAATAACAAACTGTAGGTACAGAAAATGAGACACAGAGAGATGCTGGTAAAATGATTTTACATACAGATACATGAATTAGAGAACATGAAATATTTCAAGATAAAATAAAGCATTTACATGAACAGATACATGAAGAAAAAAATGTATCTCCAGTTATTTAAATGTTCTGAAGATTCTGCTGCTCTGAAAGAGCTTCTAGATTTTTAAACTAATCTGATCATGCCACTTTAAATAAAATATCAATAAATTTGCACAATTAATTGCAACTTTGTATGTATTTGGACTACATTTATTATATACAATTTACAACAACAACAAAAAAACACAGAAAGTGTCAACTTGATAATATATCTGGAAGGTAAGATTTCATGTCCTTAAGGTACAAAAAAGATATCATAAAATCAATAAAATCAGAAGGATTCATGATGGAGTAAACTATAATGCAGCAAGAAAGTAGAATATTAATCTTTTTCAATTGCACAATAAGCCATTTTGGTAATGTAATCATATTTAATGCACAAATCTTTAAGTGACTTGTTACAAATCGTTTCATTCACATGTTACAAATAATTATATTTCAATACCGGTAGTCAGTATGCAAATGCATACATTAAGTGTTGCTAGGTAGGACGAGCCATAATGTTTGTCCTACCTGGCAACAATTAATGTATGCAATTTGCATTCTGACTACTGAAATACAATTATTCATAAGAGGTGAATGAAATATTTTGTAACATGGCACTTATAACAAAGATGTATGCATTAAATTTGATTAAATTATGAACATGGTCTATTAGGAGTGAATTCAACTACATTTTGTTCCCCCATTGAACCCCCACCTCCCCCCCCCCCCCCCTCATTAGAAATGCCCCTGGGTATAAATAATGGTAGATATTTACCCTGTGATTAGACAATGTGGTTTTATGTCCCTGGAGTGGTAGGATATACTTGACAGTGGAATCAAACCAGCTGACCATCTTGAGTAGTAGAGGTGGAGCCATCATTCTCGGGGGCTTGTAACCTATACAGGAATCAAAAACAATTAAAGGCATTGTTTAACAATGTTAAATCTGAGATGCTTGGCCCTACGTGTTATCAATGTCTGTGATATGGTGTGATATTGAAGCCCTAAAAAATTGCGCTTCAAAATGATCATAGAGTGCCTAAAAAAAGTAAAAATCTTTTGAGTGACTGTTTTACCATACTCATTTCCCCCAATAGACTGTAGGGTTATGAAAACCGTTAGGAAAACAAATGTTTAAATTTCAAATTCCAATCATAAATATCTTGATAATCAGACAGGCGATCGGCTTGTAAAAGTCATGGGGTTCCTGACTGATCTTAAGGATTATAATTATCATTGCAGCATGAGCTAAATCGGTAGTATAAATACCCATACTACTTTGATCACGCCACTTTACACCAAAACTTGTCATTCAGGTATAAGAAAGATTACATCACATAATGTTATACAAAAATATCAGCAAGTATATACTTTTGGTGTTCCAGCAGGGAGATGTGCCTCCCTAGTTCATGTTACACTATGCATGCTACAACTCTGATTAGCTTCTGCGCAATAAATTATTATATATGTTTTATGAATTGTACCAGTTGGATAATCTCTTAGTACCGTATCTCTGAAAATATGCTTTAGGAATGGCCAAGGTTTCTTTCACCATGAAATGAAATAAAATAAAATGATACTCGCCTTTGTCTCTAAACTCCTCCCTGAGAACATCTGCCATTTCTCGAAACCACATGTTGTGTGGAGAAACAATATGACGATGACCTGAAAGATGAAAAAAATTAGAAAACATTTCAAAAGAAGATTCAGACACTGGTCTATCTTCCGATAGATTGCAGTCATTAAGTATGTACAAGAAATAATAACTTTCCAACTAGTTGTCAGACTTTTCACAAACGTTTATATTTTTGTTGTGTGTGCTTAAATATGTTTTAAATTTGAAGGCAAGACAATTTATCCATCTACAGTGAAAAATGTGAATGTACCATTGGTTATCTGAAATGTGTAAAAAATTAACAGGAAAACATCTGACAACAGAACTGTTAGTAGTTCAGACTTAAGAGAATTAATATCTGTTCATATTTACAATGTATGAAGCATTTATGTGTTTGGAAAAGTTTCTTTGTATTCTAATAAAAACACAGTGTGAAATTTGAGCAAAATAACAGTTGCTTTGTTTAGTCAGTAGGACAAACGTGTCGCAAAAGGTCATTTGTTAAAGGTATAGACCAGTTCTGGACATGCGATTGCATTGTGAAAGAAACGTTGTGGAATCGATTAGAAAAGGTCGATCATCTAGCATATAAGTATTGGTGTGTACTGCATACTAGTTCTGGAATTATCAAAATGATAAGAAATTCGGCCCAGTCTTGGTAAAGTTACAAGTACTGTTCACAGAAAGATGTATATGGGACTACACGATATATCTATCCAGTCTGGATAGATACAATAATTTACCAAATATATCAATTAGTAGGCGGTTTCCTGGCAAAATTTGTATCATCACGTATTACTCAAAACATATTCTTTCACATGATTGGTAAGAAGAGCTTCCATTTGGCGCGATAGCTTCCATTTGTTAAAATAATCACCTTTTCATTTTTTTGAGAGGGGGCGGGGGCCTTTCCAAAACTGGTCTATACCTTTAAGACAGGTTCAACTGCATTTTGAATTTAAACTTGGTAGTGACTTTGATACCTGGTGCATCAGGGTGTGTCATAGCGACGACATGAGCCTTAGCAACATCCCTGACATCACATACAGGGAAGTTCAGCTTGGGAATGGCAGGCGGGTCTCGTTCTAGGATACGTCGGATCACCTCTACACTGGTTCCTGGAACTCCGCAGATGACAGGACCAAGAACCATGGATGGGTTGATGACAGCCAACTCAAATTTGGATTCAGCTGAACAGGTATGAGAGAGCGTGCAAGAATGGTGTGCAAGATTGGTATAGACAGAGTCTGAAAACTTTCTTTCACAGGATCATTTGCATTGATTATCTTCTCTTTTTCTTTTTTTGTACTTTGAATATGAAGACCCATATTAAACTTTGGCATACTCCACCACCTGTCATGCACCAATACAGATACTTTTGTTTTGTACGACATAGTAACACATTGATTTAAAGATAAGCCAAAATCATAATCAATCCTACAGATAGGATATGCAAAGGTCAATATTTGAGGTTGTACCACATATATGGTTATTTACACCATGCGTATATCAATCTCCTTCTTTTAAAAAGAGAGGAAATTTGAACTCCATGGGAATCTCCAGAAACAAAATACTTTGACTTATAAATAACTAAATCGGTACAATCGTACACGGCAACAGTACTGACTTCAGAAACTTGAATGATTTGACAATCCAAAGAAATGTTTGTTTATACTTTTATATCCTTACTAAACTGTTCATTTCCTGGTAGGATATATCGAGGGTTCAGTGAAACAAAGACGTAACTCCATATTTGCCAAAATGAGTATTTGATATCAAAATGTTCAGAAAAATGTGGGCTTTCCAGGAAACACAAAGACTTAACTCTACCTAACACCCCATTGAAGTCAATGGCTAGTGAAACATAGGCTTAACTCCTCAAGGCCCAAGTGCTCAGTGACACATAAACCACTTTTTCTCAAAGTGGCCAAAATGGAGTTAAGTCTTTGTGTCACTGACCCCTCGATTATGTCTCCTGCAAGTCAGAATGGAATAAACTCATATGCTTTAACACAGACTTCACACCCTACTGGCTCAAAACAGATGATGTAAAACTATCTGCATATGTACCTGGTAGTTTCTCTACAAAGTCCCATGCCGCTTTCTCTGCTAATGCCTTGCTTTTCCCATAAGCATCTTCCATAGGGCTGTTCATATTCCTCCATGTTTCTTCTGTTATAGGTTCTGTGTTAGTTTCTGTTAAATCTAAAAAGGAACAAGAAAGCATTACATTTTAAATGAGCCTGCGTTTGGGTAAGAATGAAGTATTTGAAGAAAAAAACAATAATAAGCTTTCATAAAAGGATGAGCAATTGTAATAACAATCATTATTACCTGTATCAGACATCTGAGCAGTGGTTTTACAAAATCATATTACACTTCTTGTAATCCTAAAAGAGCTAATCAGTAAATATAAGACCATATTACCCTCTCATGAAAAAGCCTATGGACTTCACGTGTTAAAAAAGGAGGAAATAAAGTCTCATATTCACTGCGCCGTATTTCGTCATTTTCATTGCGCATCTATTATGCGTACAAGAACCTGCACATTTTGCGCGCACTCTATTGTGACGTAATAATCACACCAAATGCACACTGGTTGCAGTGTTATAATAATATCAATAGGCATTTCTATAGCGCCATCTACCTAGAAATTCTATTTCGAGGCGCAATTATTATCGAAAATTTTGTCAAGCACTGGATGCACGGTGCTGGTTTGACAAAGTTTCTTCAGATCTTTGAGATTGTCATGGTTGATTTATGTATTTGCTCTAGATGTCTGATTTGGATAACAATAACAATATTGACAGGCTTAACTTTCGGGAGATACCTCATATATTGCCCTCACAAGACCCATATTGCTCTCGTCTTTGACTCGGGGCAATATGAGTCTAGTTTGGGAAATATATGTTGTATCTCCCTCAAGGCCAGTCCATATTATATAATAAATAGTCCTGCTTGCCTGGTAAAATAAAAAAAAAACTTAACAGTACAAATGGATGACTTGATGCAAATACAGATATACATGTAAACATTATTAAAAACAAGAAGGACAAAATAATAAAAAGAAGAAAAAGAAGAGGAAGAGGAAGTAAAATAAGATGAAGAAGAAGACGAATAACAACAACAAAAATACCAATGGGAATATGAAGAAAGGGAAAATACAAAAAGGACAAGAGAAGTAGGCAGAAGAAATAAAGAGTAGAAGATGATGAACAACAGGATGAAGAAAATAAAATAAAATACGAGAAATCAAAGAAACAAGAGGAAAAGCAGATTACTACTTTTATTTGGTCAAAGATGATATCACTTACCACTGATTGCAGCGACAGAGCTGGTCAATACCACCCTCTTGACCCCACCCACATCCACACATGCTTGGAGAACGTTGGTAGTACCCTCGACAGCAGGTTTGATGACTACGTTCTCATCCTTAGGGCTCTTGTCTGGGAAAGGGCTGGCGGTGTGGATGACATGGCTACACCCCTGGACAGCACTGATATAGAGCAAAGAGATTTTAATCATCATTTATTTATTGCAACCAAAACTTTGAGGTTGGATTTCAAATAAAAATAAAAATACAAACAGATAGATAATGGTAGAAATAACGTACACAAGGTCACAGAAAATCTGATCACATAAATAAATGAATAATAATGTGCTACAATCAAATTATTCCACATTCATTATCAAACAAATGAATGTAAGCTCATGAGTACAATATTTCATAATTGTATTTAACATTGAGAGAATTTGGGTAGGTACTTATATAAATTGGGTTGTTTATAAGGAAATTGATAATAATAATAATAGTGGATACAAAATTAAAAAACTGGTCACAAAAATCACATATTCGGTCAGAATGATGAATAAATGAATCACAGAAAAAAGAGGAAATAAATAACATTTTAATTGTTTCACCCCTACTAATGGCTACATTAAAATTGCGCGAATATCCAGGATGTTCAATGTGTCTAATAGTCCTTGCTTTAGCCCAGCTGCCTTAAAGTGACTTGGTAACATTGCCTCAGATTTTGAACAAATCCTGGATTTAGCTCATGCTGCAATCATAATTAAAAACCTTTAGGTCAGTCAGGAACCCCATGACTTTTACAAGCAGATCACCTGTCTGTTTATCAAGATATTTATGATTGGAAATCGAAATTTCATTTTCGTTTTCCTTATAGCACTATAGTCTATTGGGGAAAATGAGTACAGTAAAACCGGTTACTCAAAGAGTTATACTTTTTTGAGGCACTTTATCATTATTTTAAAGCCTAATTTTTTAGGGCTTAAATATTACACCATATCACAGACACTGATAACATGTACAGGTATGGCCATTTATCGCAGATTTAACATTGTTAAATGATGCTTTTAAGGCGCTGAAACATTCAAGGAATAACTTTTTACCTGATATGTTCTGGGTTGAACCACAAGGCAACTAGATGTTTTCTTTTGAGTATAATGATTATTTCTTTGGAGGATAAAGGTGTGATATGATTTTCAAAACACCATCGCCTTCTTTTTTTTTATGTTGACTGTCCAAAGTAAGTTGTTATCACTGTGTTAACAAATTTCTAATTAAGTAGAGCATGTTTTGGGGGGGATGTTTCATCAGTGTCTGTTTTCCTTATCTTACTGTCCAAGAAACCTTGAACAAGATAATAAAAATATAGACCTCTAAACTAAATTCACAATTGTCATGTTTTCAAATTAAAATGCCAAGTCTCACTCTTTCCAGCATGCCTCGTTGGTAAGGTCGGCTTCCACCAGTTCCAGTTCATGAGCTGCATTGGGACAGAGTTCCTTGAGTGGTCCAACTTTCTTGGGATTGGTCAGACTCCTGACAGTCCCTCTGACCTTGTACCCAGCTTCCTGGAGCTGCTGCACGATGTGAGTTGCTATGTACCCTGAAGCACCTGTTACTAGCACCTCTGGGGACAGACAGACAAACATACTTAGAGGGTGAATTGCCATTTTGCCTATAACCATGGTGTCTACTACCAAATGGTCTATTCCCAGCCCGTCTACTATCCACATGGTCTAATAATCATTTTGTCTACTTATCATTTGGTCTAATGACCATTTATGCTAATAGCCATAAGGTCTAATTTCCATTTGGTCTTTTCTCCAATTAGTCTACGTACTATTTGGTCTACTGCTCATTTAGTCTAATTTCTAGTTGGTCTCATTCCCCAATGCCCATTTTGTCTACTATTCATAAGGACTGATAATCATTTGATTATTTGGAGGTGCCAGTTGACATATAGACAGCTGGCCAATCATCAGTGCACGCTCACAATAACCGATGCCCAGTTATACCATATTTGGACGATATGACCTTCAGACTAGAGCATGACCTTGGTATTATGCATGACCTTCATATTATGCATGACCTTGATGGTATGCATGACCTTCATATTATGCACGAACACAATTTCATGAGTGTGGAGAGGTATGATTGTATTGAATGATGGATGAAAATATACTCTATTTTGAGCTAGAAAGGTATTAACCCTGTGTAGAATAATGATTTAATGCCCATCTTGCTCTAAACAGACAGTACATGAACATTTTAATGAAGGTCACACACAATATTGAGTCTCAAATAATGATAGCAATATCATATCTATCTTAGGGGTAGGGAACAGTTGGACAAAAAATTCTTTTACTTTCAAATCCAGAAAATCCACAGAAAATTGAGGGGGAATATATATCGTAACTAGAAAACCAACAAGAAATTTAGATCATGACAAAGATGTACGAATCCTTTGTTAAAGTATACAAATTAAATCTCCCTACTTTTACAACAAATGTGTCCATTGATAGGGGAGGACGAGGGGGGGGGGGTGTCTCACAGATATAAATTACATCTATACTTCTAGTTGGAGGGCCGGAGGCATTTTGAATTCAGAATTAACTGAAGAATGATACAGGAGAAAATCATCCCATGGGCCTGGGAGCAAGACTACATTTTTTCATTAAAACCAAATAAGTCAGAGGAAATTACAAGGTACAATCTACATGAAGCTATCCAATGGACAATAGCGCTACGCCACAGTGAAGCTGACACTAACGTGATGAATGAAACCATGGTTACTTTGATAAACGTGTCCTCTTTCCTCATGCAAGAATCTTCAGTATTGAAAGAGGCAGATTATCTTGAAGAAGAAGGAGGACAACAATCACGTTCTTGATTACGAACTGCCTCATGCTGTCTTGCACAATGGACACAAAAGCAGATCAAGGACACATAAGCAGAACCAACCTGATGCCCCAGTTTATCATACATTTAAGAAGCTATACAGTAGATGAGTATAGGCTTACGGTTGCATCATGCAAGCCGATACTTATAAGAAGCATATAAGAATCTGTAATTATATATTATATATTTATTTTTTTAAAGAAATTGGACTGTTGTCATATTGTGTAGCTTTCCCATGGTGTGTAAATTAAGCCATAGTGTAGCAAACTAATTACATGCTAGATTTACAGTTTTCTGATGACAGTACTCCAGAACAATATATTTACATGTACAAACACAACTAACAGCTCATAGAAGTGTTTAATTGTAGTTATATAAAATATCATCAGCAACAAACATTTTTTGAAATATTTCACCTTTACAAAAGCATTTCTATGCCCATATAGATCTGTGTACAATATTTGTTTTCTTCATTATTTAAATATCATCAAGATCTGCTGAGGTCCATGCAGTATCTAATTACCCCCCCCCCCCCCCAAAAAAAAAAAAATGATGGACTTTAATAGTCTTAATCTACAATGTATTAATATGCCTTTAACCTTTTGAACAGTTTATTTAAAAAAATATCAAATTTGAATGTAAAACAAGTATATACCGGTATATTAGAAGTCTTTTTGGCACACACAGAGAAATGGAAAGGTTTGTAATTATCACTATCAATCTAATTCTGTGAGAAAATGATTTCAATCAGTGTTTGTTTTTTGGTTATCTTATTTGATGCATCAGAAGACTTTGAACTGACTTTGTGTTTTGTATTAGTTTGAGTGCCATAGGCCATTCAGGCCATCAACAAGGCAAATATTAATACAAATTAAAAAATTGCCTACCACTATCAGAAGCTGTATTTACACAGTACGCCTACAAGCAAGCATTGGTGATTGGTATTGATATATTTTTATTGGCCAAGCTTCCAACATACAATTTAATAACAGATCAAAGTTAAGTCAGCTTGAACAGGATAACCCACGAAAGCTCGAGAGCTTATCGGTATTGGTAGGAACAAGTCCAACATTACGGACTTTTAGATTCACACCAAGACAATAGGTCTATGCTACGATCGACGTCCTTTTAATGCACTGTCTTGAATGGACGTCACACGTTTCAGTCCACGCAAATCTAAAAGTCCCTATTTACTCTCTGACCTGCAACTATAAAGCAAAAGCACACGAGAAGAGTAGAACGAGTCGGGCACTTGATAAAGTTGTCTGTACATTTACTAACTACCAAGTAACTATGACAGTCTTAGACTTTTTTTTAGAGTCTAGATCTACATTAGATTTTGATTACACTACAAAAAGAGACCGACTATTGGAACAACTACATGTAACAAACAAAACACAACTTCAAAACAAAGTCTGTGCTTGCAGACGATGAGGCTGTGCCGCCTACTGAAATACAAAGAAATGGCAGAAGAGTACACTATACTAGTAGTATTGCAACTGGTTGCCTGTACAGCCTGCTAATATCACTCCAATGCATAATGATCAGAGCTGTCATCTGCTAGTGCACTCAAGATTGCCCACAAACACAATTACTCCTTATAATAGTTATTCTAAACACACGCATATCTAGTTCGTCAATAATTTTAAAATACATACTCTCTACTCCCGGTTCCGTAGACATGGCGAGATGTAAGTCTTCCCTTCAAATCAAATCAACACAAAATATGAGATTTACGTGCTCCTGAGCTGGGACTGCACTTATTCCACACGTACATGAAACTATTAAGGTCGACCAACTATTAATGGCTGCAATTAGTATGTAGAATCTATACAGTGTATGCGATCGAGCGAGCGCGATCTCGCTATATAGCGCATGTGACTAAGGGATCCGGGTAGTCTGGACTTTCGAAGGCACAATGTTTTGTATTGTGACAGTAAGCTTGTATGTGGTAGCAATGGACATTCTATGATATCCCCGGATGATATCAAATTAAAAATTCCCAATATTTATACATCAAGAAGATATAAACAAGAATTATTGAGTCAAATCGAGAATATTATATACACGAATCCAATGGAATGGCCGACCAAAATCTGAGTGTTTCAACATTTTATTTGCTAAGTCATCTTCCTTGGAAGAACAATACTCGATAAGATGGAGCTAAATCAATGAATTCAGGCAATAAATCCCTCGCCTATGGGCTATACCTGAAAGCCAAAGTGATGTGACCCTTCCCCCCCCCCCCCCCCCCCCCCCACCGCACGGCCCCTCTTCTATTCCCTGTTTGAAGAAGAAGAACAAAACATCATTATGCTACTCAGACATACGAGTTCTGCATTTTTCAGGTTGATTTCGACTTTTCTAAGTTTTTGTAAAAAAGTCAAAATTGCGTATGCACTGGCAGACTAGTATCTCTTGGATCAAGTTTGGTGACGTCACATGCTGCGCGCAAACTTTCATCCAATCCGATTACAGATCGTAAATCATGCCCATTGAAATCTCGCCACGCCTGAGTCGTCGTAGCCACTTCGGAGAAAGTATTTTGGCAAAAATTCTTAAAACCGTCGAGACGAATGTTGTTCCTGAATGTTATGTAATCATTACTCAATTATGCACAGAGGGTACATTCTTCTTTAGTTGGGGGGGGGGGGGGGGTCCCTTTTAACATATTTTAAAAATCATGGGCTACATGTATACAAAATACAAAATAAAATAAGGGTAAATGAGAAACTGGGAATCGAACCCATATCTTTGCATTGTGAAGCGATCAGTCTTATCCACAAGACCACTCTGTCTCACTGTTTTTTTCTTTATGTAGTTCGGTCCCTTCTTTTTGTTAAAGGTAGGCCTACTATGTCCCATTTGCAGGCCAAAGTCTTTAAGTGGGAAATAAACGAAAATTTTGCAACGACTCAGCCAGCCTCTGAATAAACCGGGGGGAGGGGGGGGGGGGGGGGGGGGGGGTGAGAGGACATTTTTTTTTTTTTTTTTTGGTCCCAAAAAAAATCGCAACGACTCAGCCAGTCGCTAAATAAGCGAGGGGGGGGGGGGGGGAAGAGGACACTTTTTCTTTTTTTTTGGTCTCGAAATTTGAAAATTTGACTTTTGGCTCCGTTGGGGGGGGGGGGGGGTAAGGTCACCTTTTTAGGTCAGCCATGGGAATAATAATTAATAATTAAAAAAAAAAAAAAAAAATCCAAAGGGGGGGGGGGGTTTAGGGGGGTGATTGGGGGGGGGGGGTTTACACACATAAAAATACCAAAGGGGGGTGTTTAACCCCCCAACCCCCCCCCCTGTTTACGCGCCTGCTGGGAGCGTTTCACAAAGATAGGATCGACTTTAAGTTGGACTTAACTGTGGCAGGACATTGACATGCCACTGGCTGCTCTCACCATTGGTCTCTCAATTATGATCTTGTAGTGACCAAACTTCTTTAAGAACACCCTACATAACTTTGGGTGTGGTTGATTTATACATTCGTGTTACATTACTTTTATAATCACGTGGGCCTTGTATACTTACTCTAAGGGCAACGTAGTCCCTTGATTAACGTGATAGACGTGGAGCCGGTGGAGGTATGTCAGGCAAGGGCCTGATGGGCATTTGTATAACCGACATTCGTCCACTTAAATTAAAGACCGTCAACACTACTGGGCCAGAAGGGATTAGACCACACAGCGAGGTCACTGACAGGTGGCTATCTCATTAACTCAGCTCTCGTCTAACATAAGAAAAAAACATATATAGAGGGAGGAGGTAGCTACAAGTAGGACAGTGTTATGGGGCTTTAAACCAAGCCGGTAGTTTCACCATGGTCGTACCTATGTCATTCAAGCTGTCAAGGTAGCCTGTATATATTTTGTTACAGTTTATACACAGGTATGTAGAGATAATTAAACATAAAATTGATTTTTACTTTGCTATCAATGCAATTATAGGAATAGTGATGTTATACGACTTATCTTAAAACATGAAAGTTTTGTTTTATAGCTTGACTTGATTTGTGTTGCGTCTATACAGACGGCTTTGCATTTTTTTAGGCGTGGCATTGATTCATAATTATACGACTTTAGGAGATTGGTAGACATTCAGAGTGTATATATAATTACCGCTATATAATAACACGGAATTTTTTCCATATTTTTATCCAGCATGTTGTTTGTGATATTTAATCACCTGGAATGAGTATTGCTGTGTTTATGATGTCGTATATGAGGCGGTTCAATATATTATGTAATGAGATGTTTTATTGACCGTACGGTGGAACGCACGGAGGCATATTAAATATATTTTTTGTTGAGATTTTTATGGATTGATGAGTAGTCTATAAGTATCACACTCAGTCTATTTAATTCAATATGCGTGGAATTCCCTGTAAACCCACCGAGATGAATACGTGCTCATGTTATGTAATCATTATTCATATGTGCACCTACGGTACATTCTATGACACACACTATGAATATGACGGACAAAGAAAGCGGACAAAATATATAGTTCCTCAAGTAGACAAAGGAACATCCCTTCACTGCTGTTATGTAAAAATGTGTAGAACAGGACTGGTGTCACATGCATATTAATTCACCCGTTCTACACATTTTTACATAATAGCAGTGAAGGGATGTTCTTTTGTCTACCTGAGGGACTGTATATTTTGTCCGCTTTCTTTGTCCGTCATGTTCATAGTGACAAGAGGGCAAACATAAGCTATTCATGAAGCACATACATGACTTTGGCATTGATTATTCTAAAATACACAAATTGGGACTTCTCCATGAGTAAAAGATCTGTGGATATTTGGGGTCAGTTGACCCATGTGCTAACTACGAAATCGTATATTTACATATTGTATTTTAGTCCCCTTTACGCTACATCAACAACAATAACAATTATTGTATAACTGGCAAAATAGCCCATTTTCGAATTGCATACATTACGTATTGTATATAAAGTAGGACAAGTCATAACGTTTGTCCTTCATAGAGCAACAATAATACTAATGCATGCAATGCGCATTCTGACTACTAAAAGACAATTTTGTAACAGGTCAACGAAACAATAATGTAAAATGCATTAGATTTGATTACATTACAACAAAATAGTCTATTAGGGAAAGTAACAAATTATTTATAGTATCTAGCTTTCATGCCAAAATATTAGAAATAATTACAAATATGTTGGTTGAGTTTCTCATACTTGACATTATTCGTTTTATTGGGTATATTGTCCTCTTCGCACATCTCTTTCTGGCTCTCATTATCCCCTCCTCCCCATCCTCTCTCTCCCTCTCTCTTTATATATCTCACTATCGCCGCCCCCCCTCTCTCTCTCTCTCTCTCTCTCTCTATCGCTTTCTAAGATTTAAATACAGGATAGGCCTAGTATTTTTTTTATTTTTTGATACAAATCATACCCACCGACAAAATTACACGTATATTACCCCCCCCCCCCCCCCGTTTCAAAATAGATTGGAACACCCAGGGAAGTGGGAATAAGACAGTGAATATTGTCATGGACATGTTTGGCGTAACAAGTTATATTAATCTGCATGATAGAGGCAGGTTTTTACTTGAAATGATTATAATATTAATGATAATAATAATAATAATAATAATAATCGGCTTTAAAAATAATATTCCGTTTTTATATAACGCTTTATATAGTACATCGGTGGTGTCTGTAAGCGCTTTATACAGCTACATTATTACCCCAGCTTGCCTGCCCGCTCACGATATATGCACATTCTCCACTCCATGGGGAGCTTTCCTGGCGCCATTTTCCAGACGCTCACTACCAGGGGCGGCGATTTCTTTTCATGACCGGAGGGGGGAGGGGGTGGACGAAATGCGAGGGACGAGGGAGCAAGTGGCGTAATGAGCAAAAACGTTTTTTTTTTTTTTTTTTTTTTTTTTTTTTTGAGGGGGGGGGGGGGGGGGGGCAAAGTCCGCATCACCACCATTCTTACATGTTACGCAGACCATGGCAACTGTTTTCAAAGTGGGAGGGAGGGGCTAAAGTATTTACGATCAGGTAAAGCAAAGCGAGCGAAGCAAGTGGATCGTAAATTGGCGTGGGGTCCAGGGGCAAAGCCCCGATGGAGATCAAGGCGCCCAGCCCCGAGAAACTCAGGGGTTTTAGGCATTTAATTACGGTCAGATAAGCATGATACCTTATTAACATGTACTGACATGCAGGTCACTAATTGGAGTGGGGTCGAGGGGGCAGCTTAGGGGTTTTAGGCGATAAATTTCAATCAGATGAGCATCCAGGGACCGCCTTAGGGCAATTGGTGGGATCCAGGGGAAGAGCCTCGAAGCGCAGGCACTTTAGACATTTAATTACGGTCAGATGAGCATCCAGGGGGCCGCCTTAGGGCCCTTGGTGGGGGTCCAGGGGGCAGAGCCCCTGGAAGCTCGGGGTTTTTAGGTATTCATGAGCAACCAGGGGCCCGCCTTAGGGCCCTTGGTGGGGAAGAAAAAAAAGCCATTTCAGCAATTTTGTAAATCACTCGTATCGAATAAGATATAAACCACATTATATTTTTATTTTTGGAGGGGGGAACTTCCCCCAAGCTCCCCCTCCCCCATCGATACGCAATTAGTGCGAGGGAGCATAGTGAACGAGAAGGGTGAAGGTGCGGAAGTGACTACCCGGGCCCCTCACAGGTTTTTGAAGTTTTGGTTGTATTAAAAAAATTACATTCCTTAGCAAAACTATAGTATAAACAAGCAATATCCTTTTTCACACTTCACTTTTCTCGGTATATACTTGTACATTTTGAAGGATATTATGCGAGGGAGCGTAGCTACCGAGTGAGAAGATTGTTGCATTTTTATTTGTCTATACACGCTGCACTCTTGGGCCCTCCAGAGCCTAAAAGTGTTTTGCAATCTTTAGTCAGTATTTGTTATACATTTTTGTGTGCACTTTTTCAAATTTTGAGGGGGGACCACCCCCCCTAAACAAATTGAGGGGGGACGTCCACTAAAAAAAATATGTCGTGAATTGATGGGCCAAGTCAGGCCACCTAAAAAAATACCCTTTATGCCGCCAGCTCCATATTGAAAATTATGTCAGTTTTGTAATATTATGTTGCTCTCTTATTCTTGTTCATTGTTTATATCTAAATGTAAATATGTTGTATGGACCTCTGCTGTTGCAGCTGAGTCTGGAATAAAGTCTTGAATTGAATTGAATTGAATTAAATGTTATTAAATGGGATCATAATAATATTGTGGTAAAAGCCCATTTATCTCTTCATTTCGTTTTGCCCTTTTTGCGTACCATAAACAGGACAGGGCCAGCGTGAGTTGGAACTGTGTGCGGATCGTGGTTTAATTTGAAATAATTTTTCGTTTTTATTTTTTTGTAGACTATGACTAATATTATATTAAAATGACATTGGAAAAAGAAAGAAAGAAATAATAATTTTACCAAGACATTAAAAGAAAGAGATGCGATGAAATTGGCAACAATAGTCAAATTTGACTAATAGCCATTAGACTATAATACCAAACGAACAACAACAACATGTCTCAGATTTGTTGTTGTGTGAAAAGAGTGGGCCAGTGGTTAAAAGATGCCGTTAGAATTTGATTCAAGACACTTCATTCCAGAGCAAGTGAAGCAGTGCAAGAAAAAGCTTAGGGTAAACATTTGAGGTTGTTTTTCTTCAAAATTTTCGTTTACCCGTACATGTATGTGAGATGTGAAATTGGTTCAGCGCAATCCTCGTCTCTGTTTCAGCGGCTTCCCACAGCCGTGCCAACGGCAACGCCTGCCGCGCCCGCCCCGTGGCTGAGGCGTAGCGCATATGAGGCGACGCTGGCTCCATCAAGTCCTCCCGTTTCTGGGACTTTCTCATCCCCTCGACCTGCATAAAAAAGGGTCTATAATTTCCGCTACTCCCACCTCGTTTCTATTATCTAATATTACAACTATGAAAAGGTAAAAAGCATGCAGTGCTGAAGTACCGTAGCTAGTGTAGAGTTAGACCGAATTTTCCGTCTCTTTCGTTCGTTAGCCTCTTAGTCTTATTGGGGTAGGGTCGGCTCTCTCTTTAGAGACGGAAGCCGTTTATACACATGTCCTTGCTAACGCCACGGCCAGTTCTGGTCGTAGCGTTTTGCCCCCAAAATCCCCCAAAATGTCATTTTACCTCGAGCATGTTATATTGTAAATTAGGCCTAGGCTATAATAAATCAGTTCCACCTACCAACTTGACTTAAATAATCAGTTTAATAGTCCCTTTTTAGGAAATTATGGGTCAAAATCGAAATCCATTTTGAAAATCTTTTTCAACATGGATTCCGATTTTGACCCATAATTTCCTAAAAAGGGACTATTAAACTGATTATTTCAGTCAAGTTGGTAAGTGGAACTGATTTATTATAGCCTAGGCCTAATTTACAATATAACATGCTCGAGGTAAAATGACATTTTGGGGGATTTTGGGGGCAAAACGCTACGACCAGAACTGGCCGTGGCGTTAGCAAGGACATGTGTATAAACGGCTTCCGTCTCTAAAGAGAGAGCCGACCCTACCCCAATAAGAGGCTAACGAACGAAAGAGACGGAAAATTCGGTCTAGTGTAGAGTTAGACAGCAATAACCATCTGATTTGGGTCATTTCTTTAATAAAACTGACATTTGTTGTCATTCCCCAATAGCCTACATATGGCAACCCAGAGATCTCGTACCGTGGGGATGGCTATAGGCCTATATGTGCATACTTTCGTCCACGACATTTTCTCCCCGATTTTCTTTATTTAGATCTAATTAGGTCGGTATGTCATTTGTCCTAATTACAGTTATCAAAATTTGATAACTCAATATTAAATTGATAATTTACGGACTTACTTATATGAATTATCCAATTTGTATCTCTGAACATTCATGCACTCGGAACATAGGGCTATATGACCCGGCGGCCAAAATATTTCCGGGTCAACCTACCAAAACATAGCCAAATGGCCAATCAGAGCACTCGTTTCGTGGGAGTTCGTTGGTCAAGCTGGGCTTACTCGTACGTAGCTACTGTAGCTATTGGACGTTCGAAAAGAAAAAATGAATATTCATCAACTAACACCAAGACGGATAATGTTGACGACGAGACTTTCTCGGATTAATCATTAATTTAGGATCTAAATGAGCAAGCTATCGTAAGTCAAATAAGCTATATATATGTTACTTTTAATTTGTGTTATAATTGCAGCAGTTATGAGGATGTAAAGAGTGAAAATCTCGTTGCATATCTCATTCATCGCGGTCCGGTCGAACCGAACCATTTGTTCCGTACAGTGCCTCACAGAAAGAGGTCCCCAGACTTCAGTCTCTGTAATCGGAGGTCTAGTGGAGCCAGACGTAGTCTCAGTGGAACAACCGACGATTAGAGAGACTGAAGCTTTCGGTCTAGTGTAGAGTCTAGTTATATGACACTCTTTCACCTGTTTCACAATGTTATTGTTAGTGTTAGTTGTTACTGTTTTCATCAGATCAGATGTAGACCTAGGTCTAGTTTGAGTCTTGTCATTGATCGTTACTTTACCGCAAATACTGGAAGAATGCTGAGGCAGCAGTAGAGCTTCCAGGTCTATCTTCTTGGTCCATCTTTACTCATTCTCTTTAATAATCATTCTCATTATATTGTTTTTAATTTTAGACCAATTCATGTTTGCATTTAACATATGCATTGTTTTCTTGTTTTCATGCTTTTATATAATTGAATGATATGAATCATTGCAAATATTCAAAGTATTACATTACCTACTTATGGATACTTATGAAAACTTCTGAAGGCAGGTTTTAATATTTAATAAGCCTCTCTATTCAGTTCCATCATGACAGGATCGGACTAGCTAGCCTGAAAGACAACGAGAAGAGAACATGCTGGGACTCACTCCGTGCTGAGGAACCCTGCTAAATGTGAACTTGGGGCCTGTTTACCCTTTAGCAACAATTATGCCATGTCTTCCAGGCTAGGTGGGACAGCATAGAAATAATACTCAACAGGTTCACTTTTACAGTACCGGTACTTGCCCAGACCATTTTCAAAACTGTAGACACTGGATGCATTGGCAAAGTTGGGCATCGGTATTGACATTCTGTTTTATTTCCCCATGTTTTCAGGAGAAAGAGGAGAGGATTGTATGTCTTGAAACTGAAAATGCAATTCTTCATCTCAAACTCGCTAAGGTAAGGACATTTTTTTGTTGATTAATTAATTTTTAATTTTTACAAAGCCAAATACCTTTTTTGAGAGCAATCTAGGGTAAATTGAGAGCATTTCTACATCTTTTTTCCTTCTACTGGAGTAGTGCTATATACAGTATACTAACTAATCAATTTAACTAATTTTCAATTACCATAACATTCTAACTGTGGTTTTCTGAATGTAATTAACTGAAGTTTTAGGCAAATATTAAATAGACGAGGCTGCATATAGCAGCTGTCATTAAGACGATCTAATAAACAGAAATGGATCTAAAGATGTTTCTTGTTTCATGCTTTCATCAAACCATTTATTTTTTGAAAAATACATGAAAAATTAGGCTGCATGATTAAGTATGATTATTTTCTGTGTAGATCAAATTTGTTCTCATAATTGTAGTTGATATTTGTGTGAAAATTTAAACTAATTGTAGTCATTGGTTAAAGCTACAAAATGATAAAGCAATCAGTCTATTTGAACATATATAAAACAATTTCTAATAAGTTTTAATGAAGATTATTGGATTAGATTATACAATGTGAAGAACATATTCCATTTCATTAAATTTGTATGGAATAAACATTGTGTACTCCTATTAAAATAAAGTATGTGTATTGTGTACATGTAAAGCCAGTGACAGTTTTAATTATATGGACAAAGCAGAATTCATTGGCATTAAAAATGAGTGAATATTTGAGGTCCAATAATTAGTGTATGATCTATAAATATATTAAAGACATTTTTGCTTACAAAACTGGAAAGCTCATTGGATTCAATACTGTCACCTGTTGGTCTTTAAAAATATATATATTTTCAGCTTCAGACAGAGATTGAGGAGGAAAGGAATTATTCATCATGCATGGAAGCATCACTTAGCACTGCAAAGCAGAGAGATAGTATGAAATCAGATGATCTAGGAGGAATTCTTAAACAAATCAAGGTATCTTTGCCTCCATATCGAAATGCATGTTCAGTACAGCATCAGTATTTATGTAATTGGCATACTCTATGGAATGATAAGAGACAAATGTTTTTGTAGACGGCCAATTAGTACATATGTGATATGTTTACAATTTGCCAAATTACTTTTGAATTTACTTGTTGGACATGATTTGATTTTGGTATGATATATATTTTCCATAAACTCCAGCTTGAGGTAATGTGGCATTTGAATTCAGCAAGCTATGTGAACTTTAAACTCAAACTGGAAAGTAACACAACCATTAGCCATTCAGATTTTAGATCCATTAGGTGAAAGGTCATGGTAATCTACATGTATCATATATTTTGTAGGATTTTAATTTTTTGTATCAACTATACCTCAAGAACTCTAAGGAATTTTTCTTTTGGTTATTTGGTCATTTCTTTTAAAGCCCCACTGCAATACTTATAGCTACTTGCAGCCTCTATATATAGCAAACAATGCCTAATCGGTGCCTGTTGGTCCCCTAAGATACTATTTTTCTTATGTTAATTGAGAGCTGATTTGATGAGATAACAACCTGTCAGTGACCTTGCAGGGAGGTCTACTCCCCCTGGTCAAACTAGTGCAGACAGGCTTAGGGAGAAGAAAAAAAGAATAGTGAAAAATTAAATTGTATGTTTCCCACATCATGCCTAGCCTATGTATGATATCTTCTTTACATGAAAACAATGACTCAGAATTTCATTTACTGACAATTTTTTAATTACAAAATATATTTCAATCACCAGGAAGCCAAAGATGACCTAAGGTCATTGAGGTCTGCAATGGTTACCATGCCAACGAGAGTAACTCAGAGTGTTGAAAACTGGGCTTTATCAGAAGCTGAGAGATTGAAGCAATCGCTGTATACTGAAAGTGTTGATTTCAACTGTAAGTTTTGAAGCAGCCTTTTGAAATTATTAGAGTGTTATGGGCAGCAATGTAATCTAAAAAGCAAAAACATTGTGAAATGATTTTTGTGGCAAACATCTCACTATGGTTTCCTCATGCATTTCCGAAAAGCTGTATAAAACATAGAGAGAAGACAGACTAATCTTTATATTATGTTTTTAAACATCAATAGTGTAGCTATTTCCCTTGAAATTAATTTTTTTTCTTTTATATTCTATAACCCACCTATCTTTCTTCATGGTCTGTCTGCCCTTTGTAGACGTAATAATAATATAATATTTGATATATACATAAATATCCACCGAGTAAGGTGCTTAAGGCACTCCAACAGTACCCCGGGTCTGCTAGGCTACCATATCAGCGCTCCCAGCATTCAAGGAATTCCTTCCTGCTGGTGCCCATTTAACACCTGGGTGGAGAGTGGCAAATGTAGATGAATGTCTTGCCAAAGGACATTAGTGCACACTTGTACACACTTGTCTATTTTCTATTTGTTCAGTGTTACAGCGTAGAGTGTGCACCTTTCAGAGCGAGCTGACATCGGCCCAAGATAAATACATGAGAGAGAAATGCAGAAGGAGAGAGCTTCATAATACTCTAGTGGTAGGCGATCAATCAGTATCAACATGGCTAATTTTTTTAAGGGGGGGGGGATAGTTGATTTGATTTTGTAAAACTTAGATTTTTTTTAATGATTTTTTTTTTTTTACCATGGCTAAAGCTACTTTGTACAGTACTCATCTGATTATTTATGTTTTAAAGTTCAGACTTTTTTTTTTTTAATTATAAAAAATGAGCCAGTAATTTTTGAGTAAAAAGAAGATAACTGTGATTTAAATGAGATTAAAGTGATCAATGCAAAATCTAATCTCCAGAAATACTGGATATTATACATGTACTTTCTTTGACAGGCACGAAACGGCAAAGGAAGACAGAGTCACACTTTTAATCACACGTCATGGTCTTTCTTCTAATGAAAAAAGATCTCTATAAACAGATCTGAAGAAGGGGTGTTTCTAATGTTAGTCTGACAAATGTTTGATATGTTGTTGTGTGAATTAAAACCATTTCCATCCATTCTTTAAATCGGGTTACCTAACAAGTTATTTTTCCAAATTTTCTGCATGAATTTAGGAGCTACGTGGAAACATTCGAGTTCACTGTCGGGTGCGACCAGTTCTTGAGTATGATTACAGTGGTACTCAGACAACTTCTAGCAGGTAACTATCAATTCAGGGCTTGTTGGATACTGTGTTTTACAATTTAGTTTTTCACTACTTCGATATGTGGGGTATCATTTTCATTTCATAGCTTTTATATCTAAACAAAGAAAAAATGATAATATATTGAATATGTTTTGGAGTAAGAAGTGGTATTAAAGAGGTTTTGTTTACATGGTAACTAGAATATTTCTGATTTCAATAAATGCAATATAATACTATGATTGAATTTTTTAGGTCGCATATTATGTATTGATATTGATTACGCATGTTTAAATTGGATGCAAATTAAAGAAAATGTCACTTCACTGTTCAAGAATCCAGAATAAGCATGCTGTTTGTAGTTAAACTAGTTTCTCCACTTTATTGTGTTTGATGTTGATAAATAGCAATGAATTATTTCATCCTGAAAAGGTAGTAAATCAATCAATTTTATTATTTTACTTCTGTTTTCATTTTTTAGACATCTTGACAGCCCTGAAGAAGTGGTTCATGTTGATGATGATGTAAGCCATTCTCTTTGTTGTCTTAATTTAAAGGATTGATACGTGTATCAAACCGACACCATTATTATTATTATCATTATAAGTTTTGCATGATGTTTTGTGTAAAATGATGACATTCAGTCATGGGTAATATTCACTGTATATTGTATTTGTTCCCTTTGATATGATTCATGCATTATAATCTTTCTTATACTGAAGTATATGAATTATATTTTGAAGTATATAACAAAACTGAAGTTTTGTATTAAAGAAAGGCCAGAACATTTCATGTATTCACAGGTTTTTTTTGTCCTGATTAATGTAGAACATGGGCTTCGATAATAGAACATATTCTTTGCATCAATATATTCTTCAAATTGAATTCTTTTGCAGGAAACTGTAAATGTGAATTGTAACAGACCAGGCCATTCTCAAACCAGTCGTCAGTTTGAATTTGAAAGGTAAGAACACAGTCATATAGACTCGACAATACAGTAAAGCATATATCTCATAGCTTGTATGTAGTTGTGATCGTGCTTTTGTCAGAATTATTGCAAGTAAATAGACCAGTGAGAGGCATATTACAGTCAAAGTCGTACACAAAAGTTGTGATTATAAAGATTGTATTTGGCCAAATTCTATGAAGTATTTCAAAATATTACCAGAAGTAGTTTAATGAATTGTCTCTAAACAAGTTAAGGAACTTGACACTTTCATGGCAAGACAATTTGAACTCTACATTATAAAAATATCATGGTCTACTCTGTACTTGAGAATATCTCTTTCATATTTTCTTCTGAAAAGGTTTGAGTGGGTAGCTGTCAATTTGGATTGAGTTCAGACTCAACCCTTTTCAGCAGTGAATCTGAAAATGGTTATGTGTCCTCTGTACATGTATGTGAAGTATAAGAAGTTTTCCATGTTCCAGTTAAAAACATGAAAATATAAAATGATTAACATGATAAAATACATAGAAATACATCCATATAGAGATAAACATACAGAGAAAAAAAAAGTAAAGTTGTGTCAGGGCTTATCCCCAGAATAATCCTATCACATTTTATTGCAGAGTGTACAACCAGAGTGAATCTCAAGATGAAGTATTCAATGAAGTCAAGCCACTCCTCACATCTCTTCTAGATGGGTAAGAATATCATTACTAAAGACCATGTTGAAAGTGAAAAATTATAGATGAATTGTGTATCAACATAAGTCATAGATAACATTAATATCAATAATATGCCGTTTTAGAAAGCCATTAGCATCTACAGTATCAAAATATTTTGTAAAATTTGTTTTAAAAGGCTTAAAATGTTGATTCAAATCATTTATATTTTCTATTATCAAGGAGATTTTGTGTTCTTGATGTGGAATTTATTTAAGGCTACAAATGGCTCTCCATAATATTTAAGTCCAACTTTGAGTATAAAGTTCAACTTGGTATCTTTGTGAAACACCCCGCAGGTATAATGTGTGCATCATGGCCTACGGTCAGACAGGTAGCGGGAAGACGCACACTATGCTGGGAGGGCGCTATACACAAGGACTGACGCAGACGAGAACCATTCTGGATGAGAGTGAGGAAGATGGGGTGGTACCAAGGGCTGCCAGGGAGTTATTCAGGTTAGTGTGTGGAGAAACAGTTATTTATTTATTTATTTATTTATTTCGGTTTAAAAATACATATAAATATACAAGATTCAAAGGTCCAAGGACTGAAACTGATCATATTTACAAGTAATACAATAAAGTTATAGATACAGTAAATATACAATAGTGAGCCAAACAGACAGGTGTAACAAGTACAAGATGGCAATAAAGATGAAAATATAATACATTTTAATCAATACAATACCACAATAAACTAAGAGAAAGTAGTGGTCAAGTCAAGACAGTTGCTGATAATCAAAGCTGATGATGTGCTCCTTAGTTGTTTACTTTGAAATAAATGTATATGAGAGATACAAGTATGTTAGATTCATTGTCAAGTGCAAGAATCTTCAGTATTGAAGGAGGCAGATTATCTACAAGAAAAAGTGTACAGAAAATATTTGTGCCTGATCATGCAACTGCTAAGACTTTAATATTGAATAACTTTATATTGATCACTATATCTCAGAAGTTGGCAATCACTATGCAGGGCATTGATGTTTTCCATTGGGGCCAAGCTTGATCAAGATTATGAACCCATTGACTACTGGATTCATTCAGTCCAATAGGCTTTATACAGTAGCCACCCGGTTCCCATAGTCAACAGGTTAACTCTGTGCATGGTGTGTTAAACTGTGTTTGCATAGTCACTCATGATTTGTTGATTTTTTCTTCCTTAAAAGGTTCATATTCTGTAGACTAACTCATGTTACAAGCTTAAATTCAAGCCTTTACAGAATGAGAAAATAAAATTGTTTGTTTAATTTTTGATTTCTTTTACCTTAAAAGGTACATATTCTGTAAACTACTTCATTACCAACAGTCTTTTTCAAGACTACACACACACACATTCAAGAAAGAAAGATTACTGACGGTCCTTTTCAATCCTACCCCCTCTCTCTCACATGGTGCAACCCTAAGCCTACTGTATAAAACTTTACAGAATTAGAATTTTTGTGTGTGTGTTTTGATAGGTTGCTGAGAGAAAAGCCCAACACACACACCGTGGAAGTGTCTGTTGTTGAAGTCTACAATAACGAGATCCGTGACCTTTTGACCTTGAATCCTGCCACATCTCGCCATGACATCTTCACAGGGGATGACGGGTCAATGGAGGTCACTTCTTTAACTCAGAGGTAAGTATACACAGCAGTGATTTAGATCTTATCAGGGGACATTCGTAGCACACACACAAAACGAATGATAGTCCAAATCACCAATTTATGCTAATGACCCTTCAGCACTTAAATCTGTGATCCAATACAATTTAACATAGACCATTGTTATCTTCATAATCATTATCATTATTCTTGCTCTCTGACCAGTCTTTACAACTAAGATAAATGTTCCGTTTTTTAGGGAATAGTGGCTGGCAGTCACTCTCTTGTTGTCTAAAACGTGTTGTAGGGTAAGATTTAAATCCTAGAATTCATGTACAACAACTCAGGGAAGGGTTGTATGATACTGAATGATACTAGACATGAGAGTCAAACTCATGATTTTAAGCCATTTCACAATAATCTGGTACTTTGGCTGACTTACACTATGATCTATAGTTTCTTTAACCCTATTTTGTGAATGGAATGACTTATTTTCTAAAGCACTCAAACTGCATCTGAAATTGACTCACATTGAATCATTCCTTGGTTCTTTCTTGTAGAGCTGTAACGACCGCTGTAGAGATCGTTGACCTTGTGCGCCATGGAATGACCTATCGCCATGAGGATGCGACCCAGGTTCACGCCCACTCCAGTCGTTCACATCTCGTTGTTACATTAACTGTCACTCTCATCCAGTCTCCATCTCACAAGTAATTGTGTAGACATGTATTTATATCCTCTTAGGCATAGCATTAATTAGATGTAAGAATTTATGGTAGAAAAGTATGATTTTTACTGTCGAGCCTATGAGTATACATTCCGGCGAGTAGAAGGAGGAGATGGTGCAGTCTGATGGCTGCCAGAAGAGATGAAATAACTTTGAAATTTCTTTGCCTGTAACCAGTGAAAAGATCTGTGAAGTGGAGTTACTTGTAGATGTGTATAAATAGAATTTTTTTCAATTATTCATTAGTATATTTTATATCCCATGTCGAAAAATTCCAGTGCAAGGATTGGCCACGAATGGCTCATGTGACATTGAATACTTTAACCATGAAAGAAAAAATTTAAATACTTTTTCCTAACTGTAATAAAGTGTTTCACAATTTCCTCACAGTTTGCTGCACATATAATAAAAAAAATAACTTTCCATCTTTTCCATTTCATATGAGCTTTCATTTCAATAATGTATTGAACCAGTCGAGTGTTCTAGAGATATGTGTGTTATGTTTTTCATCCAAAGTGTATCTTGGGCTTTCTACTTTATGAATAACTTGTGGTTTTATTATAATCCTCATTGTTGTTCTCTGTTTTCCTGCAGGCCTTCATCCAGGGCTAGAAGTCAGTCCCCGTCTCGTTCATCGTCTATGAGAGATGAGCAGGAGGTCATTAGAACTAAGCTACAACTGGTCGACCTAGCTGGCAGTGAATGTGTTGGTAAGGATCTTTAGAAATCTCCATAACTTGATGTGATTTTATTTGAGAATTTTTCCACATTTTATTTTTGTATTCATGGCAAAGGAAAAACATTCAGAATAGCTAGTAGATCTAGCTAACAGTGAATGCCAATCCCTTTTGGACAGTTTACTTCAAAGTTCATGAACCAATCACCAAAATTAAGATCTCTTAATTTCTCTTCATATATTCAAAGTTGACATTTTGAATAAAACAATGGCATGGATCCCAGACAAACAGAAAATAATTTTGAGTGATTTCTCCCCTTTAAAATGCATTTGCATTGCATTGGATCTTCTCCAATATAATGTTTGACTTATTATTCAAGGTGGTAGATGCTTTACCCGTATGTCTACTGCACTCCCTTGCAGGTATGTCTGGTGTTACAGGGTCTGCGCTGCGAGAGACATCTCACATCAACAGAAGTCTGTCAGCGTTGGCTGATGTCTTAGGAGCTTTGGCTGAAGGCAGAGGTCATGTGCCTTACAGGAACTCAAGACTCACACACCTTATGAAAGACTCTATAGGTACATGTATGTTAAACAAATGAAGAGGTTAATTCCAAAAGGAGCTAAATCCATCTTTGTAACTTGAGAGAAAAAATGTATTTGTTTACCAGATTTTGTACAGGCATCTATGGAAAAGTGATAACAGAAGGTGCATTTTTTTCATAATTGCTCAAATACTAAATTTGTAAATACTTTTGTTGAAAGGTGGGTACTGAAGTAAACCATGTTCTGATATCAATAACTTAATTTTCATCAAAAGTGGATTAAACTCCTTTTGGAATTCAACTCTTCTATTGTTGTTAGCCAGGTGCAAACAATGCCATTGTCCCTTGGCTTGCATTTCCAGTATTAAGTTTGAAAACTGAGTTACTGCAGCCTTAATAGCGATTCCCTTGTTAAGAGAGCATTATGCTGTCCAGGGTACTTGTTGGTCAGTAGATTTTTGGAAAAAATCAAAGAAATTAATGTTGCATGTAGAGATATATTTTATAAAGTAAGGTAATTGTCATTATTCATGTGATTTTACAAGTATATGCTGTAGTACCTGGAGAGAAAGCTGATTGGTCTCCTCTTCCCCCTCCCCAAATAAATAAAGAGAGAAAGAGAGCTGTGGTGATAACCTACCAGAACCTGTATGACCTTCAAGTGTGACAATAAAGGATTCAGTTGAACCCATGACCTTATAGTTCTAAGACCCCTACACTAACCACTAGCCACTATCGATGCATACGGATGGAGATGCCAAGCTCCTGGTGGTGTGCTGTGTGTCTCTGACCAACGATCTGTTATGTCTAAGCCATATCCATGCATCATTCCCAACACATGATCTTGTGGTTTGAAGTCTACTACCTTAAAGGTAATACAAAGTTTTGGTATGGGGTGATAAATTAGGATCAAATGAACATATTGGAAGCATATATGCGATCCTACAATATTCAGTGATCGTTGTTGCGGTTGAAATTGAGTCTAAAGTGATAAAATTGTAAATGATAAACTCTTTTTGTTGTATAGCACCCTCTCAAGACTGATATTACTTAAGCTTTAAAACAATGTTTCTTGACTACGATCGGCCGATATGCTATTCCCATTTGGAAATTATGTATCAGAACTGCATATACTGAGATTTTCATGGTCGCAGCTACCAAGGAATGGCCTTAGGCGCTATTTGAAATATTTGAAATTTACCTGGAACACCCGTAAATTTTTTAATATTCAATCTCTCGAAAGTAGAAGTGTTTTAGGGGCTAAATTTTCTAGCGATTATAATACATCCACAGGGGCATCCAAATATATCAAAATTTTGAAGAATTACTATCCATCCAATTTTCGAAATTTCCCAAAACTTTGCATTATGGTACCTTTAATCACTAAGCCATTATCCACTCATACAGGTGGAGATGCTAAGCTCCTGGTGGTACGCTGTGTATCTCCCACCCATCGTTTCCTGACTGAGACTCTGCAGTGCTTGGGCTTTGGGTCTCTGACCAACGATCTGTTACTTTTAAGCCATATCCATGCATGATTCCCAACCCATGATTTTGTGGTTTGAAGTCTACTACCCTAACCACTAAGCCATCATCCACTCATACAGGTGGAGATGCTAAGCTGCTGGTGGTGTGCTGTGTGTCTCTGACCAACGATCTGTTACTTCTAAGACCCCTACCCTAGATTACCAACCCATGATCTTGTGGTTTGAAGTATGCTCTGTGTCTCTGACCAACGATCTGTTACTTCTAAGACCCCTACCCTATAAACTACTAAGCCATTATCGATGCATTACGGTACCTTTAATCACTGAGCCATTATCCACTCATACAGGTGGAGATGCTAAGCTCCTGGTGGTATGCTGTGTATCTCCAACCCATCGTTTCCTAACAGAGACTCTGCAGTGCTTGGGCTTTGGGTCTAGAGCTAGACAGATCCAGAGAGGACCAATCAAAAAGAGACATGTGGCAACTCATGCAGGTAAGTGAAGAAGGCATTTGAGTGAAATGAGCAGTTTAATTTTGATAAACTTGTCGCACCAAAATGACAATCACTATGAACATGACTGACAAAGAAAGCGGACAAAATATACAGTTCCTCAGGTACACAAAGGAACATCCCTTCACTGCTATTATGTAAAAATGTGTAGAACACGTGTCACATGCATATTCACCTTTTTACATAATAGCAGTGAAGGGATGTTCCTTTGTCTACCTGAGGAACTGTATATTTTGTCCGTCGTGTTCATAGTGAATAGACCAAACTAAAAAAGTTCAATCAATTGGATGGGCAACCCCAAATAGCCTACCACTTTGTAGCTATCAAAAGCCGCTAGAGTGGGTTTGGTAGTGTGACTGAGGTATGAGTTTGACAGATCCGAAGAGGGCCCGTTTGTTAGTTTCTTTATATATTGTGCTGGTCTAAACAGTCCACTTTTGAAGGATAGACAATTCAGAAGCACTTTGAACAAGTTTTCTCTGAGTGAAGTTATCTGTATATCACTTGAAGTACTCAAGATTTCCTTTACCTTTATTTTCCTTTTTTGTGTATAGGTGCGGGAGACCAATCCCCTGCCATAGGAGCCAGAGGAAGACAAGGGCAGAGGCATAGCATACCAGGTGAGATGGCATTCCAACTGTGATACTTATTTTATCTGAAACTCAAGAAGTTTTAATTTTACATGATGAAAATAGAGATATTTATGGTTTTGAAAGATTGTCAAGACTCCTCTTTCATTGTGAATGAATACGTATTGAATGAATTTGAATTGAGGAGCAAAATAATAATGATAACATTTATGCCAAAGACATCCTGTATATATGTACATGTATGGTTCATGAAAGACTTGACTACATATGGAACAGAATACCTGATGTTGTTAAGGAGGCAATCACAGTTGACCAATTCTAAAACAGACTGAAAAGTCATCTGTTCATGAGCAGTTTTCATTAAGTTTAAATTTAGTTGGTATCAGATTTGACTATTTTTATGCCTCCGTTACGAAGTAGCCGGAGGCATTATGTTTTCGGGTTGTCCGTCCGTCCGTCCGTACGTCCGTACGTCCCGTTCTCGTGATCGCGTTATCTGAAGAACCGATTGATGGATTCCTGCCAAACTTTGGTCATGTATGTATCTTGCAGAGCCGATGAACTGATTAGATTTTGGGGTCACGAGGTCAAAGGTCAAAGGTCACAGGGCTCATTATGTATGCAAAAACAGCTCGTGATCGCGTTATCTCAAGAACCGATTGATGGATTTCTGCCAAACTTTGGTCATGTATGTATCTTGCAGAGCCGATGAACTGAATAGATTTTGGGGTCACGAGGTCAAAGGTCACAGGGCTCATTATGTATGCAAAAACAGCTTGTAATCGCATTCTCATTAGAACTGACAGCTGGATTACTCTTTAACTCAGGACATCTTGCAGAGCCAATGAACTGAGTAGATTTTAGGGCCATGAGGTCAAAGATCAAAGGGTCATATATGTATATGAGTAATTGCTTGTAATAACAATATTCTGAGAACCTGTTAATGGATTTCAATGAAACTTGATTTTAAAAAAAAAATCTGTTTTGGTTTGTAAACTTGCTCTATGACGGAGGCATCATTTTCGACTGCGCGCAGTCAAAGTTCCATCTAGTTTTTTAATGGGCTAGTTTCCCCACAATAATGTACATACATGCCATTAGATGGATCCTGACCCCCATATCCCTTTGAAAGGGGCGTAGGGGCAAATATTGTGATAATTTGAATAAACACCAATTTCAGGTCGAAATGGTAAGGGCCGGGGTGGTTCAGCATTTTGGAGGAAAATATTAATTTTTTTGAATAGGCTAGTTTCCCCACAATGAATGTACATACATGCCATTAGATGGATCCTGACCCCCATATCCCTTTGAAAGGAGTGTAGGGGCAAATATTGTAAACATTTGAATTATCACAACTTTCGTGCCGAAATTGTAAGGGCCGGGGTGGTTCAGCATTTTGGAGGAAAATATATATTTTTTTTAATGGGCTAGTTTCCCCACAATAATGTACATACATGCCATTAGATGGATCCTGACCCCCATATCCCTTTGAAAGGGGTGTAGGGGCAAATATTGTAAAAATTTGAATTATCACAACTTTCGGGCCGAAATGGTAAGGGCCGGGGTGGTTCAGCATTTTGGAGGAAAATATATATTTTTTTTAATAGGTTAGTTTCCCCACAATGAATGTCCATACATGCCATTAGATGGATCCTGACCCCCATATCCCTTTGAAAGGGGCGTAGGGGCAAATATTGTGATATTTTGAATAAACACCAATTTCAGGGCGAAATGGTAAGGGCCGGGGTGGTTCAGGATTTTGGAGGAAAATATATATTTTTTTTAATAGGCTAGTTTCCCCACAATGAATGTACCTACATGCAATTAAATGGATTCTGACCCCCATATCCCTTTGAAAGGTGCGTAGTGGCAAATATTGTAAAAATTTGAATTGTCACAACTTTCGGGCCGAAATTGTAAGGGCCGGGGTGGTTCAGTATTTTGAAGGAAAAAATTATATTTTTTGAATAGGCTAGTTTCCCCACAATGAATGTACATACATGCCATTAGATGGATCCTGACCCCCATATCCCTTTGAAAGGGGCGTAGGGGCAAATATTGTGATAATTTGAATAAACACCAATTTCAGGCCGAAATGGTAAGGGCCGGGGTGGTTCAGGATTTTGGAGGAAAATATATATTTTTTTTAATGGGCTAGTTTCCCCACAATAATGTACATACATGCCATTAGATGGATCCTGACCCCCATATCCCTTTGAAAGGGGTGTAGGGGCAAATATTGTAAAAATTTGAATTATCACAACTTTCAGGCCGAAATGGTAAGGGCCGGGGTGGTTCAGGATTTTGGAGGAAAATATATATTTTTTTGAATAGGCTAGTTTCCCCACAATGAATGTACATACATGCCATTAGATGGATCCTGACCCCCATATCCCTTTGAAAGGAGTGTAGGGGCAAATATTGTAAACATTTGAATTATCACAACTTTCGGGCCGAAATTGTAAGGGCCGGGGTGGTTCAGCATTTTGGAGGAAAATATATATTTTTTTTAATAGGTTAGTTTCCCCACAATGAATGTCCATACATGCCATTAGATGGATCCTGACCCCCATATCCCTTTGAAAGGGGCGTAGGGGCAAATATTGTGATAATTTGAATAAACACCAATTTCAGGTCGAAATGGTAAGGGCCGGGGTGGTTCAGCATTTTGGAGGAAAATATTAATTTTTTTGAATAGGCTAGTTTCCCCACAATGAATGTACATACATGCCATTAGATGGATCCTGACCCCCATATCCCTTTGAAAGGAGTGTAGGGGCAAATATTGTAAACATTTGAATTATCACAACTTTCGTGCCGAAATTGTAAGGGCCGGGGTGGTTCAGCATTTTGGGGGAAAATATATATTTTTTTTAATGGGCTAGTTTCCCCACAATAATGTACATACATGCCATTAGATGGATCCTGACCCCCATATCCCTTTGAAAGGGGTGTAGGGGCAAATATTGTAAAAATTTGAATTATCACAACTTTCAGGCCGAAATGGTAAGGGCCGGGGTGGTTCAGGATTTTGGAGGAAAATATATATTTTTTTTAATAGGCTAGTTTCCCCACAATGAATGTACCTACATGCAATTTAATGGATTCTGACCCCCATATCCCTTTGAAAGGGGCGTAGTGGCAAATATTGTGATAATTTGAATAAACACCAATTTCAGGCCGAAATGGTAAGGGCCGGGGTGGTTCAGCATTTTGGAGGAAAATATTAATTTTTTTGAATAGGCTAGTTTCCCCACAATGAATGTACATACATGCCATTAGATGGATCCTGACCCCCATATCCCTTTGAAAGGAGTGTAGGGGCAAATATTGTAAACATTTGAATTATCACAACTTTCGTGCCGAAATTGTAAGGGCCGGGGTGGTTCAGCATTTTGGGGGAAAATATATATTTTTTTAATGGGCTAGTTTCCCCACAATAATGTACATACATGCCATTAGATGGATCCTGACCCCCATATCCCTTTGAAAGGGGTGTAGGGGCAAATATTGTAAAAATTTGAATTATCACAACTTTCAGGCCGAAATGGTAAGGGCCGGGGTGGTTCAGGATTTTGGAGGAAAATATATATTTTTTTTAATAGGCTAGTTTCCCCACAATGAATGTACCTACATGCAATTAAATGGATTCTGACCCCCATATCCCTTTGAAAGGGGCGTAGTGGCAAATATTGTAAAAATTTGAATTATCACAACTTTCGGGCCGAAATTGTAAGGGCCGGGGTGGTTCAGCATTTTTGAGGAAAATATTTTTTTTTGAATAGGTTAGTTTCCCCACAATGAATGTCCATACATGCCATTAGATGGATCCTGACCCCCATATCCCTTTGAAAGGAGTGTAGGGGCAAATATTGTAAACATTTGAATTATCACAACTTTCGTGCCGAAATTGTAAGGGCCGGGGTGGTTCAGCATTTTGGAGGAAAATATATATTTTTTTTAATGGGCTAGTTTCCCCACAATAATGTACATACATGCCATTAGATGGATCCTGACCCCCATATCCCTTTGAAAGGGGTGTAGGGGCAAATATTGTAAAAATTTGAATTATCACAACTTTCAGGCCGAAATTGTAAGGGCCGGGGTGGTTCAGCATTTTGGAGGAAAATATATATTTTTTTTAATAGGAGCGTTTCCCCACAATGAATGTCCATACATGCCATTAAATGGATCCTGACCCCCATATCCCTTTGAAAGGGGCGTAGGGGCAAATATTGTGATAATTTGAATAAACACCAATTTCAGGCCGAAATGGTAAGGGCCGGGGTGGTTCAGCCTTTTTGAGGAAAATATTATATTTTTTTGAATAGGCTAGTTTCCCCACAATCAATGTACATACATGCCATTAGATGGATCCTGACCCACATATCCCTTTGAAAGGAGTGTAGGGGCAAATATTGTAAACATTTGAATTATCACAACTTTCGGGCCGAAATTGTAAGGGCCGGGGTGGTTCAGCATTTTGGAGGAAAATATTTTTTTTTTTAATAGGTTAGTTTCCCCACAATGAATGTCCATACATGCCATTAGATGGATCCTGACCCCCATATCCCTTTGAAAGGGGCGTAGGGGCAAATATTGTGATAATTTGAATAAACACCAATTTCAGGTCGAAATGGTAAGGGCCGGGGTGGTTCAGCATTTTGGAGGAAAATATTAATTTTTTTGAATAGGCTAGTTTCCCCACAATGAATGTACATACATGCCATTAGATGGATCCTGACCCCCATATCCCTTTGAAAGGAGTGTAGGGGCAAATATTGTAAACATTTGAATTATCACAACTTTCGTGCCGAAATTGTAAGGGCCGGGGTGGTTCAGCATTTTGGAGGAAAATATATATTTTTTTTAATGGGCTAGTTTCCCCACAATAATGTACATACATGCCATTAGATGGATCCTGACCCCCATATCCCTTTGAAAGGGGTGTAGGGGCAAATATTGTAAAAATTTGAATTATCACAACTTTCAGGCCGAAATGGTAAGGGCCGGGGTGGTTCAGGATTTTGGAGGAAAATATATATTTTTTTAATAGGCTAGTTTCCCCACAATGAATGTACCTATATGCAATTTAATGGATTCTGACCCCCATATCCCTTTGAAAGGGGTGTAGGGGCAAATATTGTAAAAGTTTGAATTATCACAACTTTCGGGCCGAAATTGTAAGGGCCGGGGTGGTTCAGCATTTTGGAGGAAAATATATATTTTTTTAATAGGAGCGTTTCCCCACAATGAATGTCCATACATGCCATTAAATGGATCCTGACCCCCATATCCCTTTGAAAGGGGCGTAGGGGCAAATATTGTGATAATTTGAATAAACACC